AAAGGTGTTATGAAGCTGGTGATAAATTCATGATCAAAATGACAAAAACACTGCTTGATTTAACAGATGTGATAAACATTTTTAATATCTTGCAGGTTTTAATCCTACATAATTGCTGAATTGGTCTTAGTAAAAAGTATGTTCTTGCTGAAGCTGTAGAGAAAATTTAATATCATTTATCATAAATAGTAATCCAGTCACTTTACTAGTGCAAACACTTTTCTGTTTATATTCAAACTATGAACAAGGGAAATTCATTATGTGTTAATTTCTTTTTACTATTACCAAATGTCACAAATATGAATCACATTCCCCAGTGCCCACATCTGAAAAATTTACTGTAATGTAGGTGTAGCTGTGTTTGCAACTTTGGAAATGTGGAAATCACCTGAATTATAGAGTTGCCAACAGTCAGGAGTGCTTCACTCACTGCTTCTTGGAACAGATGTACTGGTGGCTCCACAGTCAGCCGACTATTGGCACTGAAACACAGCTCAGTGTGGAAGAGACAGCACTGCTGAGATTTCTTCCTCTAACAAACAAAAATACATCAGCAGCATTAATTTAATTCAATGTTAATTAAGTTATTTGTCAGTTTGCTATATCTGATGCTTACCCCATTATTTTAATTATTTATTGTAGCAGTGGTGTTCAGAGTAATACAAGTTTTATATTCATATTTCACTTGGTAAGCACACAAGGGTTGAAACAGCGCTGTACGCTAAACTAATGTGTTAAAGACAAAGCAACAAGGCTATTATGTTTTTAATCAACAATTGTGTGTGCTAAATAAGTGGTGTTAACGAATGCTCTCTTTTTTTTTTTTACCTTCAAAACATTGTTGAGAAAAGATATGGCATCTTGTTGGATGATCGTGACAAGACTCTGCACAATCATTTGATTGAGGAGAGCAGCAAAGTTGCCCAGTTTCTCCAAGATGCCTTTAGACCGGGACAACTGTTTCTTTAGCTCCTTCTGGTGAGCCAAACGGAGGTGAATGGGTTTGTAGCATTTATTTGGCTTTTGAGCATATTCCATGTGCAGCTGCAGCTCCTGGTGTGCCTTGTAGCTGGTCTCTTCCACCTGGGGATAAAAGAACATCACTGCAATAACAATGATAATGATGAAAAGTGATAACATTTTAATAACATATGCTGTTAAAAATTATGCTTTCTAAAAATCAACAGGTATAAGATAAAACTGGAACTTTTTCTTCATGCTTCATTTCTTCATGTTGAACCAATCAACCAGTGTCTACATCTTTAGTCATAACTCTATTATTAAATCTATTCTTAACACAGGTTTGAGTTTGTTTTAAGTCAGAAAACCAAATTGTGGTACCGCATTTAGGATGACAGAGTGATACTGTGATAACTTCTCCAATATCTGCAGACACTCTTGGTTCATGGTTATTAGTAGATTCTTGAATTCCTGCAATGTATAGGTGTTAGACTCCTCCTGTGGCAGGTGGTGTGTCCCTTTTAGTTCTTCAATTATTCTGTAAAAGAAGTATCATTACCAGGTAATCTGTAAAATTAATGTTAAAGTTTAACATCTGTCCCATCTAAAAGTTGGGCAGATACAAAATTCTAATAGCTCATTACATATTACACCAAAATTAACAATTTAACTAATACTGAAAGATTTCCATGGCGATGGGACTCACCTGGCCAACACAAAAAGTGCATTTCTGAACTGAGGTACAGCTACAATCAGCATATCCTGCAGATCTGCACACTTGTGCTGAAAACAGATCTTGCGCACATTTCGATGCCACCTGATAAACAAAAAAACACCAATCAGACAAAGCATGAAGATAGAGCAAAACAAAAGCAGAGACAGAAAGCACAGCTTTGCACTTACAAGGTGAAAGCTTTCCGCAGTCTGAAGTCCCTGAAAATAGGGATTTCCTGCAAAGCTGTCCACAACATAGACTCTCTGTACCACTCTGCCAGACTGACAAGTCCACCATAACCCTGTTCTGTCACATGTAGTACAGTATTAGGGGAGAAGATGTAGTGTTCAGAGCCAGCTGCACTGGGATGGACCACTTGCAGGTCATAGGGTCTACAAACAAAGAAGACATATCACTGCATTCATAGTTTAATTGCCAGCATTCCAACAGAATTAAATTACTACATGAGAATATCTGTGGGAGTCTGAAATTAAAGGGTAGATAGTCTCATTTCAGTCGACCTGTTAGCGTCCCGATCCACTTCTTTTAGGTAATAAAGCTCAAATTCTCCCAGGTCTCTTTTCCTGGCAAAGATATGAACTACCTCTGTGCCAGTGAGAGGAACTTTATTTGGTTTGGTCGCTATCTTTCTGTCCTTACAAGTTGATTCTTTCTCTGTAATACTGAAACAATAAAAAAAATATTGTGAACAACAGAACAATTCAAGAATCAAATAGTTTGGAGAGTACAGGTTAAGAGCTAAATGTTAAGGTAAAAAAAAACCCTAATCTAAAAAGATGTTACAGAGATCCAACAATATACTGGGATAAAACAAATATTTTGTTTATGTCAAATGTTTATGAAGACACGCATAGTCCTATTAAATACTATCATCATCTTTACAAATGTGATCATACTTGTTTTTTCTGAAGTAGTGATTGCAGTATTGTCTGCAGAAATTAGCACAACTTTTCACATAAACTATTGCATGACACTTTTGTATTATATCAGTTACGTGTATAAAAACTGTATCAGAATGAATGGGTGCATTAAAATCAACATCAAATCTCTGTAAGTATTCCATGTACCTCTGTGCTGTCAATTCATCAGCAGTTCTGACAGGGATGTCGGTCCCTAATGCTGAGGCCATTAGTCGAGGCCCTTCAGTCCATTTTGTGTCAGCTATGGCTCTCCCAGGTCCTACTTGGGCTATAAGACGAGGGAGTTCCACCACTGATAAAGGTCTGTCAGAGGGGACATTTCTGAGGATGGTGGTACAACTCAACAGAGACCTGGCCGCAAAGGCTGCTGAGAGAGAAGGTGGCTCTGGGCATAGAGGTGGTAAATTCACTTCCAAAGAGTGGGCCTTTTTCTTAACCTTGGATCCAGGCTTAGTAGTGTCTTTACCACAGGTCTGAGAAGCTCCATTACGTGATCTTTCCTTTGAAGGGGCAGCGAACATGCTACTGATCTCTCTATGAAAACCATCAGCAGATTTAGGTACCGCAAACTTTGTCTTGCCTATCACATTAGGACTTCACTCTGGGATGTCTAAAAGAAAAAGACAAAAAGTAACTGTAGTATGAATCACCACCATAGCACTCTGTACCTCTCCTGCATTGTTAACTAGCCACATACCAGAAGAGATTTTTTATTTTATTTAGCAAGGTGTCTATAAGGATCATGTTTCTTCTTTCTAAGCAGCAAACATAATATTAGACAGAGATAAGCAGAATATTGGGTTAAAAGAGCTGTCTTTATCATTATTTATTTTCTAGAGATAAGCATTATAACGTTATATCCTGATCCTTCCATAAGGCTGACTACAAATTCTGAAAAATGTCACCATCTTGTTGTATAACCTGTCCTATTTACAGAGACCTAATTAAAATTTGAAAAGCTACATTTTCAACTGAGATTCAGCAGGCAATAAAATGCAGGGTGCAGCCTGCAGCTTGACGATCATTTAACTTAACGTTAGTTCTGTGCACATAACGTTAAATCTTATCTTATTAAATCTTACCAACAAAACAAGTACTGGCATAGCTTCTTTTGACTGAAATACCTTCTTAAATGAATCACCCTACATTACACACTACTTTATATGATGTTTGATTTCTTTATATGGGTTCGTGTTATCTTCCATTACAATAATGTACACAGTTAACTAGCAAAACCAAATCCAAGCGAGGTAACTTTCTGCTAGGTAACGTTAGCTAGTTTCGCTAACCCCGTGTTTTAATGTTAGTAAGTCAACTCCGCACTCAGCCCAACGTTAAAAACCAAAGTTTAACACCTGTTCTCAAAAGCCTACCGATCAAGTTCACATACCGAGAGAATTAAAACGATGATACTGACGTTTCTAACGCTAAATAAGTACTTTAAAACAAACTAACTAGCTCACAACATAAAGAAACTAACTTGTGTGACTTTCTTACCTGGCTGTGAACAAGTTGTCGACGGCTCGTTGCCACGGTAACGCACAGTAACTTTCGTTGTGGTGTGGAGCTGGTCGGTCCGCTGGTGAAGGTCAATATGCGCCCTTTTAACTGTTTATAACCTTTTACCTTGCAGCTTTGTTTCGTCCAATATAGCTTGTCAGGACGACAGTAAAGGACAGAAACGGAAAACAAGAAATCAAAGCTTTCCGATATTAAAATGTGGCCTCTGCTGCCTGTGTATTCCTACAAGGTGAGATTTAGTTTTGTTACTGTGTAATTTTTCATGGTTTTAACCTTTAGGTGAGTTTATGGTTTTTATATGAACACATCTAACACAACACATTAGATTGAATGCAATAAGGTCTGAATTATAACTGTTCAACCTTGTAGACCTTTCTTAGAGCAGACATTTTGACAGGACCTTACCAAAAGCACAGGGCCTGCAGCTATGCCTGGAATTTCTAAACCTAAATTTATTGCAGCCATAATTAATGTTAATAATCTATTGCATATCTGGTGTTCCTGCATGTCAAAATGTCGGCTGTGAAAAAATTGTTACCACTAAAACATGGTAAAGTTTTGTCAAACCTATGCCAGACCCAGGCTGCAAGACTCCTAAATCCATCCTTAGCACTCAACCATGTAAAATGGTTTTATTTCTATGACTTGTTATTTATCGACCTATGTAGTGTGTTTTGTATATAAACATTTGCTTTTGTGAGTAGCATTATGGGAACTAAAAATAAATAAAGATAAATCTATAAATAAATCTATCTTGGACCTTGTATAAACTCCTTCATGACCTATATAGAGTATTTCAAGAGGTCAGAAAATTGATTCTGACCTCTTGAAATACAATGTATAGGCCTTCACTATAAACCTACTCATCAAGAAGTCCAGTATGACCATATCTATGAAGTCCACTAGTCTTGTGCCTTTGTCGTACGGCGGGGTCTTTTTCACTGTTGAACAGTAGTTTGCGTCTGACTCCCACCTGAAAGAGACAGAAATCATTCACCCAATATATTACATTAAACAAAAGCTCCTGGGGTTGATATGACTGGCAGCCTTTATCTCTCACTATTTTTCATTGCTGATGTTTTATCAAAATTAGGACAGCATTTTTGGTATTTCCATTGCTTTCCTGCATAAACAAGACCTTTGTTTTCTGTTTCGTTTAGCTTAAAACAAGAGACAAAGGCCTTCCACTTACTCTAACCGAGTAAGTTTTGTTTATGCTAAACTTCAGTCCCCTCTTGTATTGTGCTATAAAGCAATCCACAATCCAAACCAATCATGCAGTACAGATGGTAGTAAAAGCTGCCAATTTCTTAAGTTTTGTTTCTGTACAGCGACACTGCTTGTATCGGAAAAATGTATGTGATATGAGATCAATTAATGATGAATGAGGTTGGAAAAATTAGAAGCCATCTTTTATTATTATGGCCTCATATACAATCATTTTGTTTTTTAGGTTTTGGGGGTGTGCTGAGGTGATGTATTGAATTACTTCATGTCAAACAGCACCATGGTTCCTCTATGACAAAAGTCCTCTATACTTACATTGCCAGCTTGCTGCGGCTGTAGGAGCGTCTCCACGGGGATCTGCAGGTCCTGCGAGCCGCCAGGGAGAGATCCGGCAACATGACAGCCAAGGAGGCCTCCAGGTTTCTGGGGCGGCCACACACAGCGTGCTCTGTTGAACAGTAGTAGGAGCACTGGCCATAGAAACACACATTACCCACTAGGGGGAGCCAGAGGAGCACAGAGAGAGGAAAGAAGACCAAAGACAAATTGGGATAAAAGAGGTTGTGAGCGGTTGTGGCCAGAGGGAATTAAAATATTCAATGACATTCATAATCAGTTGACACACAAGTGTATTTTAAGCAGGGTACATGAATAATGGAGGGTTATGTGAGCAGTACCAGGGGAGGTAAAAAAGGTTCGGGCCAGCTTGTGGTCGGTAGTGACGTCTTTGATCTGCTTGACCACATCCACCAGTCTCCCAACCACTGGAGGGACTCTCCTATAACCCAAAATTCTGCAGAGAGAGCAGGAGGAGAAGAGGACAAAGACATGTGGGAAAGACAGAAAGAGAAAACAAGGGAGGAGAGAAGAAAATCCATTTTGGGGTTACATAACATGCATTCATTATGTGGCCATTTCATCCATCATGTCCCCCACAGTGCAAACTCAAGCACTGTTATGTTGTAGTTTCTTAAAAAAAATAAATGGAGGTGGTACCTGTCCAGGTGAAAAGCTGCAATTTCTGCATTGTGTCTCTCAAAGTCAGAGAAGTAGAAGAGGTTATAATTGGTCTCTTCATCTCTCGCCTGCCTGCCAGAGAGGCAAAGTCATAATCTAGTCACCATAAAATCTATTAACAAACACTTGAGATTTTCAAACATTAGACATTATCCTCCTTAGCATTTCCTCAAACAATATATTTCTCAGTTGTCTGAAGGCTTAAAAAACCCTCATGGTTTATTGGATTAATTTTAAGACAGCTGAAAGGATTTAATCTTCCCTGGATTTTATGCACTATCTGTAACATGAGCAATGTGTTGGAATTGCCACCTGTGACTCACTTCATGGGTTTAAACATGGCTTGTCCATAGTTAGGAAATGACATCACGAGCTTAAGTTGCGTCCCTCCAGACTTCTGCACTAAAAAAAAGACAACAGAATGTTTCCATAGCAACAACGCACACATTTCACACACACACACACACACACACACACACACACACACAGAAAATATGTGCGTCATCACCAAGATATAACACAGTTCAGTCAGTTTGTGGAGACACACCACCGTGTCATCTCTCTGACACATACATACACACATGGCTTTTGCTATGTTTGGCGCGACATTGTATTACATGCATTCATTCCCATGAGTGCTACCGAGCCTTAACTGAACAACGTGGTATTATCAGAAGCATTACAATACGTTAGAGGGATGTGTCCTTAATGTTTCTATATATCAAATCCAATTATCTCTTTTTTATCACATCATTTCAATATATCTTAATCATGTTGGATGGCAATGATGCAGAGAATAAGACACATGCCTTTGGTGTGAGAGACCCGGGTTCAGTTCCCACTGTGATACATCCACTATTGTGTCCCTGAGCAAGACACTTAACCCCTGGTTGTTCCAGAGGCGTGCGACCTCAGACATATATAGCGATTGTAAATCGTTTTGGATAAAAAGCCTCAGCTAAATATAATGTAATATTGTTTAACTGTACATGTTTTTCTTTTTCTCCTTTTTTGGTTTCTTTCTATGTCTTCATATCTTAGGAACCAATAACTCCTTAACAAGTACCACTTTTTTGTGCACGTGTTTATTGTCCTTGAGATCTTTTCATTATAGTTGTTGTTACAGTAGGCTGTTGCACAAATGTGATTAAACATTTTGAAGTTGATTCCATTGTTTTGTATCTACTCCTGTTGCCAAAAAGCAACTGTATCAGTGAACTTGGCATCTCAAATTTATTTACATAGATAAAATGTGAGGGCTTGTGCTTTTTAATTTGTCAAGGTTGAGTGAAAATTCAACCAGACAATCCCAAATAAGATTTCTAAAACCCCTCCATGCCAATATTTATGCCGCTTTCTTGGGGGTGGGTTAGAGTAGAGGCCCAAATGAGCTGTGATGATGTCTCTGTCAGTTCATTCATTAACTGATTTATGACTTTACTTACTTTAAGAGGTCAATTTACCAATTTTGTAACCCAAGCCCAAATTTCATTATTAAGGCCCACGCAGATTGTCCACTAAAACAAAATGTCCTCACAACAATGCTGTCAGAGGTCAGTCCTTAAACAAGAACACACACAAAACACAGCATGAGGCACCACGCTGACAGTGAAAAACTTGGAGAAACATGCATGATTGATTGACACTGAGATGTTTGCTACATTGCCAGTGGCTCATGTATTCCTATCCATCCTCTGCTGAGCCACAAAGGCCCTTCAAAGTTTCACAGTAGCTTTCACTTCAGGAGAACTTCAACGTGTATCTACATTTGAAAGTCTAACCGCAAACCTCAGATGCCACACAATCACAACCCTCCCCTTTGTCTGCCCTCCCCCTCCCTGAAGCCCACCCACCTTTATTACCACAGGTTTATGTCTGTGAGAAAATTAGTTTTGGTTCTGATAGATCTACTTCTTTTCAAGACACCGTGTTGTTCTTGTGCCGTCTGCAGTCCTGCAAAAGCCTGTCACACGCATATTTATTGAAGAGATTCAGCGAGTCACCTTCTGAACTGAGTCACGTCCTCTACTCGAAAAACATCTTGCATTTTCTAGTCTGACACCTTCTCTGTCATGCAGGTGGGGGTTAGGGTTAGGGTTAGAGTTGATCGGTGTTTTGCAACAGTGTCAGGCTCTGTGTTGTGCGCCGGTCATTATGGTGGAGAAAAACTGTTGAACAAATACAAAAACAAAACAACGCACGGACATATCACCCACAGCTCAGAAGTTTTGTGTCACACCTGCACTGACAATGCGGTCTGTGGCGAGCTGCCGGGTCAGTGGCTCCATGTTGGGGTCCCGATGACGGTACAGCTGCCAGCGGGAGATGCTCAGGTGGAAGCGCAGCCATGGAGGATGGCTATCACTGTTGATGTTCCACTCGACGTTGTCGTAGCCTTCCTGGCTAGCACTCACCCTGAAAAGAGAAGTAGGTGTGAAAAAGATGTGGTGGGATAAAGGGGGACAAAGAAGAGAATGTCAGCATGACGTTATTCTCTCAGATTCACTTTGTGTTACAGAGACTGGCACTGAAAATGCCTTTGCTAGACAAGGAACTGATGATTTTTCCAGCAGCTTCACTAAGAAAATTACATTCCACAAAACAAATACTTAGTCAATTAACAAATTAGCTGATCAACAAAATTTTTCTGCAACAGTTATCGTAATTGATTAAGTTTTGTATTTTTCAATGCTAAAATTAGCTGCTTTTAAAAACTGAATCTCTTTGAAGTCATTTGAAAATTAGGTTCTTGACAATTGTGATGGGACATTTTCTGACATTTTATGGATGAGCAATAATCATCCATCCATCCATCCATCCATCGTCAACCGCTTATCCTGCGTACAGGGTCGTGGGGGGTTGGAGCAAATACCAGCTGGGCGAAAGGTGGGGTACACCCTGGACAAATCGCCAGTCTAAGGACTACTTTTAGAGACACCAATTAACCTAGCCTGCATGTCTATGGATGGTGGGAGGAAGTTGGAGAACCCGGAGAGAACCCACGCGGACACGGGGAGAACATGCAAACTCCACACAGAAAGGCCGGTGCAACCCACAACCTTCTTTGAGCAATAATCAATTAATTGAAAATAATTGACGAAATAGTGTAGGCGGTTGTAGAGACTGAATCTTGCTCAGGAGCAGACTAACGGAAAGAAGCCACAACAAATACAAAGCTTTCTAATGAGGTCACTCACATCTTGTTGAGTCTGCAAGGGCTGTGTAGCCCACTTGTTTAGTTTTGTTTAGACTTTTGAAGACATACATTAACTGACAACATACAGTAGCACTGTACATATCTGCAAAAACTTCTTGCTGCAGCTTTGTGACACAGCAGTCTTGACAACAGGAGATCATTTCAGCTCCCTGCAGTCTGACCCATCTGGTGAAAATCGTGTTGTACTTTTCATTTGTATTTCAGAGGAATATGCAAAGAAACAAGTGTAACATTACCAGAATTCAAAAATAATTTGTCTATACGTTTAGTTTACAGCTTTGCAACTGTTTACCCTAATATGTACAGTCTGTGTATTTAAAATTTTGATATCCTAGTGCACTTTAACCTGAATGTACACTAACCGATGGGGACTTGTGTCACTGTGGAGACGATAGAAGAGAAGATATGGTTTTAGGCTTCAGGTTAGAATTAGGTTAAGGTCAGAGTTACTACAATTATGTTTGGTTAAAGCTAGGGTGAGTAATTTATTTCAGATCCATTTTGTGTTATGTATGTTAAAAAAAATCAATATTAATAAATCAAATTCTCTGATGCAAAAATGAAAAACATCTGGTATCTGTGGCTGTCGCATTATCATTAACAAACGTTCACTTTTGGCTTCAGGTGAAGATGCCAACGATGGTCGTTCAGACTTGGTTTTGTGTTGCTCTAACAACCATAACGACTGTCGTTACAACAGCCAGAAGCACTAACGAACCAGCGGTATCGATTATCTTGGCAAACGACCCCACAGAGGTTAAAAAGCTGAGTTTCCCTACCAGTCAGTCAGAACTGAAGAAGTCTCTTGGATGAGGGAAGAAATGTCTTCTAGTATCTTCAATCAAGTCCAGTTGCCCTTGACACACACACTCACACACACACACACACAAAGTCTTTTGCACATTCACAGTATCATACTGACCACATCTGGGAGCTCTTCTCACTAGCCTTGACCTTTGATTTCACTTTCAAAAGCCAGTCCTCCTCAGGGATAGAAGGGCTGGGCATATTGTAAAGAGGATGGTCAAACAGGGCCTCTAGCTTTGACAGCCCAGACTCCACAGATTCAGCTCGGTTGGTACCATGGCGACCCGCATTGTCTGGCATGTTCACAGTGGCATTTCTACCTTCTTTCACTAATGAGAACACGTCAGAAAGTGTTCGCACATGACCTTTGGCATCCTCATTGGCACCTTTATTGGAAGAATCTCTATGTGTGGTTTTAGTCTGTGGCTCAGCTGGAACACTGATCCCCACAGAGTTGTAGTTTGCACTTGCCAGGTCTCTCAAGATTTGTGTCCTGGGTGGCAGTGGGAGGTTACAAGGCTGGTGGTAAATGGGAAGAGAGACAAACACCAGGAGGAGGTGGAGGAAAATGGCGATGAAGGCCAAGGACAGACAGATTGTCCTGGAGCGACAGCGCATACGCCACATCATCCTACTGAGAGGAGGGCAGGAGGGGAGAGCACATGATGGGAAGAAGAGAGAAAGAAAAATGTGGTGAAAAGATTTCTTAAAAAACCTTAGGAAAATGTGAGAAAAGCCATTTAGTGTATAGTGTTAAAAACTAATTAAAGTGGTCATATTATGCTCATTTTCAAGTTCATAATTTTATTTAGTGGTTGTACCAGAACAGGTTTACATGGTTTCATTTTCAAAATTTTAAGGACTAGTAGAAGAAGGGTGGGACGGGTCCTGATAAGCCGGTAACTATGGCTTTGGTTTAGCTCTACATGTTTCCAAACCAGCTTAGCAACCTAGACTGAGGAAAGAGTTTCAAAATGGATCTTTTATACATAACATTTTTACTACACACTGTTTGTCCATCACAGTAACAACTTTATGTCCACTGACTGTTTGGAGAGTTTCTAACGTTTGGTAGGGAGGGTGGGGGTGAGGGGAGGCAGCAGGTGGATGTCTTGTCCCTGTGTGTGCTGCAGCTCACTGTGTTTCTACCACCAGTGTGTTTGAAGGCGTGCCTGACTTACCGCTAGGCAAGCTTTATGACGAGTGTTACATCGTGATGCAGAAAGGTTAGATATAGGCTATATAGGCTGGAATTACAATCCAGCTGTTTTCAGGCACTTCAGGAGCCGTGTTTTCTATAAGAGATGGTAACTCCCTTTGAGGTGGTTTTTTTACTTTGCAAACCTATTACATGCACAAAAAGACATAACACAATAAAGGAAAGGGAAAAGACCAAAAAGCACAATATGACCCCTTTAATATAACAGCATCTAGCAAACCACTGCAGACATAATGAAGAACATGGACTAAATAAGGCATTTAGGATGCTCTTCCACACTAGTCCTACCTAGTCAGTCTAGTCCTACCTACTACCGTTCTCATATGAACATACAGAAATCACCAAAGTACAAGAAGTACAAATCATCTTCCATATGCAGAGAAGCAAAAGACAACTTACACACAGCGTCCTTCCTTTTAAAATGCTTTCTGTCACCCTGCTGCTGTTGTTTCCCAGTAGGATATGATGGGACCCTATCCAGTATCCAGTCAGCCTTTACCCAGTTGTTTGTACTTTTCTCTACTTTTTTTCTCTACTGCTACAAGGATCAGGAAGGGAGGGGTGCCAGGTTAAAGTGATCTGGATGCAGATCAATGTGTTTACTCTCTCTTTTAAAGTCAGTTTTTTTCTGCCAGTTTATTTGTTTTGTGTGTCCTGTTGTCAGTGTATTCATCATTTCAAAATTCTACTTTAGGAAGTCATTTCCACAATTTAACTTGTACACTGATGATCCAAGAATTTAACCTTATTCCACAGAGTCCCTGAAGTCACGACACAAGTGTGTGATAAAAGAAACACTAAAAGTGTGTATTTTAGGGTAATCTATTGGAATGGCAGTTTTTTAAACATTATTTTAAAGGAATCATAAAGAGCTAATCGACACAATTGCGTTTCTTTGATGTGGAAAACTGGCTAATGTATGGCTTCAATGAAAAATAAGATTACTCCTGTCTTTAAATTCAACAATTTCTGACTTAAATTCTGCCTCTAAGGGCAGGAAATCCCGTTTGCCCTCCTACTCTTGAGCTGAAATATTAACTTTCTGTTGACGACAATGTAGAGATGGAGAATCTGTTACCCCAGACACACATCCTTGCTCACACTTACTTACAAAACTGAGAAATTCATGAGAAACTGTTAAGTAATCAGTTATTTTGTGTGTTATTAGACAACGCATGTGTAAATATACTGTATGTACATAAACAGTAAATTATCTGCAGTCAGTTAGAGGCTTCTACAAAGTAGACTTCATAACCAGGCAGTGGTAAGACAGATGTTTCATATTCTGTGTGTGTGTTTGCACTGAGACTTTGATTTGGGCACCTCAGACCTCTTGGAGAGTCCCGCAGGATACACTGTGTCTGTGAAGTACAGCTCTTTAAAGTCTGTATATGTTCTTGTATCTACATGTTGTATAGGTGTGCGTTCACACAGAGCAATCCACGTGAAAGATTTGAAAGAGTTTAACAAAACTTATGTGTCATACCCAAGTGAATAGCTGTATTGTGTCTATTGACAGAAAGGGATCACATCTTAAAAATCACAGTATGACTCATCTCTATTGAGTGCATTGAACAGATTTAGTGCAAGCTTTTTTTCTGTATTCGTGCAGGTGGCCATATTCATTTATTATTTATCAGCACTCATAAAACATTGATATTTTGGATTGCAACATGAGCTACATGCAAATGAAGCAGACGAAATGAACATTATGAAAATCACTGTGGGATTGAAGCTTGTTGGAGACTAAAGGAAGGAGATTATGTTTTTGAATGTTTGCAGTGTTTACTAAGGATGAATCTCTCTTAATGAGTGACTATCAAAAACAAATACAAAGTTATGTGGCTAAAGAGACCACAAAAAGATATAGAGGGTCTGGTTTATTTCACCTGCCGGGATGTCTCAGTGGATCCAGAGGATTAAAATTAAAAATATTAGGACACATCTCAATGGATGTCAGACCAAAACAGGGCGGACCAAAGGGGGAAAATGTTGAAACAATGTAAAAATGACAAGATGTTACTGGTTTTAAAAGAATACTGTTAATATTATATATCTAAGTATTGCATATATGTATGTAGGTAGGGAGAGGGATTAACAACTGGGCTGACCGCTGGCCTGTACAGGTGTTAGCTGTAAGCTGATTAGCAACCAACTGTGTGTGCTGTCTTTGCGTGTCTCTGATCAGCTTTTGACTAAGGAACTCCACTTCTTTTTGTAGGAATCATGACGGGGGCAAAGGAGGAAGTCGGGATCATTATTACAGCCAAACAAAGTCTGCATAGGAAGGAGGTCCCCTAACTCAGACACATAGTGTGGTATATTGCACACTGATCATTTCACAAAACCTAATCAAGCTATTTTTGTGCCTAAACTTGACCAAACATCAACCATAGTGTTATAACATCATAAAATGGATTTATTTTTCAACAGTGGTTCGTAACGGTTTTGGAAGGCACAGTCTGTGACGTTCTAGAGGATTTGGGGAACAAACAACGTACCTTGTAGTATTATAGGACTTCACATTATTGTCATATTCATCAAGCCATTCAGGGAATCATCTGGATTCATGATATTTTTACACTTATTTTTTTTCTTTTTTATGTTGTTGTTTTTGACTCCAGGTTCACCACTGAAACTGTAATAATAACAAAAGTTACTGCTTTTCATTCTACTTACCTTTTCTTGTCATTGTAATTCATTTGACTATGCTTGTATTATTCTGTCCATCTGATTAAATTAAAATCAGTGTTTGCTTGAACTCTGTAGCCCTCTGGCTTATTTAATTGTAGTCATTTGTGCCTTGTTATATTATTTTCAAGGTTTTTAGCACCATCTAGAAGTTGCACATCATATTTTGTGATATCAAGATATCATTTGCATTAGTTACACTTTCTTTCTTTAGTTAGACAAATATTATGCTTAAAGCAAAAACTTCTCAAGGATATCTTCAGCCTTCGGCAAAGCAAAATCAATCAGAAGACACGATGCAAACAGCATCATAACCGTCATCTCCATGCCTTTTGCTCCAATGTTTTGATTTGTTTTTCTTACTTTAGCTCACCTGCCAGTGCTCTGGTCCTTTTGCTTTTTGCTAAGTGTCTTACTTTTTGTCTAATGCACTCTCACTGTCTCTGTCCCTCACTGATGTATTATAAACAAGCTGGTTCAGGCTTGGTCCACACATCTACACTCTACACTCATCTTTTATCCCCCTCTGCCTCTTTACTCTCATTCATTTCAACACCCTCCTCCATTTTCCCCAAACTTATTGTCCCCCTCTATTTCAGTCTGGAAATGAACTAATGAAACACACAGCCACAGCTACTGATGGTCAAAGTAAGAGCTGCCTCACACACACTCTTGCAGAAAGACACATACACACTCATATTAATATTGGATTGTGTTTCTCATTTCTCAATATAAAAAGTCCACTAGCAATGTTCAGATGAAAAATTTATCCCTCTCGTTCTCTTTTGCTGTACTCTGTCACCCTCCGTCTCTAACCGTCCGCTCTACTCCTCTCTAACTCTCTGTATCCTTGAGCGACTGTGAATTTTCAGCCTCTAATCTTTTGTCCCAAAACCCACTTTCCCTCTATCACAAAGTTTCTTTTTTCAGTCACAGGAATTCTGTGAGCTGTCAGACAATATTTTCTCAACCCCCTACAGATGTCTTCTCTCTTTTACTTCCTGTGTCTTTCTCTCTCTCTCTCTCTCTCTCTCTCTCTCACACACACACACACACACACACACACACACACACACACACACACATACACACTCAGGGAGTCTCCAACCATCCACACATCCTTGCAGGTGGTAAGGGGGTTGCTAAGATACGGCACTGAGCTTTTTCAACACAGAGATGCTGCGAATGAAGAAACAGTGTGAAGGCACAAAACTGTGTTTGAAGTTCAACATCAACAGTTAAAGCACTAATCAGTGGTATTGCCACATGAATATAACTCTAATTCTCTACTGTCTGTTGCTGTAACACACTTTGTGAAACTTTAATAAATGCTGTCCTAGCAGCCACCACCACTACTACAGCAGGTAGGACCTAAAGAAGAAAGTAGTCTAATTTGTTTTATAAATAAAAAGCTGTAGCATAACAGCTTTCTCCACTCTGGCAGAAATTGCATTTTGGTGGGGACTATTGTTTTAATTTATCCATTCTAGTACAAGGATTTCTGTTTTAATGGCACTGGGTCTAAAAAAATATGGCTTCTGCCCTTGGAAATTCATTATGTGTACTAATCTTAAACCAATTCCAGATTTTAAAATGTAATCTGGGGCAGCGCAGTGGTGCAGTGGTTAGCACTGTCGCCCTCAAACCCCGGTTGCCCCAGCTTTTCTGTGTGGAGTTTGCCTGTTCTCTCCGGGTGCTCCGGCTTCCTCCCACCATCCAAAGACATGCAGGCTAGGTTAATTGGTGTCTCTAAAATTGTCCTCAGGTGTGAGTGGTTGTTTGTCTATGTGCCTTGCCTGATGTAAGCTGGGATTGGCTTCAGCAAAGCTGTATGCAGGATAAGTGGTTGATGATGAATGGATGGAAAGTGTAATCTGCCCTTTAGGTCCCAAAATTCCCAGACAATAATGCAGAGAACATGATTTCTGTCATGCAGCAACTGTGGTTTATTTGCAACAAATAGGACTAGAAGAAGAGAATAACAACTTATAGCTACAGTAATCAATATTTTTGATATGCACTTTGAATCAAATTACTAGGTGGGATGTTTTAATTTATCATACAGTGATTTTCCCCTCAGTTCTACGTTTAGCATCTTCCAGCTCACTGTTTTGGTTTTACAGCCATTACCATACCGTGTTTGTTCACTCTCCTACCACTCCCATCAACCCTGTCTGTAGCTGCAGCAAGCGGTTGTCATCAGACAAAAAAGCTCTGATAAATGCACTGTACACTACCTGCTCAGCACGAAAAGGCAGACAGACAAAGTAAGCAACCACCTGGTAAACACTGTGGAGGATGGAGCAGCTAAATAGCGAGACATTTCCCTCAGGAGTTGATGGAGAGAGAAAAAAAGAGCTATAAGAGAAGATTAGACTGATATTTACCACGTGAACAGAAACATGACTCCGAATGAATACTAATGTTGACCCCATGTCTTCTGGATATGTAAATAGGCAACTGTTTGCTAACACATTCTCGCTAACAACTTTATGAGATCATGATGTCAATGTTGTGTTTACAGCTTGTTCAGCTGCATCAAAAGACTAAAAAAAAATCAGTGAATGCACATTTTACATTAACAGCAAAAGCCATGTAAACATAAAGAGCACAATCTACAGTAGCGGTATGGTGCATTCATCAACTCAACCTTGGACATTTCTAAATTAGCATTATGAAATTTTACTCAAACAAGCAACATAGCAGTGCTTCAAGTGCTCTACCTTTTTAGTCTGTCTTTTAATAGAACTTTATTTATCTGTCTATTTTTACATTTTAATCAGTTTTATTGCTTGGTATTTCTTTCATTATTTTGAGTTTTTAATTAGAAATTAATTGCTTTGGTGTGGAATATTGTTTTATCGTCTAATGTACTTTCTGTTGCAGTTTGTATGAAAAGTGCTATACAGAAAGTCTGATTGTTTGATAGTAAAAGTTGTAATGTAGTTCACCATATGATGACAGCAGGCAGAGAATGGAGCAGGTTACAGGAAAATGCATTACTATAACTTTCAGTTCTTAATGTGCAACGTTATTGTAACTACATTCGGTGATGAACAAAACATTCAGCCAACTAATCCATTCATCCATAAATGCAATAAAGTACTTGGTCATGTGACAATTTTTACAAGTTCACAAGGGCTGAGCCGTTTGATTAATAGGTAATCTCTGGGTCTCTCAGCAGTAAATCTAGTAACAGGCGAAACAGATCGCCCATGTGGTCTTAGGGAGATGTGTGCATGACAATTAACATTTTTCTCTCGTGGTAATGTGTCCCTAACTTCACTTTGCCTGTTGCAGGATAATGAGCCTTCTATTCATACACTGGGTAGAGCATTTCAGTTTTGAGACTGAGCAAACTAGCAGTCTTTGGTGTGATTCTGTGGCTCTTTGTATGAATATTTAACAACGTGGAGACAGAGAGAGGGAGGAGATATATAAAGAGTGTCTGAGGTGAATAATGAATGAGATGCATCACAGGGTGGAACTGTGTTTACTGACGCAAGACCCACCGGATTAATCAGAGGGTTGTTACAATTACTGCAGAGTGCGAAGGATCCTGGTGAATCCAGACGTATCCGTCAAACCCATTTCAATTATAAAGGACATTAGATGTTTATTAGATGGAGAAATGTCAAAGGATTTGTAAGCTAGTGGTTCTCAAACCTGGGGTGATTCTCACCATCAGAAATGTCATGAATGGATTTGACTTTCTTGCCAAAACTCCTTTTAAGAACTCTCTGGCAACATTACATGGAAAGAGATCACACCTGTCAGTGTTGCAAACATTGTATGCATTTATTGGCCATGCCAACATAGCTATTAACTGTGGTAGTGACATGGCAAAACTGGATGAACGTAACAGTCTACTTTGAAAGAACTCCAAATGAGTCACTACTTGTAATGAAAGTCATACATAATAAAACAGGATGCTCTGAAATAAAGATACATTGATTCTCGCTGACAAAATCATAGAACCTTCAAGTCTTTTTGAAGGACCACAGGTGGGAATTAAACCTGTTGTGGTTGTTTGTATTCTTCAGATTTGGGAATGGTACTTTTGTTCTGAAATTGTATGTTGAGCAACAAAAATAACAGACAAGAACAATTACCAAACAGAGAAGTTAATTGAACTAATGTGATGTCCCTGATTCTTATGGTCTAAACTGAAGACCATAAGAACAGGAGGATTATGATCCACAAAAGAGCGGCCTATCCAGATCTTATCGCAATGACTGCATTTCTCAAACATCACTAATGCTTAACATATGTTCATTTTCCTGCAAAGGTAAAGTTAGCTCCTTTAAGTTACATCAAAGTTAGTAATTTTTAAATGGGCAATTGAGTATGATTAATCTGGAAAGACATCAAGAACTAAAGCTGGAGGCTTTAAGTGGTATGGCGACATTAACATTTTACAACAAAGCCACAGCATCCCTCAATTTCTGACCCATTTGTTCCATCCATCCATCCATCATCAACCGCTTATCCTGCGTACAGGGTCGCGGGAGGCTGGAGCCAATCCCAGCTGACATCGGGCGATAGGCGGGGTACACCCTGGACAGGTCGCCAGTCCATCGCAGGGCCGTTACCCATTTGTTAACATACTTTATTGGGGTCCAAATTTTCAAAATGTAGCGTGACATTTAATGGTTTAGATGTTACAGAACAAAATGTTTAAAAACAGCAAAGTCACTTCTCAGAACTCTCTGTAGAGACAAAGTCTCAATTGTCATTGCCTGTTATTTATCAAACATCTACAGGTAAGATTCACAGATAAAGTATTACTAATTAGCAGAATTTGTGTGTGTAACATGACTTTGGATAGCTAAAGTGTGCTTAACCATCAGGTGACAGAAAGACTGACTATTTACTGCAAAGGAAGAGAGCTTTGTGACAAATTAGAGGCTTTGGCTTTAAGACTGTGAACAGAGCAGAAATGGTGAGAAAGAGTGTTACTGAGAGTTGTGTCATTTGTGAGACCAGGGTGCAGGCTGACCTGATTCAGGGTCATGATGTTTGAATACACAAATGCTGAGGTGAAGTTGCCAGAGTCTGCTAATCTGTCAATAATACTCCTGCTCCACTGCTAGGTCAAAATGCCCGCTGCAATGTCATTGTGCAAAAGGGACACTTCAGTAACACACAAATTCTCTTAAGCCAGTGAAGTGTCATTTCTCACTTTCAGCTCCTAAAACCTGCAGTACAAATATTAACTGTTCCGTTCTTATGGTCAGCTGTGAACTATTCTTTTAGCATACACTCTTAACATACGGTTTCTGCACATGTGCTCTGAAAGTAAAGCTACTTCTCTATTTTATGTGCTGCATATCAGCAGTGCACCGGTTCATGTGCGTCAGTGAATTGCTCACAGGAGGCCACACAAAGCAGTCACATACATAATGTTATAAATAAATCATTAAATTTATTAAAATAATACATTTGATTTTATGATAGTGGTTTAGGCTATTTTAATTTTAGTAATTTCACATGTTCATATTTTGTTTATCACATATCACTGTCGGGTTAATTCAGTTGTCCCATAGAAACTTGTCCCGTTTTGACCAGTACACTCAGGGTGCGAACTACGGGGAGCTCAGCTCCCCTAAAAGCATGGTTTGTGATATTTTGGGGGGGGGTCTCTAAAATATTGAAAGCATGCGTTATATTAATCTATATTTCTCTATCATGGATCATGCGGAGCGTCAGACTTCACCTAGCCAGAGGGAACGATTACAGACCGACCGCAGTGGGCCAGTCGCTCCGCGATCTGTCCCTGGCCCCGTACGCTCCACCACCCCACTCCCTCTCTGGTAAGGGTTGGCACAACACCAGCGCACTGTGAACGGATCATGATCGTTCCCTCTGGCTGGATGAATATAACACATGATCCATGCACTACTGCAGCACTACCTGCAGTGCCACGCAACTTTCTAAATTCTTCCCTCACGGAGAAATGAAAGGTCAGATCACAAACACAGCCGCAGTTGTTCATATAAGACAAACATGCCTGATACTTTCACAGTCAGCCTTTGGCCTAGATGCTTGCGGCTATTAATGATTCAGCAGTAAGAATTCCAGTCTGTCCCCCCATAACGCAGAAACATATTTTTTGGTTACTTTTATGGAGATAGTGATGAAACTGCAAATGGTATTTGTCAAGTTCTGATGAAATGGAAATAAAAAACCAAACATCGATGTTTTCGTCATATGTACATGAAGGTGATAACCTTTTCTAACCTACAGTGCAAGAGTTAAATGTTTTGTATTAGACAAATAGTAAAGGTACAGTAAGTAGGCTTATTACTGTATTAAGGTACCTGCTACAAAAACCTACCAAGAGATTAGCTATCATAACAAATTGCTTAAAACCGCCGCAGTGATGTCACCTGTCAGTGTGTGAGTGACTAAACGTGCTGCAGAGCCAAAGGATTGGGGTCTGAGTGAAAACTGGCAGTGACAGACACTAGCTATCAGTTATTAATCCCTCCTGAAGCAATCAATAAGCCTGTGTGTACTGACAGCTGTTCTTGGAGTTGCTCAGGTTGTCCAGGATCTGTTCCAGGGTGAGCTGAGCCAGTTTACTGCTGGAACTGCGAAGACTGAGGACGGAGACACAACCGCTGTTCAACAGGTATCCAGAGACAGTCCTCATCTCTGTCTCTTTGTTCTGATTGTTCTTGATCAGCTGGGTCCTGATGTGTTCTCCCAGCGTGTTGTCGTGATTGGACAACCAGTATCTCAGGATGCTGGTGGTGAACTGGTCCTCGGGGTGACAGGGACGACTCAGGACCATCTTCACCATCTCCTCACTGGGCCTGGGACACACAGACAGGGATGTTAACAGGGTGTGTTGATAAAGTATTGTCTTTACTCTGAAAGGTTTTATTGCACATACTTACAGTAGGCCAAACTTCACCATCTCCACCACGATGGCGAGGCATCTCGCTCTGCTGGCTGCTGTGTGGATCCGACAGAGTAGCAGAGGCTGCAGCCTGATGATAAACAGTACGGGGCCCCATTAACACCCCGTTTCAGTGCCATCATTAGAAACATTAGCTTTCTTATCCATCGCGTCTCAAGAGAAATCAGATTAGACGCTCGAGACATAACGTTACATTATAGGACCCACTAGTCTCGATGTTTGAGAAATTTTAGAACCGGATATCAATCCCCATCCCTACTTAGCACTAGCCAAACTGATTAGCATGTTAGCCGTTAGTTAGCTCGCCAGTTAAAGAAGTTCACCAACTAGCCCTGAGTTGTCACCGAGATTCTGGTCAGGCCTTTAAACTAATGCAGTTATTGTTTCTACTAAACTCCATTCAATTTAGAGAACACACTCATTGGACAATGTCAACGATGAATCACTGGGATGGACAATGACATTGATAGGCGACGTAATTAACAAGCTTTCATGCGGTGCATCTACTGCGGTGTAAAAGGATCACAGGTGGAAGTGTCCAGAAAAGTCTTTTCTGCGACTAAACATACCCTACTGCTTATGGAGAAACTCAGGGAAGCAGACAGGGAGAGAGAGGCAGGGAAAGCTGGTGTGCAGTGAGAGACCATTAGTGAAGGTGTATGTGTGAGTGCAGGGAGAAGTCAACGAGGCAGGTACATTTAGAAATAAAAATAATGTCCGTGGGGATTAAAACATGCTTTTCCAATGGTCGCAGATTTGATGCTTCGATGGGCGGTGCCTGATTCAATGTCAATCTCACAGTGGAAGCTTTGCAGTGAAACAAGGATCATGCTATTTTGGCTATATGTGGGTGCTCAATGTCTGACTTTACACAGAACTACCATTTTCTCCCAGTGAGTTAATATACAGCCTATTACAATATACATTACAACGTTTAATGTTGTAAACATGTAAAAAGAATAAAACTTTCCAAAATTGTAACCCTAACCCTGGGTCATCAATGCGCATTTGCTGGAGTGGCACGTGTGTGTATCTATCTAATATACATTTATATACACACACACACACACACACACATAAAATGTATTACTGTTGATGAACCACACAAAGATTATTATATCATTTTTAGATAGCCGCCTACTTGAAATAGACCTGCGTGGAACCACGACCTGCATGCAGTTGTCAGCAGCACCGCATGCACGCAAAAGACCGGTGAATGACAGGCGAGGGAGAGAGAAAAGGGTCTTCAAAAAGCCTCAATTTAGCTGGTAATTTACAGTGCAAGTTGAATGAATAGGGACTGCAGCTCTGCAGCTTCTCAAGATTAAAGCGGAGCTACCGTGTGTAACAGTTTGTCATACCCATGCCTAAAAGAAACATAAGTTTGTCAAGACCACCACCTATAGCAATGTTTCTTTAACTTTACATTAATATTACTGAGACAAGACAATTTTACATGAGTCAATTTTACATTTGCTCATTTGGTCATACCTGTTAAGTATCCCGTTTTGGCTGGGAAAGTCCTGTATTTTACCCTTCTTTCCCGCCGTCCTCCCGTATTAGTATTTTCCCGTAAATCTCCCATATTTTAACCTGTGTTATTAAAAAATAATAATACCCCAGGCCCGGGCGGAGTAAAAAAAAAAAAAAAAAACATTCCCAATCTGAGCTCTGTCACTAGCCTCGCGATAACTGCCACCTGCAGGTTCAAAAAAACAAAACCCTCATGTAAAATTAACCACACTGGCCTAGCTCACAAATACACTCCTTCCAAAACAGTCTTAAAGAATGCAAAGTCTGCAACAAATTTGTACAATAACTCACTAAAAGAGTAAAGAAAGTTATGTGAAATTAAAAGAAAAACTTAAAGCAATATGAAATGGAAAGAATGTGTGGAATGAAAATAAAATGTAAATGTAAAGACAAGCAATGTTAAATGAACAGAAAATATGCAAATAAGTATTTAAATAAATGCTCTTCATATATACCCTTTTGTCTTAAAATGTAAGGGATACTGGAGCTTGGTTGGGGCGGTGGGACTGCTTGCGTTGGGCGCCGGAAAAAATGCAAACCTGACAGGTATGCATTTGGTAGATACTCTTATCCAAAGCAACTTACATTTCAGCATACAAGCATTTACAAAGCAAGATTAATTGAACTAATGTAGACTAACCATGATCCGTTAACTTTTTGCCTTTCACCCATAGACTGTATATAAAAAGCTTTCACCGCATGTCAACAGCCACTCCTCTGTTGGTGAGAGCCAGACAAGCATGTTTGTGTGCTCATTCTCTGGGGGAATAGCCATTGGACTGTCTATTCTTTGAATGATGTCTTTTGGACCAATAGTATTTGAGAAAAGTGGGCGAAAGTACCTCCTCCGCCTGTACTTGGATGCGTTAATGGTGTTCCGTACAGAGCGCATACCTTGATTTCAACTGCGAAAATTTACTTTAAATGGATAATTTTTGAGCTGTTTATTTCTTTTAACGGAAGAGTATACTATTGAAATCTATAAGAAAAGTGAGTACATTTATTTTTGTTAAAACCTAGGTTAATTAGGCCAACTTTACTGCTTAATAATAATAATAATAATAATAATCCTTATTTGTAGAGCACTTTTCAAAAACAAGTTACAAAGTGCTTTAACAAGTGTAAAGAATAATACAAAATAAGCTAGACGACCATGCGAATTAGGCATGATTGTGTCGTGATACTAATTAAGGCACGTGAGTTAAGCATGAACCATGTGAAACGTTAGTCAGCAACGTTACCATATCTTTCTGAAGAACAAGAAGGAGGGGAAACAATTTGCATTTGTTTAAAAAATTTAATAACTGAAAGTAACTAATGTGCAAACCATGAACTTAAAAATTAAATGATTAGGATACTACGTGTTTGTGCGCATGTGAGTGTTGTAACGCGTGTGTGTGTGTGCACCATTTACAACTATTTACAATTAACACTAAACTGATTAAAAATTCTAGAAATTGTCAGTATATCAGCAGTAGGATGTGTTCATTTTGTGTGTGCACTATTTAAAACTATTTACATTGTGTGTGTGTGTATGTGATTATATGGACAGACAACATTTATGACAAAGCCACTCCGTGTCTGGCTCTTCCTCCACCCCAGCGCACTCGAAGTGGAATCACAGTTGGCAAAGGTCACACTGCACCCATTCATCAATGGCCCCTTCTCCTGAGCCAGGTGAGACCACTCTACTGCAGACAACGCAGTGTTCCCCATCTTCCTCAGTTGGAGATGGTGCCTGTTTCTTCTGCCTTGGCCTTCTGTGCTTGTCTTTTTTCCTCCTTCTTCTTTGCCATATCTTCCTTGCGCTTTCTCTTCTTTTCTTCCTTCTCTTTCTCCTCTGCTTCTTTCTGCTCCAGCAGGTGAACGTACTCGTCACTGGTGATGACACGGGCCGGCAGCGGAAGGCGACGCCTTACCTTCTCCTTCCTGTCCAAGGCTTGGCTCATGAGTACATTGGCCAGACTTTCTGGAATGACACCTGCTGCCACCAGGTAATTTTGTGGACTGGCCATTTTACAAGTGGGGCAAGGAGTGGTGGAGGGAGTGGCTGATGTCTGTGTGTCAGTAGGTGGATCTTTGGTTGTGTGTGTGGCTGAGGGATTGACGGTAGTGATGGATGGCGTGGCATCCCTTTGGTCAGTAGATCGGAGCACTCTCACCACCTAAGAAAGTAAAGCATATTTAAAACTCATTAGCATACTACAAAGGGCAGATAGGCAGAGAATTTCAATGTCTTTTTCCCTGGTAGTACATTATTAAATTTTTTGAGACATGTGTCTTGTGTTGCTCCATGATAAGAATCAGAGGTCTGTCCTCCAGAGCATACTGCACAAAATGCCGGAGCCATTTGAGGAATAGCTCAGAGTCCATGTACCCCTTCTCCTGGATCCAATAGAGGGCGTTGGGAGGCCCATCCAGCCTATAGGCATTACTTGGGAGGCAGCCTGGGTAGATGATGAAGGGTCGAATGCTTTCCCCGGCTGCACTCACGCAGCAGTGCACTGTAATGTGCTCCCTGGTGGTCTGCTGTTGCTGGTAGACGTGCAGAGCACCTTCTCCCTGGACCTAGGTTTGTCTCCAAAGCCAGTTTCGTCACAGTTGAAGACTAGATGGGGCTTGTCTTCCAAACTGTGACGGATGAATAAGGCTTCATACAGATCAATGAAACCTCCAATGGCTTCAATCTGCTGTCCGGATGGCGGGCCTTAAATCTGGACCACCATCACACATCACATCACTCGGCCCCTTCTCTAGATTCACAGTTGTACTGTCAGCTCTGCCACCCTCTTTGATAATGGCACTAGCCAGCACTTTCACCAGAGATCTGGTGACTAGTAAGCCGTGGTCTGCCATCCAAAATATAAAACAAAATCAGTGCATCTTCTTCTGCAGGTGTCAGGGCCGAATTAGGATGAGGGTTGTGTGTGTATTTTTTCTTTTTGTAGTCCTGCAGGGTGGTGTGTGGAATGCCGTACTTTTTGGACGTCTGCCTCAAGCTTGCTCCTGCTCTCACTTCCTCAACTGCCTTTTCCAGCACCTCCTTTGTGTACTGCTTTTTCTTGCCTGACATTATATCACGTTCCCTTGTCTTGCTCTTCTTATTTTCCTTTGAAATTAACATACTGTATGTTATGTTACACCTAAAACTGAATAAAAATGATTTATAAACAATCATTTGATGTATGACATTTTATTAAGTTAAATAATTACATTGTGTGTGAAGATCTTATCATTGTTTTAACAGTAATATAATAATACATTTTTATTAAATGTTGGCTATAAATAACATCACAATCAATTCAGTTATAGTTCATTGTTGATTTATTAAAGAATTACTATTTTAAATGTTAAAATATTATAAATATAATCATCACTACACGCAGGCGCATGCAACTGCGTCTGAGTTGACAGACGTGTTGCGTCTCTGCTGCCTGTCTCAGTGCAAGAGTGGAGCCAAGCGGCCATAGGCGGGATTGAATTTAAAAATTCCCATTTCAACGCAGTTATTCAACAAAAGGTAATATATTTATTGACTTGTGATAACATAATAATCATTTCATAAAGACTATAGTACAGTGAGAAGCATTAATCCAATTGAAATGTACATTTTCACTGCTGTAGTTATCTCCCCACCTAAAGCTAATATCTGGGTTTTAGCTTGCCCACCCTCCATTTGCAGGCGCAGTGGGCGCACCTAGCAAACTTACTGAAATCTCTCTGTAACAAATGGCGGGGGGTTCTCTTTCTTGGTCAGGGATAAAAGAGGGAGAAATGATGATGACACGCATATAGTTTATGTATAACCTGGAAGTATTTATTCAGCGCTCAGTGGGAAAAGGTCATCTGTACGGAATATCGTTGTGTATGGAACATGGTTAGTCTACGTTAGCTAACATGACTTTTGAAAGGGCTGGTAAACTAAATCAGTAAGGTTAACACTAAGTTACTTACTACTAAATAGGCAGTTACTTGTTGCGATTGTTCGGCAGGGATATCTACAATAGGCCTACATCAAGCGAAAGTCAGCTTGTTTAAGTTAGCAAACTCCTGACACCGCTGACATTTTAACAAAATTACTCTTGTTAACGTTAGCTCTTGCCAACATGGTCTAGTTTGACATTGACTAGTAAATTGCTTAGCTTCTCAATTTAACAGCACATTTAAGCTAACGTTAGCCATCAACTCAGTCACGTTAGACCTTTCGGAATTGTGTTTAAAGTAAAACCAACTAGCTGGAGTTTATGGTGAACATAAATATCAAATTATTTTAAATTATTGTTAAAATACAAAACAATGGTTTAATAAGTAGGAGAGACTTACCACAGTCCAATGACGGGACGTCCGATAGGTGACCTCTACGCTCGTTTTACTTCGATAAAGCGCGCGTTGCCGCTTATATTTATATAAGACATTCCACGTGACCGAAATTTTGGCGGCAAATGATGCTGAAATATCATGAAGGGGGCGTGGCGTGAGCGAAGGTGCGACTGGAGGACCTTGAGGTCACCAGACAAAACATAGCAAAACATTTATTTTTAAACGGAAACGGTTGTGCCTTGAACACAGAGTTGTCTATGCAAGCCTGATGATTTTTACTGCATTTTTAACCACAACTGTGTTTACAAATGTGTTGTGGCTGATTGGGTAACACCTCTGACACGCCCACCAAACGGGTTGCAAAATGTTGATTGAAAAACTGTTAATTAATAACTAATTTAGAAAGTTCGAGAGAACCCAGCTTTCTTTGCAGCGTTCTGTGACTTGTTTTTTATAGCTGTAAACTGGGATGACTGGAGTATGTGGAGTAAGTCAACACTTGATTTGATGATTTTACATCTGGGGTTGCTCCTTGTTACATGCGCTTTAGTCTGGTAAGTGAAAAAAGTTCTGTTTTCAGGCGCAATAAGGGTAACAGAGAGGCTAACGTTAAAGCCCATCTCCTGTGTATTTTAACAATTCTATGATCATTTCATATTTTATGAGTTATTTCCTTACAATGTTGATTACCCACATAGTTTATAATAATAATATTTTTTGACAAATAGCTTAATTTTGTGCTAAAAGTTTGAAAAGTTTCTTATGGTAGTATGGAGCTGAGGAGCGATGCTATCAGCTTTGCTGAAATGGTGAGTTGTGCTCTCAAATTATTAATAATTATTAATTATTATTCACACTAGCGAACTAACGTTAGTTGACAAAGTAAAAACGTTTATTAATTAACATGATGTGTTGTCTGTGTGTGAGTGAGTATAACATCCTAATAATTAACTAATTTCAATACGTGAGGCAGGTTTGAATCCAGCCATGGGCTTCTCTGTGTAGAGTTTGCATGTTCTTCCTGTGTTCATGTGTGTTTAAGTGTATAAGTGTATATTTCTAAATGTGTAACGTTACTGAGTTTTGTAGATGTGTAAGATAATTTATAAAGGGAGCACTCATGGCTTTGGCCGAGCAAGAGGCAAAGAAGTGACAACAGCAGCTGCACAATCATAGGTCATTGCTACTCCGATGATGAAACTTACAACTTTTGGTAAATTTTCAATAATGAGCATTGGCACCACAAGTGTGTGGCTTCTCTGCTTGTTTTTGTCAACTTTGTCATTAATATGGAGGTCCTGAGCGTTTTGCGCACTGAAACTGAAGACACATTATACAAACATATTATTTAACCAATCTCAGACTGAACATCAGCAGAGACAGAACATTATAAGCTTCGTAAAGGTCGATCTAATGCCAGGAGTGGTGGGTGTTCTGTTTAGGTTGGCGGTTATAATTTCATTTTCTTCTTTACAGAAAGGAAGGACCTGAATCTGTGGAGGCCAACCATTATTAAACATCTGTACTCGACTGCAGCTTCTTCATCTCTAACTCAGAATATCCATGAACACAGCACGCTGGGACCAGCTACAACATACCTTATACAGTTTGTGGTTAAAAATGATTAATAGTCCAGTCTTCAGTGGTGCTGGTTGGTGTCTGGTTTAATTTGATTTCAGTGCCTCCAGAAATAAAATATTGTGTAGGTAAATTTCCCAGTTTGCCCAAAGAATTAGAATAATTTTATGGAAATACATCACACTAACATTTGTACTGAAGTAAATCACAGCTAATTCTGTGAAGATTATATTTTGAAACAGCCATTTTGGAGATTAAGAGTAAAAATACATGAACAAGACATTTTACAAATTACAAAAAATATTACTAGCTTATGAAGATATAATTTATTGCAGGGCTGTTTTCCTGTTTTAGTTTGGTGTCTTGTAAAACAGAAAGTAGTTTTTAATGTACATGGATATTCAGTGCAAACAAAAGCTAATGCCACTTTTTTGTCACAAGGTGGCAGCGTTGGCCCACAATACCAGAATAATTTGGTCTTACAAATGTTCTAAATGTTTACTTCTGGGTTTTTTCACAAATGTACAACTTGTGAACTGCATGATCTTCCTCGGTAGTTCTGCATTTCTTGCATGACTTTTTCAGTCCAAGAAACCAACTCAAACTATGATTGGTCACCATACAGTCTACTGACAGTTGCAGAGACACAAACAGCGAGAGATGTACTAAAGGTCTTCTCCACAATCAGCTCACCTGTAGTTATTACCAAAGAATCATGGGGTGAAAAAGTTAAAAATGCAAGCTGTTTTTTGTGGGGAGTAAAAAATACGTCAAACAATGAAAGTTGTGGGGCAGTTGCGTTGTCCAGTGCCAGAAACCGTAATGAAACGAACAGAAAGTTGAGAACACTCACACCCGTGAGAGGACAATGAAAAACGGGAGTCTCCTGTGAGCCAACCGAAGCTAACCTCTGCTGCTGCTTGTTTACTTCTGTAGCCTGCAACAGCGTGCTGCTGCGTGTGACGTTGTGTTATTCTTCTGCGCATATGGGTCACTTGCAGGCCGCGGACAGTTCACACTGGAGTTTGATATGGGCCACATTTAAACAACAATCGGATCCGGGAATAAAATCGGAATTGAGCATCATGGCCTGTTCAAAGACAACACTACTAATATAAATACACACAGAATCAAAGCCCAGGTCTTGGGAGGTTTGGTAAACATTTTTTCATGAAAGAAGAGTGGATTTGTCTCTAATTTCTAACAATTTGGACATATCTATGAAGGGGATGCTAATAGCCAACTGTAACCTTTTCACTGTACACATCATATTTTAGAATTGTTTTGAGATCGACTACAAAAAAACACAAACCTATCGTTTCGTCTCTTTAAACCTGTCAGTTGCTGGAAGAGGTATTTGAGTTGGTTTTATGTAGTACGTTTCATTACATTACATTTCATATTACTTGTCGTTAATATTGACATTTCTGTGAGTAGAATGAGTACTTACATTGCAGGTTTTAAAGACGTCAGTCATCCGCTAGCAGGTTCTCTGGGAGGCCACGGAGGGTCGGATGGCACCTATTGCACAGGACAATAGGTCTAAGTTGAGCAGAATGAAGTATATGGTGCATGGATCTCAAAAAATAAAAAAAATTTGTCCTCATTCTCTTACACTTGTGTCAGATTACGAAAGTGTCAGTATAGACAGAAGGAATCAGAACAGCCACCAGGAACTCTTAACATTTTGGCATGTGAGTATTTTATCAAGACAGGCTTGGAAAAAATAGAAAATATGCTTTTACGTGTGTGGGGGGCACCGATGAGCATGCAGTGCTAGCTTTCTTATACAATTATCCTCATAACTGGATTGTTTGTATTTTGCTGTGCAAAGATGAACCAGACATTGCTGACACTCCTCACTGTGGTCACTGAAACTGATGCTCCTGGTGCGGTCCGCTTCAGCCAAAGTGAAAGCTGGCTGTGGATGGATTTGTCTGTTTCTCTGGGGGTGATGATTGTACAGTGGATAAGACACATGATGCCTTTTGTATGAGAGACCCGGGTTCAGTTCCCTCACTGTGACACGTACACCAATGTGCAACCTCTGATATACTGTATATAGCTATTGTAAGTAGCTTTGAATAAAAGCGTCAGCTAAATGTACAAATTCATGTACAAACTCCTGAAAGAATGAGGTCCACAAGATGAGGTACTCCACTGGATCGTATAGAAGTCTATGAGAACTTCTCAGCTGATTTATTATCTCAGTAAACACTTTACTAATCAGTTTATGGTCTCCGTCGCTAGTCTTCTTCAACACAGCATGATGTTCATTTAGTAAATTATGGTCCCATTTAGAGGAAAATAGACCAGAAAGCAGGGGAGGCTTTAGGGCATGTTGTGATTAACAAGTCGCCATGTGTGACCCAAATATGGTACCCCATGGATGTCCAGTCTGTGTTCAGGACGGAGCTGAACACCTCTTTTCTCTCAGCTGGACAGGTAGGCTGGAATAAAATACAGCTGCAATCAATCAAACACTCTGAGACCTCCAGAGTAAAGGAGCTGCTCTGATAACAGCACTTGTCCTATAGGGTTTCAGCGGGGGTCTAAAAAAGTCTAACATTTCAAAATCAAAATTTAAGGCCTTAAAAAGTCTTAAATTCAGTGAAGTTTGTGTGTTCTAGGTCTTAAATATTTTTAAACTGGTATTTATTTTACAACGTCCATGTAACGCTACCTCTAATGCTCATTGAAATGGCCTCGCAGCGCTCCAGAATGTTTTTTCCTCCCGTGGTGTTGTAGGTCTTTCTGTTGCTAGTTCAAATCGGTCCAAATATAATGCGCTGTATTAGCACTACAAAGAACAACTAGCAGCGTTCGTGTTATTGCTTACATTAAGTTGTCAGGTTGCAGCTCTGTCCTCTGCTGTACATCTTGATAGTTAAATTTAAAAGAAAGGACGGTTAGTAACGTTAAAGCAAATTAGGGATGCAAACTAACATTAGTCCTTTTATGCTAATGAGGAGATCATTCTTTTGGATTTTGATGTACAAATGAAATGCTTGTAATAATCCAGAAGGGAGGTGGTTCTCATGTTGCCTATTATTTATGTCAATTTCTACAAATTTATAAAGCAGTAAATGAAGACACAAAAGGCAAACATGAATAATCCTATCAGTAATGATTCTGAGGTCATATTAACAGTGTTGAGGCTGGTGATGAGGCTCAAAACATCTTGGTGCTGCGCTATGAATGTGAAATCATTGTGGAGAGCATCAAAACTAACCAAATAAATTTTCCCAGATCTAATGCTTATAATTTAACCCCAGTAGACTTATTTAGCAAGTTTAGCTTTTGGGGTGTAGTTTATTCCAAGCATGTTTCAAATTCCCATGGACATTATTTCTGTTATTATTTGTATACAGTCCCCTCCAAAAGTATTGGACCGGTAAGGCAAATTCCTTTGTTTTTGTTGTTCACTGAAGACATTTGGGTTTTAAGATTGAAAGATGAGTATGAGACAAGAGTTCAGAATTTCAGCTCTCATTTCCCTTATATTCACATCTAGATGTGTTAAACAACTTAGGACATACCGTTTGTATTAGACCACAGCACAGGTGAAAACCTGCAGAAACCCTGATATTGTTCCATTATCTCGTCTACCTGACTGGAACTTCTTAAACGATCTTTATTAGCTATCTTTATTTGCTTATGATTCCATAAAACTACACATTTAAAGCTCCCTTTTATATTATTTAAGTAAAAGTGCTGCTGATGATCTATTTTTCTATTTTTCCACAAAACACAGTAAAGTAAGTAGTAAAAGGAAATTTTATTTAGCTCAAGAGATTCAAGTTATCACTTAACACCTAATTAAGAATCTGGAAATAGAGAATGTTCAACATTATTGCAAAAAGAATGAAAACAAATTTGATTATCAAAACTGTTGCCTGTTAATTATCTGATCAAGCAGTCACTTACTTGGTCTATTCAGCTTTATGCAAGATTCGGCTTATTTTGTGTCTGGGCAATGGGCATTTTGTAAATTTTAAGTTTATTAGTAGTAATTTTGTTGAGTGAGTTTCCATTAGTATTTGAGTCTAGCACAATTAATTATTTTAGATTTCCCTCAGAATATAAGTTGTGAACAATTACATTTATTGAGTAAAGAAGAAGTGGAATTTAATTTTAATAAGCCTCAGTGAATCGGCGTAGTTTAGTATGTGGAAATTAAAGGTTTTTTAAAAATGTATTATATTTAACTTAAGGTTTACTCAAAAATATTATTACCACTACTTAAAAAGTTTGAGGTAATCAGTTTCCTCAAATATTTTGAGTATTCTGAACTTACTCCGGTTTACAGTGTAATATGGATTAGCAAATATCCTTGAAACTATTACATCCTTTGGCAGCAAACTCATGAGTCACTTACTGTGTGCTTACCTTACCTTTTAACTATTTAAATCTCTCTATGAAATCCAAATCTTTAATTTGCTGATTCTAACTATAATGAAATACCTGACAGGTGTCATGTAAGCATCAAAAGTACAGTAAATACATCAATTGCCTTTAGAGAAAAATAACATTTAACTTGTGAAGCAGCATCTCTTCAACACAACATTCTCCAGTTTCTCAGGGAAAACTTGCCTCATCCAATCTTCATCATCCACTCTGATATGTCCCCAACACACCATCATTTACCTCTTTCCTTACATTAAACCTTGTGTATTTTTGGAAGCATCTTTGTTAGTCTCCTCCTCTGTGTATTTATTTATTTTTATTTTTTATTTTTTATAAAGAGCCTTGTAAAAGCTCCATGTGAAGCGTATCATTTTACTCTTTAAAATCAGGCATTCAAATTCAAAATCTATTTATACTTGAGACAAGTGTGTCATTTCACTCAGCAATGCTTCTACCCAATCCACTTTGCTTCCAACTTACCCTTTAGCTCAGCAGCAACTCTTTAATGAAGGCAATTGAACCTCTTCTGCTACTTATAAATAGTATGAAGAACACAGACTGCAGTTTAAGTTCCTATTTCACCACATTTCAGAGTTTATTGTACAGTCAGGTCAATTCACACAAAATGATCCATTGCACTGGATCATTAAAACTTGCATCAACTTCAAAACAATCACATTGCTAATATCACCGGCGGGGAGATATTCTTAAGGATTATTACAAACATCTTTAGAGAGAGAAAAGGTGGATTGGGTTTAGTGTTTGGCTCCACAGTTTAGAGCTTTAGGTTGTAAGAAGATGACACTGGTCTTTAAAAAGAAGTTTTTCAAGTCGCATCAAAATATGTACACATAAAAAATATTAAAAATTTTATTGAAAGACTAGTGCGGCTGAAGAGAGAGAAAGACATGTGAAAAGTTAAAGATGGCGTGGACGGATTACTGTTGCACAAACTGCTGAGGAAGGTGTCAATGAAACGTTATTTTAAAAAAAACTGTGTGTGTCCAGCACACACAAACATATAAACTCACTCTCACACATACGCTCCCTGAAGAGGAATGAGGATAAAAGGACTTTGGAGACCCTGCCTGTATTGTTTGTAAAAGTTGAACTTACGTACTTGCACACGCACTGTGACAAATGTTTAGGACCATGGATAGGGCTTCAGAGACGGATAGAGTTGAGAACAAAGAGAAAAAGGAAAGTGACATACAAGGCAGGAAGCTGTTTTTTTGCCTACCAGCCAAAGTGACTGCCGCACTCAAAATTCCCTTTCAACTTTTTTTCCCCTGCCAACAACATTTTTGAAGGACAGGACAAGATCTCCAAATGATGATTTATTTTCCGCCACAGTGGCTGGTAGTGTGGACAAACTAACCTGCCGCAACAAAGAGTAACCAGCGTTTGGCTGGTAGCTGGTGTTCATTTCCAGCCCAGTGACCACGTCAGAGGGGGAGGGGCAGTGAGGAGGTGCTACGAGCACTTCCACACACACACGGCCAGGCTCCCTCCAAAGAACATGTACAGCAGGTTCTTCACTTCGTGCGTGACCTCAAAGCCGAAGCCTTCACCGATCACCACGTGCCACGAGCTGCCGAATTTCTTATCCATGGACTCCTTGATCATCTTCGCTGCACTCTGGGAAAGACAGCAAGGACAAAAAGATTAATCAACAAAGACCATGACTTTGGTATAGGGAATAAGATCTTACAGTGTTAATAAAGCCCTGACAATAGGAATTTGTGACCCGAGCTACCAAATAATGCCAGCACAATATACACTTACCTCATTGTTCGTGGCAAACTTTTCACAGGCTGTAACGCAGAGCTCCATGGTCTCAACCCTCATTTCCTCTGGCATGTCTGTGTGCTGAAGACAAAAATATGTTATGGGTCTAGGTTGTCCTGTCTCTTCTATTACATACAAGTATGAGTAAGCTGCGAACAAAGAAGAACTGAACATTACGACTTGAGATATTGAAAACAATTTCAGAATTTTTGACAAACTCTAAAAACAGAGTCAAAGCAAAACAGTTAGCTGTATGCTGCAATCACAAGAGTAAAGGGCAACACACGTAAGGCTTGTTGTGTCACTTGATGCCTGTAGGACAAATTGAACATATCGTATAGACATAGTGAAGTAGCCAAGACATACTTATTGGGCAGAGAAAATGTGATCAAATTGCTGCTTTTCTGACGCATGTTGATGCTGGGAAATAGGACAGCAGGGTGTCGTGACAGCTTGACATGTGTCACCACATGATGTGTGCCAAGACAACACAGGTTTTAGCTCCTTTTTTGTATTGGACAACTATTTAATACTTTTCATGGGAATGAGTATCTTCTAAGGGAGACTGACTGTGCGCCATTATCCCCATATTTAAGCATTCTCACATCTCCTCCCTACTCGGCGACGGAGGATTTTCACTCTTTTGATTCTGGACCACACACACGTCGTACAAACTGGTTCTGTTTGCGTAAACCCCAATCCTAATGACAAGGTCAAACAAAAATGGTGTGTGATCAATAATTTAATTTACAGACCTGCACTGTCAACCACGGAGATGCCAGAATTAGGTCTGTGACTGACCAAATGTGACTGCAGACACAATAGTGGAGTGATAAATGTGCATGCAGTCAGAAAACTGTGCAGCACTGCCATCATTTGCCAAACTTAGAGTATATGATACCTAATGTTAGATCCATTTGAGCTACAGATTCTTCTCTACCCCTCCCTGTTTGCATCTTGTTGCATCTGTTGTCTAGTATGTATAGTATGTAGGCCTTGTGAATCATTGGAGCATACGGTATGTGAGAGAATGTCTCAGGTAAAATAAACGTGTGAGGGTGTCTTCAAAGAATCTTAGGTGTGCCTGGCGTCTATAATCAAAAACCATGGCTTATAAAACATAGTCGTTAACTGTGAGATTCTGTAGAGTAGACATACTCTCATGGATATAAGCTACAGATCACAGGCTGTGAACGTGTGTGTTATGGTGACTGAATTGGCACACAATGTAATGCAAGTGTCATCTGGAAGTTTTCTCACATCTCCAAAAAGCATAAAAGTTGTAAACTGACAGACATTTGCAAGCACATTTTATGTACTTCAGGAGACTAATCCATGAGAAACACAGCAGACTAAAATTTGCAGCCTACACAGCAAAAGAGTACACTAGTTTTGATGTTGTCATTGCAGAATGGGTTGCTCCCAGCCACTGTTAGGATGTTCTTGTCCTGTATCCAAAGACACTGTCCCGCATCTCTCCTACCCTGATGAGAGGGAAGCTGTGCAGTCTCTTGTAGTCGGCCTCCTCTTTCTTCCCCTCGCCAGTCCCAGCCATTCCGACTCCTGCAAAAAGATATTTTCTACATGTTAAAATATGAACTCACCTAGTTAGAAGGCATATTAAATGAGTGATAGAAAAGCATTTCACGAGGAGCACAGACAGTCCAGTATTGCAGAGCAAGCTCAGATCAGAAGCTAACAACACTCTGTAACATAACCCAGCTGTGGACGAGGATCACTAACTGTTAGCTAAAATCACTTAGCCATTGCTAGCTAGCTACAATAAGTATGTACTTAACAGAGGTGTTAATATGAGATGTCTTTTAGACAATGCCGACAGATATCCCACATCAAGGTTGGTTTGTACGCGTGACCAGGCTTGATCAGGCTAGCAACCGTAACTAGCGAACCATGTTTTCCTAGCTAGCTAATTAGCTTAGCTTGTGTGATAGCAAACAGCTGATGCTACCGGCTGATGTTTTATACCTCAAAATCGACTTATTTAAATCCCCGTCGTACTATTACGAGTTAGAATGTGTTGTCGGTACTTAATAAATGCAGAGTGACAGAGGTGAATACATAGTTGTGAGTTACTTACGAGGCGTTTGTCCAGCGAAAACTTCTGCTGTTTGACTCCAGTTCGGTTGTTAGGGAGACATTTTAAACAACTGAAGTCCTATAGGGAAAGTCCCGCCTACTACAGCCTAGCTTCGTCCTTATTGGCTCAGAGCCTGTCAATCTGAAGTGAAAGAGTCAATTATGTTAAATTCAATGTGGCTATGTACTATTACTATGTTCAGCTGCTGCTGTATTCCTTGGAGAGGGGAGTTTGTTGTGTTGGAGAAAGGTTTTGCTATTAGCTCCTCTATGTACACAACAAACTCCTCTCCTTCGTCTCCACCGGCTGGTCTAAGCTTCATAATACATCTCACATCAACACAGAATGAACCACATTTAATAAACATTCATCAATGATCAATATGTCTCCATACACAGAACATCAAAATGTATAAAAGCACAAGTAAACAATATGAAAAATAAATCAAATATCCAACTATAACACTTTAATGCAGTTTAAGGATAAAAAACTCACCCTCATTCCTGGACGACACCACCATATCCACATAAGCTACTTGGCCAAAGAAGTTGTTGTCGTCTCGTATTTTGTTCGGGCCTCTTAATTACTCTCAGGAACTATGTAACCTGTACAATAATTTACAGGAAAACGTTTGTTATTATATATTCTTCTATATTAAGTATTCAGTGTCTTTTATTTTGCATCACCTGTCTATTAAGACAAACAGTAAAACATCATTTTTTGCAGCTGCATATTCATTCCATGGCAATAACACACTGTTGTCGTCTTTTTATGGCCTAGAGTTCATTCAGGAAACTCAGCAACTAAGCCCATGTTTGTCTTCCCTGCTAACATGCATCATATGTATTACCTTATACAAATTGTAGCTAACTTTAATTATGATATAACAATACACTTATGTTGCACAGTCCCAATATACCTATCTATCTATCGATCTATAATGATCCCTGTCAATGTAATATCATTAGATCGTTATATTTGATCCATTAACATAAGCAGTACTTCAAAGCTTTGTTCTGAATGAACTGATTAACTGGCCTACCTGCCTGTCTACCTGCCTACCTGGATGCACACTGCCCCTGCACTCATTGTGCATGAAAATGTGTTTTGTGGGAGTGGTATTGAAGGGAGGACTAAATGGATGGGGTGTTATTTTTTCAGTTGGATAATATAGTCTAGTTTCCCTAAGGTTGCCTAACCTAGCTTTAATGTTGTTGATCATTTAGCGTTTATCTGCAGATCATTTTTACCGCTTTATATATTTTATTCTATAACAATGCAGCATATTTTGTAGATGATGTTTTGTGTGTAAAATCTTCACCAGTAAAGTAAAAAGTAGAATCTTTGTGTAGTGTAGTGAAATAGCCTATGCAAAAACTAGAATAAACTTCAAGTGAAGTGATGTGAATACACCTCATAATTCTATGCACATTGCTTGAGTAAATGTACTTAGTCATTTACTTTCAACCACTGTCTGTCTGCCTATTTGTCTGTTCAAAAATTACACTACTATCAGGCTGTGTGTGGGTAAAACCTTATTTCTATCCTTCCCTAATCAGCCCGCTTGCTGAATCTGACCCACATACCGCTGGAAACATCTGGGTGGAATCCCCAAGTGAAGAGTTTTGACCCAGAATTGCCAGCCTGCTCGACACACACATTCTCACACACACACAGACACACGCCCAAAATCACACTCACAAAACCACACAAAGCTTTAACAGCGAGATAGTATCAGGTTATCTGTGTGAGTCTTTTAACCTGGGATGTGCATTTAGCCTCACACACCTGCTGTAATAACCCAGTGGTTTTCTGAAACAATGACTCTCCTCTGGATTAGAGTGGATTATCAATCCCTGCAAAAGCAGAAAAACAGCCCACATGATTATCTTTCTCTCTTCTGCCCTTGTCTCTACCCTTCTATATGGAAACAGAAGAGGATGCAACTTGTTGACCATATGTTGAAAACCCACTCCTCACCTCTACTGCCTCTAGAGTGTGGTGGCTCAGATAAACAGAGAGCCATTAACTCATTGCACAGCAACAGATTATGTTATGAAATGTTTTGGCAGGGTCTTTGATCACCCAATTGACCGAGTTTAGCTACAACATTGGATTGAGAGTAAAATAAATACAGTGTGACAACACAATCCTGACTAAAGGTCCACTTACTTTTTTTCAGAGATTTAAATCATATCACAGTCTTCATCATCAAAAAGAGTTTGCTCAGTTGTTATAGCATAGCTGTCTGTTGAGATGATAGCTTAGTAGCTTTTGCTTGTTGTTTCTTGTATTTCAGATCCTTTTTTTATTTGTCTTTACTTGTCAGGTAACAGTTTAGACAAAGACAAGAAACACAGGAAGGCCCGTTCTCATTCCCAGAGCGTGAAATACCTACGCTTGTCACGTCCTTCGGTGTCTGCTACCAGTGCACATGGCACTCTTTAGTGTCATTCTTCAAAGCTAAAGGTAGGCCCATTATAAAAAACTGAGTACCATGTATTCAGGGGGTTAAAAAGCAATGCCAAGGGTTCCTGACCAAGCGTCCATGTGTGACGCAGAATTCAACGATGGACCTGGTAACTCAGTTACCAGGGCACCCCTAAAGTTCATTCTTGACCTTGGAAATAGTAGTTTGACAAAACAATCTTCTTACTTTTTCCAAAGTATTCATTCACTTCATCATGGACCTTGAGATGGAACTGCTTGGTAAAACTACTATTTCCAAGGTCAAAATAAACTTTAATGCTTATGAGCTAAATCAATCTGTGCTTCCATGTTTATGTCCCATATTAGATTAAAAATCTGCTTTTTTGTTTTGTTTTTCCAATTGTCTATTCAATTTTGTTGTTTTGTGAATATATTGGACAAGTGAGTTATGTTCATGCATATAGGATAGGACAGACAATGTGAAACAGGAGCAATTACAAGGAGCAAGGGGAAAAAGAAAAATGAAAATTGTTAAATGATACATGATTGATAAATGTTTCATCTGAAGGGAACAAATGTCATTTTCAAGTCATTTTCAACCCTTATTAGTTTAGATTTTTATTCAAAGATTTTTAAAGCACAGAATGGTGCTGGACTACAAGGTCAATGAACTGTAAACAAAGTAAATGAAAAAGTGTTTATGATGACATACTGTATGTATGTAGTTTGAATTATGAATTTATGAGAGAGCAAAAAAATTATAAAATAATGTATTCCCAACAGGAGGATGTTATTTGTTAGATCTTTATATATCAGTGTTAATGTGTGTTTTTTATTTATTAAAAAAGAGAAATAACAATGATTAGAACTTGTGCAAGTGGGTGTGTGTGCTGATCTTAGATCAAGTGTGAAACATCTTAAAATACACTGAGAGAGAGTGAGAGAGGGAGCATAAAATACCCAGGAGGAGGGACTCACAAAGAGAAGCGCCGGAGGGCCGGAAGGTAAGCAGAAATAAGAATGTCAAAACAAAGTAGAAGGATGGAGAAAAGGAGATGGAGGTGTTTTTGGCAGACGGTGCCAACTGGATCAAAGAGAAGGAGGAGGAGGTGGTGGTATAAAGACCTTGAGGAAAGTATTCATCATGATGGGGAAATTTTTATTGTTTACCACAAAAACATTTTGCGTTAAGTACGACATCCTGAACAAAAACAGAAAACTACTCCATTTGATGAAGAAAATCAAGGAAAATAGTTTGGATAATGGAAGAGATGTTTTGAGGGTGAAGCAGTTTGAGGTGAAGGATTGATCAACAGTGAAATAACAGAATGAAGATATGAAGGATGGAGGTGTAAGAACTACTTGGAGAGCTCGCAGCGATGAAGCGACTCATTGCAGTGAGAATAAAAAACATTTGTAATCTGTTGCTGTAGTCATGAGGAAGGCTGGCACACGCTGGGGTGGGGTGGGGGGGGTGGGGGGGGTCTGTGTATTTGTGTCTGTGTGTGACAGAGTGTGGTGGAGGGTCACACAAGGATTTCCATCATTTCTGCTTGGCTCAGAGAGGTAATTAAGGTGTTATCTATAATTCAACAGCAGAGGAAGCAGATTGAGAGGAAGACCCCATGTGACTCTGCTAACAAGCTGTGACAGAGATCAACAGAGAGATGGGGCACAGAATAAAAAAAATACTTACTCACTCACTGACTGACTGACTGTAAAGCTGATTACCCAATTGACTGATAGGGGGATGACTCGCTCATTCACTCACTGATTGATTTTGTAGTTGATCAATGGCAACAGGCGGCCAAATGAGGTTAGATTTGTGCAGTGTGAATTTATCATTTTCAAGGCTTTTTTATGCAATTGTCAATTTTATTTCATCACAACTGTTTGTTCTTGGCAGCCAATAATTACTTTTTGGGAGAAGTTGTACTACACACACACGTACGCACATCTGAGTCAAAATATTTGTTGAGTCCTTGGGAGCTCTATTAGTGATAACCAAGACTAAGAGGATAATGGATAATGTTTACTTTGTTCTCCATTTTAATTAAGTGTGTTAGCATGCTAGCATTTGCAAATTAGCACTGGACACAAAGTAGGCTACAGCGAAGGCTGAGCTTGTCGCTTTTTTTCTACGTATTTGGTCATAAACAAAAGTGTTGTTTAGTTGAAGTAAAATTATGACTTGATGATGGGATTCAACAAAGTTATTACAATTTACACTGCGGGAAACATGAATATGGGTACCAAATTTCATGGCAACCCATCCAATAGTTGTTTCACTAGAAAAGTAAAATGTGCTAGATGAAAAGTGAGGAGATCACCAAAGTCAATAAGAATCATCCTCTGGGGGAAATCAATTTCTGTACAAAATTTCACAGCAGTTCATCCAATAGGCTAGGCCTAGTCGTTACTTTCCCCTATTCCTGAATTAAGTTGCTTAAACTGAACTTGAAGATGACAGGATATACACAAGGGAGAGGTGGTGGTGGTGGGGTGTCAATAAGGCCCCAAACTCTTTATGACCATGATCCAGGAAAATCAGGCCACAAGGCAGAAGAGATGATGATAACTAAATATTGAAAGTCAGGCTGGATCCTTTGATGAACGAAGATTCTTCCAATATTTTTGGAATATCCCTTAAAATTATCTTAAGATCAGAATCACCTGTCCACGGCTTTATAATTCTGTTCAGAAAACATTCCCACAGTGAAGAGATGGGAACATCATCCACTGTCTGTTTTAAACCAGGAGGGAAGCAAGTGACACAAGGAGAAATGAGGAGAAGTTTTATGATTTTTATAAAACCTAAAATAATGTATTAACGAACTTTTAATAATAAAAAGTGCAGAAATTAGTGTAGAGTAATTAGTGCAGAAATTTAGTAAAAGAATTTTGGAGTGATAAGTATAGTTACTTCCGCAGCACTGCTTTTAGTATTGTTTATTAGTAATGGTGGTGTGTTTTCTACAAGTCGCTTTTGGGGGAAGAAATACCAGGACATATTTCTTTGGTCACAAAACTGAGTCTATGCACCCTAAGGAACATACAGGATATCATGACCAAGTGAAACAAATAATGTTAGCAGTGGGAGGTTACACATCTGAACACAGTTCAGCTGAGCCGAACGCCAAGAAACGTGTGTGTGGGAAGATCAGCAGTCACGAATCAGCAGTCTATGAGTAATCTATTATGTTTACATCAAAGATCAGACTTTCTGTGGTGTCTCTGCTGAATACTTGCTTCTCCATCTCCATATCAACACAGACACATAGATACACATCAAAGGCAAATTCACCTGACAGCAAAGATGCAGCAATGTGTCTACAACTAAATGAGATTAGGCTACATGCCTGTGTGTGTCTGTGTTTGGGTCATGATGGCGTATTCCTTCAGTAGTTGAAGTGTAATCCAGATGTGCTGAAAGGTGTAAAGACATCTGTCAATATTGCAAAATTGCTCACACCCAACACACATAAACATTCATCCCAACACACACACACACCAATTCCACATATTTCTTTCATGTCATGTTTTGAGCAAGAGTCTAGGAATGTTGTCATAACCATTTTATTAAATTTTTTTTATCCATCTATTTCACAATATCTTAGAGGATCCAATATGCAAATAAGGACAAGCGCAACACTGTCACAACCTTCAACAACCAAAAGCAAGAGAGAGAGAGACAGAGAAAGACAGAGAGAAGGAGAAGAAAGAGACCACGAAGAAGAAAACATAAAAACATTTCACTATTTTTACGGGCATGACAGCCCAAGCAGGCACTTTACAACAGGGTGTCAAATCGTATGTTGCGCTGATGTCTTGAGGTAATAAGTGAACAGAAGCGCTATTTTAACTACAGTTCACTTTACTGCACAGTGTTGGATACATGATTAGTGTAGCTGGCCAAAGTGGGAATCAAACATTTATCCCTGACAGTGGGTGCCTTGTTCTAATCAAATCAAGAGATTAAGCACAAACAAACTTTCTTGTTATGTAAAAAGAGCATGTAAATCATGTAACATTATCTGAGAAACATGATTATCTCACAGTCTCCTGACTGAAAACCAAAGAACCAAACTAATCTAAAATTCTAGAGGACATAATATCAAAGTTAAAGGTAATATACAGTATATTTGCCCACTAGCTGGTGTGCTGTCTCATGGTTAAAAGCAGTTGCTATGATTGTTGTCTTTGTCTTTTAACCATCCTTACTTTGGGTATTTATCAGGCAGTGAGACAACTTTTGTAATAATTTTCAATGAGGTTAAACTTACAGTACGTGCAGTACTTTGACACTCTAGAAGCCTTGAATTAATGTGATGCCTCACTTTGCAATGTTTTTTGAGATAGCAGGTCTGATGCTCCATAAGTTGAAGATTAGGCTATTTTGAGGTGCTCGAATCAGGAAGGCATACATCAAGTCTTTTCTTTATCTCGGATAAATTTAGCGTTGCATCTTAATTCTGCATCAGAAATCACTCAAGGCAACTGCCAATAATCCTAATTTAATGCTAATTTGATCATGCTCACTCTTTTTACATCACATAACCAACTCCTCATTCAGAGTGCAAAGTTACACTCCTTGTGATAAACAAGCTTGTAAGTACTACCCAAAGAAATATTTCCTTTTATTATCTTCACATGACGTAAACATAGTATTACGTATATTGTAGTTATACATTTTTTAGAACAGGGAATATCGTGACAGAAAAAAAGCAAAAAAAACTGCAGTGTAAGTGCATCCCACATTTTATCTATTTATTTATTTTTGCTCATATTAGCTTGTTTGTTCTTTAGTTTGCTGAGAGAATGAAAGTAAAACAGTTTTTTTGTATTTATCCTCTATACCGAATCAGATGTTAAGTTCCCACAGATTCAGTCCAATTCATACACCCCTGTCAAGCATTCTGTGAGGATCTGATTTACCAAAGAGACATCTGTGTGCTTCAGAGTGTGGGGTAATTTGGGGAAACCAACACTGTAATTTACACATTTTGTTTAGTGACAGGAAATGTGACTTTGCTCATGCAAATACACTTCATCTGACTTACATTCAAGGATACAACACAATTTTACCAAACTCACCCAGTTTAGTCACAGTTGCTGTGTTTGAATGGTGTTTAGGTAGACATCAAGTGTTTACTTCAGAGGTCTGAACTGAAAGCACTGCTTTGTCTAAGTTGCAAACGAAAATGATGCAACTTAACTTTGCAGGACTGTGAGTGATGTGAGAGGCTACAACATGGGGAGCAGACTGGCACAGAGCAACATTACCAGAGATACATTACACAATATACATTTATAAGACCACCGTTTTACCAAATCATAGTATAGTACGCAATGTAGAAAACTTAAAAGTACAAAGACAATACTCAACAGTATCATATACAGTTAAAAATGAACAAAACTGATTTTGTTTCCCGTTGAGGGTTAAAACCAATATAGCCATGATAGCATTACAGAGTTCAGTTTTAGCATTAAACACAACCATCTGGACACGAGATGAGGAAAGCTAGAGCTCTGTGTCACTGTGTGGTAAAATTAAGAAACCCTTATATATGGCATCCTTAAATGTTCATTTCATAATTGTATTTAAACCCATCAATGCCCTCTGCCTGAATAACCGTGTATGGTTCACTGGCCAAACAGACAATTACCTAAAACAGAGGGTGGTAGACTTAACCAGAGCCAATAATTAATCTATGATTGAATGCTTCCATAAGAGTCCTATTCATGCCAGAAGTTCATCCACCCATGCAGCCTTCACTAAGGCGAATCTGTGACTAAACTCACTGTATCTCACTGCAGAAGTTAACACATGAGCGTGGACACCAACACTAAAAACAAAACAGATACACAGCTCTTAACGGTTTAATAGCTCCATCACATATTTCAGTCCACCAGAAAGCTTCCCATCCCTAACAAATATACTGTAAACCCCAATGTGATACATTGTTACACACCTCCTAAATCTTCTCCTAAATCGACCTATCAAACACAGCCATCCTTGGCTGATTTCTCCCAGTCACACTTCACTGTTTGGGGCTGGAGGGGTTGGATCTCTGGGCAGCGTGGCACGGGTCCAGGGACTCCTTGGTGGCACCGCCATAGACATCTACGTCGTGGTCGGTCCAAGGGGCGATGTTGCCCAGGGCCGAGGAGTTGCAGTCGGCCAGAGCGGCCACCTCTGCCGGCTTCAACACTCGATCCCACAGATTGAACTGGGAGAGCTCCCCGACCAGGGCCTGGGAGGCATCAAAACGCCCGCCCAATGTGTCCTTGGGTAGAAGAGATGGAAAAAAAAGGGTTGAATGTCAGAATGCTAGAATAGAATAGCCAAAAGACCAACAATGTTATTGTTATTGTAATGTTATTTTCAACAGGCATCTATTAGAACTTTTCCAGGAACTGTTTTAGGAACTGAGTTTTAACCAGAGAAACTAGGTTTTAAATTGAGTTTGAGGTCCTGCCTGCCAAGAAGTCCCTGCTTCAGGAGTATTACTTTCTGATGGCCCACAAGCTATCAGACCATAGCTTTCAGCACTGAACATTACTATAACATTAACATATTCCGATATATTGTTAATAGAATCAATTTAGTAATCATCTGACTGAAATTCTGAAATTCAACACCATGACAAATAACATGACATACTAGAGAGAACAACAAAATAGCAAGTAATGTAATTTATGTTGGCTAAGTTGTGGGTCAGCAAAATGTCGCTACAGTTGCTGATGTGAAGCTAACATGCAGAGAGGACGAGCCAGCACCCCAGCTCCAGACAGCAATACTCACGACTTACCTGCTACTTTAGCTAATGTCACAACAACCGCATGTATTGTAAAACTAGATACTAAGGTGAATGTCCGTGGGCAAGTCATTTAACATTACCTGACACACATTTCATGGCTGAAACAGCTGGTATAGTGTTGTGTGGCGGAGTGCGGGCCTCTTTGTTTGCTATTTGCAGATCCAGGGTGTTCAAACAATGGATTTATTTTCAGCACACATTGTTGGGACAGCTGTGGCTCAGGAGGTAGAGCGGGTTACCCGTTAATGGTGGCTGTTCCACCAGTGTATGAATGTGTGTGAATGTTGGTTTCTGTTTGAGCACTTTTGCATGGAAAGTGAAAGCCAATGCAGGCTGCTTTCCAACTAATAACACAGTGTGCAGTTTTGGGTTATGTTAGCAGAAAAACCAAACCTTAAATTGAAAAAGTATTCGCCTGATATTCTAAATGTTTGCATCTGCATAGTAGATAACAGGCTAGTTCTAATGAAAGTATAAATGGCATATGTAGCAAAGATATATATGTACCAAAAATAAATATTCACAAAAGAATAAAAGTACGCTTTTAAAAAGGACTGAATGAATGTTTAAAAATAAAAATATATTTTTTTTTAATCATGCGTTACAAGGTGAAGGAAACTGTATCCAATACTTCCCACATCAATTGTAGTGAAAACAAGGGTATGACAACAATTTGTATATCAGTGAATATATTTGGCCCACAATTTGTTTTATTTATGTGTGTCAGCCTTGTAGATTTCCTCCATTATTATAACATAATTAACCAACAATTAAGGAAGATCAGTGCTACTACTATGTGCTCCAACACAACACTTTCTTTTATTAATACTAATACTATATCGAAATGAATACACTATCTCTGATCCCGAAAACTACAACCTTCCTCAGGCAATTGGTGTACAGTAAAAACTATTGTGGTCAGTTTTCCTGGTTTAATAAGAATGAAAAAGCAAGCTAAAAGCTTTGTCCATACAAAGAAATACTGCCTTTTGATGATCCCCCCTAAACAAGATTAAAAATGTTTATCCCCTTTCAGAGCACCCTTCTGAGAAGGATATCCTGGGATTTTCCCCATAAGATCTCGTCAACACATCCACACAACAACAATTTTTTCATCCTCAACAGACATTAATAAAGTACTTGCTCTCTCTCTCTCACTCCAAAATATCCATTAAATAAAGGTTTGTTGCATCACTGCAGCATCTAACAGAATTGGACTCTGCTTTTCATCCTTTATGCAAGAACAATGGGCTGCAGAATGGTAAATAGTACTGTGTACTGATATAGCAATTGTCTAACGTAACGGGCAAAGCACTTTACAATTTGCAATTCATTCACCCTCACATCCATGCAAGGCACTGGCCTGCCCATTGGGAGCAACTTGGGGTTCAGTGTCTTGCTCAAGGACACTTTGTCATATGAACAGGAGGAGCTTGATAATGTCAGCTTTCATAACGGTTATGTAATGTGGGAGTCTCGCTAATAAAGGTGAGAGGCAGCACAGTGGGAGGATAAACCCTGCTGGATCTGTTCATGTGTGAAAAGCTAATGGTGCTCCTTTAAAATAGCTCTCTCTCCACCCAACCACCTACCCATCAATCCTTCCGTCTGTCTATTCATCCTTTTATCCATCATCAGTGTCTCATGTTTTCATGGCCCTGTATGTATCTATCCATTCATCATTCATCAGTTTATCCATCCATATATCTCACCTGCTCCTGTCCCAGTATGAGGACTCCTCCTGGTTTGATGGGATGCCAGGCAGCCAGTCCTTCTCCCCTCCCCTTCATCTTCCCCCCTTGGTAGGCCTTCCACACCCCGTCCCTCAGGGTCCAGCTAACACAGATGTGCTGCCACTCGTCCTGTGGTAGGGACAGAGGCAGCTGCGCCACCTACAGGTCAGAGAATACAGTGGCTGTGGTTACACCTTTTCTTTACAAAGTGAGTAAGTGATTTCAAGTCCACTGAGCTATGACATATTACTGTTATTATATTATATTAGAGTGGACATGCTGGTGGCTCATGTCAGCAAAACTACACTATGTGGACAGTACCGACCTTCCTTCCACCACAGTGGCAAACAACACCCGTCTCTCTGCCTTGGGAACTATAGGCATAAGGGCTATAAAAGGTAAGCATTAATGCAATATATAAAACAGCTGCAAAAAGCTTGCCTCTCCGCAATAACGTATGTTTGCTGTCGGCCACAGCATCACAAGTGTGAAAAAATAAACCGAGAAACTTCTCTTGCACTAAGCACCATTTTAGGGTTTTATTTGTATGAAAATGATTTGATCATAGATCTAAAGTAATATTGTTGTTTACTGTGGTTATAAATGATGTGATATTATTTTGTTTCTTTCTTTTTGTTTTGTTAATGCAGTTTTGTTTCGTTTGTATTTAACGTGCTGTTCAAGGGCACCATCTGCTTTAGTTCTACCTTTTCTGTAGCAATGGGAATAAATGTTTTTTCCCCATGACTCATTAAATGGATGGTAAGGTTAGAGTGGGATTGACGCCTTAGGCTATTGTGCAACCGGAGAACCAACCCCAAACCGAATATAAACTCTAATCCATATTATATTGACTGAAACATTAGTTGGATGCTGTGACATTTTCAATTTTACTGTTTGAAAAAGTTGGTCTCTCCCAAGAATGAACGCGTTTTCATCGCTCATTTTAATCAATGAATTACAACACGTAACCAACAAGCGCTGTTCTGTGGAACAGCTTAATAGGCTACTAATGATTTCCTTGACGGGCTATTTTGTTTGACTAATCATAAGGAAACCTACAGGGTAAAAATATTAATTATTTTTACCAGAAGAAGTCATTAATATTACTTTACATACAATTCTTTTTTTTAATGGCTGTGTATTTCCTACAACTACACCAAATTTATCTTTTAACCACTTGAGGTGGGATCCAAACCCCCAGAAAAATGATGAGAAAAATCACTCCCACTTCCTACCTTGTCATTGATTAGCAGCTCCACAGGGTTGTGGACTCCCTGTAGCAGAACCAACTCGTTAGGCTGCCCAGGGACTGAGTAGGAGAAAGGGGTCCCGATGCCCCCTTCTTTGGCCTTCAGCCAGACACAGGCAGTGAAGGCATACATCTCAGTTATCTCTTTTCTCACCAGGCCGTACATATAGTTGGTTCGCATGGGGAAGGAGAGGACGAAGCCATCAGGGAACGACGGCTCTGTCAGTGCTTTAGAGACACAGATGAAGAAGATAAAGTCAGACAGAGAGACAAAGCTAAGGCAGACGGAGAGAGAAAATGGGGAAGGACGATGCGTTGCGTTAGTGGCCGATTTAAACAAAGACACTGGTATTTTTCTTCTCACTTGTCCCTGTCAGTTTGTGCGGAAACACACACGCACACACACACAAACAAGGTGCCTGGCAAGATCTCAGGTTTTACAGTTAATGATCAGCCTCTGTAACTCGAGGCCACACTGCAGCTCTTCAGGCAGAGATGTACAGACAGTCGGAGAGGATGGGAGAATGACATCGCTAAAAAGAGGTCAGAGAAGTGCTTCTTCTTTCCTTTTAAACCTTCCTATTTGCATCTCATGAACTCTCAATCCCTCCTCTAGACCTCCACTTCTCCTATTATCAAACATCTCCCTCCTTTTTCCAGCCTCTATCCATTCTCTGTATCACTGCTAGAGATAAACCAAGCTTCCAGTGACCTGGAATGTTTGTGGTAGAAGCAATTTCACCATCATACAGCCAGTGAAACTCTTCAAAACCAATGTGGCATATTCAAACAAAATAACTGCACACCTTTCAATAAGGATCCCTGATATAAATTCCTATTAGTGTGAAGATTTACAGGTTACAAGTAAAAGCAGGAAACGATTTTTGGTCATTTCTTTTACATTTCCTTTATATTTTGTTGTATTATTTTTTATTTTCAAGGCCTCGCCCTCTTTGACATTTCACAGCCTTCAGCACTCATTAATCATCTTATCTTTAATCTACAGCTTACTCTCTACTGCTGTGATAACCCAGTTCACCCACACCCTCATTAAAGTTTAATTTTAGCCTTCTCTGGTGATTCTGTTTGGTAATATAGTTAACTCCCTGTGTGCATCAGTTCATCCATTCATTCCTTTCTTTATTCAGCCACCATCCCGTGTCTTTACTCTCCATCTCTTCCTCATCTTTCTCCCCTAGACTCACTGTGTTCCAGCTCAGTGACCCGGTGGCTGACGGTGTCGATTCCCTCGTTGATCTTCTCGTGTTGGCCCTGTGTCTCCTTCCGCATGGCCTGACGCTCCCTCTCCAACATCTTAATCTTCCTCTCGAGCTCCCCCTCCAGGTCCTCCACCCTCCAGGTGCCCTTTCCGCGCCCAGGGGAGCTCTTGATTGGAGGCTTGGGGGCAGGGGAAGCCGGGGAGGCAGGACGGCGACCCCCTGGGGGAGCCGCTGCAGGTGGGGAGGAAGCACTGCCGGTGGGAGTAGCTGGAGCCTTGCCGGTATTACCAGCCGGGCTGTTGCTGCCACTGTTGCCGCTGCTGGTACTTGGACCCACAGGTGTGTCAGTAAGGTTCAAGGCAGCAGGGCCTATCTCTGCCTGCGAGAGAGGGAGAGAACCATAACCATGAAATTTTCCCAGGAGATGAATCCTCCCGACTTTGGTGATCTCCTAACTTCTTGTCCTGCTCCACCAGCAGGTTTACATTTTTGTTGTTTAGCAAAAAGCCTCATAACTATTAGGTAGATTGCCATAACATTTTGTGCACATATCATATCAAAATTTAATTGTGTCCAATACTTGTGACCTAATACCCAACTGATGACATTACCATCGTCCTCAGTTGTACTTTGTGTTTACTGCTACTTAGCAGAAGGGTGTACTTGCTAAATATCAGCATGTTAACACTGTCAATGTAAGAATGCTAATGTAATTAAATTAAAAAATTTTAGGGTCAAAAAATCAAAAAATCTCTTCTTGATTTTTTCTCTTATAAAATAAATATTTTTTATAAGATCCCCTCGCTGATGACACTGCTAGAAAGTAGAACACTCTATCTCTGTCCCTTTTCTAACTGCTAATATGCATTTCAATTATTTAAATTTCCTGACTGCTTTGTGTACTGATTTATGATGTATCCATGACGCTTGTGTAGGCCTCTTGGAACTACGATTTGGAACTGAATTTTCCATGTGTACTTTCATGAAAAAGCAGATATGTGCTCTTTTAATGTCATTATAAAGTCTGGGATTCTATCTTCTCATTTTTTAGTAAACAAAGGCATTTGAACTTTCCTATTCTTACCCTGTGTCCATGATCAATGAATTTTAAAGATTGTTTATAGTGCCTCAAGCTGGGACAAAAGACCTATGTGTAATGTAGGCTATGTTAAGATTGTGATTGTCAATGGCCGGCATTGGGATCAATATAATTAATGACATTGACATCTGGTCCACAAATGCTGACAAAGGCAGAACCTGAAAAATCTGTGTTCAAGTGGACTGTTGCTATTAATATAACAGAACAAATGCAAGAGGATAATATGAGTGCTTGCTCTACTTATTTGTGAATTTTGAGGATCTTTGTTTCTCGCTGCTATTACCCTTGAGGAAGAAATGTAACATAAAATAAATGATTAGAAGCCATTCCTGTTTGCTTTGAGTAGCATAAATGATAGAAGCAGTTTACTGTTCATGTTGAAACTGAATGACAAAGCAACACAGCGAGCGAGAGGTGTTATATCGATGATAGTAGTAGCCAACAGTAGCAGTATTTTTATTCATAGCAGAAGTTGAAAAAAGGTGTTGGTGAAGGAGCAGTAAACAGAGAGATACTGCTGTTAGTGTGGATGAGGCGAGTGTGAGATGTAATAGCAAGAGAGTTGCTGAGGCAGGACTGGATCTGGATGTCCGGGATATAAATTCACACTGACAGAGACAACGTTGTAACTGATTGTGCTTAGAGAGGGCAGGCAGTGTGTGTGTGTGTGTGTGTGTGTGTGTGTGTGTGTGTGTGTGTGGTTATAAGCCTGCCTATATGTCTCAATCTCAGCTGAGAACCTGATTCCCCTCAACCCCCCACCCTCTTTCCTGTCCAGCCAGCTTCATCTTTTATTTATGTCTCTATCCTGCTGTCGGATGCAGAGGTAGAGGCGGCTGACACGACGGGTGGGGGTGGGTAGCCTACAGAGGTGTGTGAGGGCCAGCAGGTGGAATGATTTCCCATGGGTCCATGTGGAGCGTGAGCAAGACATAAGGAGCGCCTGTCTCAGGAGTTACTTGTCAGAGCAGAGGTGAGGTGAAGATAAAAGAGGGAGGGAAGGAAAAAGGGGGAAGGGAGGGTGTTGGAAGAAAGATCAGGGCAGCTAAGATAATGAACATAGATGCCACTGCACAGGCCTTTAAACCTCTCACTGACATTATTTTAATAGCTTTTTAATGGATCAGACAAAGGCTAAATTTAGTCACTGGACATTGACTCATCTGGCTAATTCATAATTTGAGTATCAGTCCAAATCTCCTGCTGACCAACAAATCTCAAACAGGAGGGTGAAGAGCAAGAACAACAGGTTTTGCCAAAGTTTGGCTCAGTATCTTTCCATGCGGTTACCTCGAGTTTCTCAATGCGGTCCTTCAGATCCATGATGGCCCTGGCAAGCTCCTCCACGGCACGCGCCGTCTGCAGCTGCGCCGCGGCGGAAGAACTGACATCATCCCCGGCCATGACGCGGCGATTGCCGCTCCAGACCCCGATGCTCCGCTCCGGGACGTTCTTCTCGTCCTCCAGGCCGCTCTCACACTCACTCAGCTTCCCCGTCAACTCCCGGATGGTCCTATGGTCCATGAGGATCTGGTCGTTCTGCTGCAGGACAGTCTGCCGAAGCTCCTCCGCGGTGGTCCGGAGATACGTCCAGTCTTCATCCCCGGCTCCGTACAGCGGGTCGTCCGCTTGCTGCTGTTGTCGCCGCTGCCTTAGATCTTTGGTCTTGCATTCTCCGACCGGTACAGGTGTGCAGATCAACCGACTGAAGCTGAACTGTTTCGCGGACCCACCGCCTGTCTCCTCCCCGAGGTTCAGCTCGTTCAGAGTGGGGACCTCCAGGCCGATGCCGCCGAGCCCGTCCCCTCCACCGTAAGACTCGGCGCCGTGTAGAGCGCCCAGCGGCCCGGCATGAGCCACCGATCCGGGCTCCAGGGGCTGGAGCAGCGTCTCCGATGTCAGGGTGCCGTTGTCGCTGATGGGCACGGCGCGTTTCCGGGGATAAACACTGGCGATGATGCAGATGACCGCGCCGAGGAAGGCCAGGGTGCCCGCTCCCACAAGCACCACCACGAACTTCATTATGACTGTGGAGACCGAAGCAAAATGTTACGGCTCAGTTTCAAAGACTGACACGTAGGCTACACACCTGGAAATAGAAAAATCTCTTCTTTTCAGGCTGTTAACAGGCTACAAAGAGCAGCATCACTCCATACAGCAGCGTGTAGGAAGACCGCATCACCCGATTATAACCACGATCTAGTTAGTCATGAACTAGACTCACGCTGACACCTCAGTTTAACAGCCAGAGGTGTTTGCTGTAGAAATGTGGCACTTACGCACAGAAGATGTTTGCCAGAGTCGATGCTGTTTTCCTCTTGACGCCCCCCCGTGTGTAGCCTAATATTGATGGCACCGCGCTGTCTGGACCAGAGATGCTCCCTCTCCTTCTCCGTGTTGCTAAGCTGCTCTCCTCCGTGCGTTACCATGGGGACCGTATGGAGAGGAGGGGCGAGGCTGTGGGCATGCGCCAGTCAGAGCAGAGGTGAACCTCCAGCAGCAGCTTGAACAAACAAGGCGGTGATGGATCAATGTGTGCTGTGCTGTGTGTGTATGTGTGTGTGTGTGCGCGCGCGTGTAAGGTAGAAAAAGAGAGAACAGAGAGGGTAGCCTCAGTGAAGAGGGTGAAGCATAAAATGAGACAGTGCAACCAATGTGTGATTTTGTGTGTGCATGGCATGTATTCATATTAATTAAAAATCCAAATGTATTTTAAACAAGATTTTGAATTGAAGAGACACTTTAAAGGTTCAGTGTGTAAATGTTAGTGGCATCTAGTGGTGAGGTTTCGAGTTGCAACCAGCGGCACATGGTGCATTCACATGCACCTCGGATGGTTCCATTTCCCGAGTTGTGAAGTCTGTGTTCCAACATCAGTGTGTGTTCATGTGCTCTTAAGTCTGAATGTGGAATCAACATGGATGCTAGTACAAGGATGTGTTAGATTAGCATTATCAGAGCATATAAACAACACACAGACATCTAGTTCACTCTACATGGACAGCAAACTAACCGTTCTAACCAGTGCTTAATTTGTAAATTATTAGGTGCCGGAGTGTGTGAAATGTGCCGCCCACCGAAAATAATTAATTAATAATTTATGATCAAATTATGAATTATTAAAAACACATGGCGTACCTGCACATTGTTATAAAGGGAAACAGAAACCATTATTAGCTACCAAATCAAACAGTAAATAAGGAAATCCATCAGACTTACTCTACTAGGCTGGATGAAATCTTGGATTTTATTTATGTAGAAGGGCAGTGTAGTGACGCAGCGCACCTTAGAGGTGATAGTATAGCCAACAGTCGCAGTAGCGGTGCTCCGGCTAGCTCCGGCACAAATTAAGCACTGGTTATAACCATATTAAAAATTACATTTGCAAAATATGCACATGCAATACGTGATTTTGCACAAATCAAAGTTCTGCATACTTCTTTATGTCTCATGTAGCCTACACGTTAATAATTCTCTTTTTGCAATAAAGATGTAAGGAGGAAAAAAGATTCTGAATATTCCGGCACCACATGAATGCACCGTCTGTCAGCTGAAACTGACACTGAAAACGTAGTTTGGGGTATTATATTGCATTTCTGTCAATAGATCCTCCTAAAAAAACACACACACAGAACCTTTAAATTTTGCGAATATAAATAAAATCTATCAGAGAAACATCAATGCAAACATTTTGAAATAAACTGAAAACTGAAAACTAAAACCAGCTTAAGAACAGCCAAGTCGTACAAATGTACAGTGCACATACCTCACTCATGCACCCTTTACACACACACACACACACACACACACACACACACACACACACACACATACACCTGCAATGACAACATTTGACATACCTGGCGTTGAAATAATCTTACCTTGTCATGCATTCAGTATGTGCAGCCTGCATGTATTCACTGAAATGATAATAATAAAAAACAGGTCATACAGTCAGTTTAGAGGTAGAGAAAGGAAGTAGAGATACTGTAGAGCAGAAGAAGAAGAAGAAGGAAAAACACTGAAAGCTGGGAGCTGAGTAGGAGGAAGAGCACGCTTTCCCCAAGAGATGGTGCTGAATAAACTTAGCACCGACATGAAATGATCTGACCTGTTCAACAAACAAACATCTTCACTCAAAAGCTTTTCTTCACAGGGCGGATAAACCACTTTTAGAAAGTTTGCTCTTGATATTAGTCCAAATTAAACACAGACATGCAATGCGGGAAGGATCTTCTCTCAGCAGGGTGCTTCACCATCCCTGGGAAAAGGCACATTACTGCCAATCAGGGAAGCAAATCTTCTAATTAGCACAATGTTAAAAGAAAGCTCCATCCACACAAGGCCTAACCCAAGATATGAATCTGTGATATATAATTAATACCAGGAGATTCTTTTGTGATGAAATGTCGAACTCCTCTTTGTGGTGAACGCACTTAACCCACTTCACTTTGTACATTTCCCACAATACATTTCAAAAACTTTACATGACAACAGTAGAACGTAGTCTTTCAAACTGAACAAGTTGACAATCATGCTAGAGGCTTTGTAAGGCTGTACGCATTGTGGCACTTTGAAATAAATGCTAAAATGCTCACAATAACAACACTAACATGCAAATGTTACAGATAATGTTTACCAGGTCCACCGTCTGTGTGTTAGCATGTTAATATTTTCTAATTAGCACAAATACAACGTATAACTGACAAGCTGAGGCTGAATGTCATTAGTTTTCAGGTATTTGATCACGAACCAAAGTATTGGACAAATCATAGTTTTGACCTGATGGGTGTCCTAGATGAAAAGTCTCACCAAAGTTACAATTCATCCTGAGCGGGACATGAATGTCTGTATTCAAATTCATGGCAATTCATCCAATAGTTGTTTATTTTTTCAGTCTGGACAAAAGTCATGGACCACAACTCAACTGGCATGCATCCTTGGTGCTACACAAGCCAGCACGGCTAAAAATGTTAAGCAAATCATGTCTTGTGACCTCACTGCACTTTAAACTATTAAGGCAACTACATGGTGCAGAAAACTCTGTTTCTTCCTCCTCTGATTCATTTCTCATAGAAGATTGCTAAATTTCAAAGCAAGTCTACAGGGAAGCTGTTGCTCTTTGATTCTGAAGGACTGATGTTTTAGAAATTTGAGTTTTTCTCCTGACATAACGTTGCAAAACAAGATTTGGTGTCAATATGAGACATCTAAACAAACTTTCCCCCGGCATTTAGAGTGAAAAGATTGTTATGTTTGGAAAACTGCTAAGAAAAAAAATCTTTCATCCTTCATTCATCTTTCTTCTTCTTCCTTAGCTCTTACTTGTCTTCTTCTAAGGTCTGCAACGAGATTGTTCGACTTGTAATTTATCGAGTTAGGACATTAGTTTGAATCTGCCATGGACCACAATTGGCATCTTTTAACAGAAATATAGATTACCTCCTATAAAACCACAACACACTTTTTTTTTCACACTTTGGTTTCTGTATGAACTCAACAAATGAGATAATGTGTTAATTAGAGAGCATTGGAGGTGCTTGCAAGTTTCATGTGAAGCCAGACTAATTGATTCCTGTCTTTATGCAAAGCAAAGCTAACCAGCTGCTGGTGGTAGCATCATATTTACCGGAGAGACATGCGAGTGGTTTATCAATCTTCTCATCTAACTTTCTGCAAGAAAGCAAGTGTATTTCCCAAAAAATAATTAAACTATCTTCTTAAAATGTGTGAATGTAACAGTTTAAGAAAGTCATGAAAGTGGTGATTTTTAGTCCTCAAGTCAAACTCAGGAAGGAACTAATAAGGTTGCTAAGGAATAAATAGCACATGAAAATACTCAGATTGGAATGAAGCTGGAAGGGAAACCTGGATTGTGTGTAATCTCCAGAGGTGGCTGATGTTGCACGCTCATACACACAAACACACACACAGATGTGGGCCACTCGTTTCAAACCACGATGACTATTTTAGTTCCATCTGGCTCGTAAGCTCATGAGGTATTCTGCCAGGGAGGAAATAGATATGAGAGAGAAATAGAGGGGGCAAAGAAAAAAGTGACAATGGAACTATATTGCCTCCCTCTCTCTGTCTGTCTCTCCTCTGTTTACATCCATTACAGAACAGTGTGAACAGAAGAAAAATAAAACACTGCCTGTGGAAAACGAGATAGCTGTTTGAACTACATGTATGTATTCATCACAGCATCAAAAGTGGTGACCTTAATATCACCCCAGCCTTCACCATCCCTCAGAAAACACAGAGGATGCTATGCTAGGGCACCCGTGAACGCATCAAAGCTCAACAGCGCCTCTCTGTGGGAAATTTGGGAACCACAGCAGGAATAGGAAGACAACTGTCACCTGACTCTACAGTTACCCTCAGATAAAGGGAGTATCTTAGGCCCTTTTTTGTTGTTTTACGTTCAACCGTCTAATCAACCTTGTTTCCAACCACAGCAGCAGTTTTTCTCAGCTAAAAAACTCTAATAGCCCTACTGGACACTACCTGCTCAGCACCAAATGGTATACAGACACTTTAGCCACCAGCAGGTGAACATAGTGGGACATTTAGCAGCTTAAGGGCCAAATACTTACCTTGGGAGTTGGAAGACCAACAACAGAGCTAAACAGAGAATGAATCTAAGCGTCCTGAAACATGACTCTAATACTAACATGACTCCAAATGAATACTAATGTTGGTCTGTGTCTACTCAATGTGTAAATAGGCAACTATTTGCTAACACATTTGGTGCAACAGTTTGATGTGTAGAAGTGTTGCGTTTCCAGTTTGTTGTTCTGCCCCCAAGTGGCCAAAATGTCAATAATTGTAGCTTCAAGGTGGATTTAAGTTATTTATATATTTTAGATGCAAAAAATGTGCAGTCTATTTTTCGGCACATTATTGGTTATTAGGAGACAGTGGTATTTACAGATGACATACTAAAGCAGGATAATTCTCTCTTCCCGCTGCAATAGGCCTACTGCTCAACTGTGTATGTAGGTGATCGCCTTCTGTGTGAACTTGTTTCTGATACAGATGAAAGAGTGCTTAAATGGTTTTGCTTTATGGTAAATTGAGATTGTAAACATGTGACATTTTTAATTAAAAATGGCTTATATATTTAAATTTTCTATTGCAAGGAAATTGCATAAAGACTTTCATTCCTACACTTATCACAACCATCTTTAGTACAGGTCCCCCACTTCACCCCTTAAATCCATACAAAGGCACCAAAAAATTACGAAAAAGTACAATAAAGCAAACTGCTTTTCAAAGAGCTTTTAATTCAAAGCCTTGTACAAGAAACAGACACAGAAAGCAACAATAGTGACAAGTAACATGACACTGAATACATAATCTGTACAATAAGGGTTTGCAAAACATGCTTCAGAAGTTCAGATACATTACAATGTCATCATATCCTCCACCTCCTCATCATTACCTTCAATACAATGTACATAATTCATATTAGCATTAAACCAGACAAAACTGCAGTCTTGACACATAAAAAATCAGAGTTTGCCTTCTGATCAAACCCATATTGGACTATTAAAAAATAGCATTCAAATAAACAGCATCACATTAACATTATGCATATTTCCAAAAAAAAGTATTAAAGTACAGTACAAAGGGGAAAAGGCTTAAAAAGCACAATTTTAAAATCATTAAGCATCTTTATGGATACATTTAAACAAGAATCCTTCTTTTTATCCAATTAGTGCCAAATAAATCTAGCACTCAAAATTACATCACATATAAATGTAAAACAATTTAAAAAGGGGAAAAAAGGCTTAAAAACCATCAAATAATAAAATCAAGAGCCCTATTTGGTTGAAAGATAGGCCACTAAGTTGAGTTGTGCTACCCCATATGAGAAAGAGAGAAGAAAAACATTGCGATCAACTTTTGGAAACATCTAGCAGCCTAAATACCTTACAAATCTACCAACCGCAAGAGTCACTTCTATCCACCACTTAAAGATATAGTAGATGAAAAAAATAAAAAAAATCTATTCCAAATCATGATAAATCCATTTGGAGAAGAAAATAATCCTTCATTGGTTTCTGAGGACTCAAGTCTGTTTTCGCTTTGTCAAATAAGGATTTAAAAGTTAAGTATCTCAATTTGAATTTAAGCTAGAGCATATCATAGGATTCACATTTTTCCTTCATATAATGGATGTGTCATTTTGGAATAAATCCTTCCACGTGTAACCTATGAGAGTACTGAAACAGTATTGACAACAACTAGAACCATTCAGTACATGACAGGAGAGGAGGCGACATCTTCCTCGTCTGTGTTAACAAAGACTTTAGCGATGCGCTTGCACCTTTGGAAAATGAGACATCTGAAGCTTATCAAGGTCATTACTGTTTGCAACATTGTAATCTTTACCACCCAAGTCATGGCAGGTAAGGAAGTTTTTTTGTTTGTTTGTTTTTTTTTTAGCATGTAAGAGCTGAGTAAGACGAGGTAAACGTCGCCTGGAGTGCGGCTGGGTTGAACGGAGCAGCTAGAAGGCAACACATGCGGAAGATTTTTCAATATTGTAACATACAGGTACACCAGAGTAAGAGCCAAGGTCTGGGAAGGTCTAGAAAGAGTAGACTGCTCCAGAAAATGGTTTAGAGTCTGTGTATAAAAGGGCCAGGTTTCTTTTGAAGTAACTCAGGTACACTTGAAGGTCAAAAACTTTAAACACTTTCAAGCTTTCAGACATGTAGCTGGAAACACCCTGCAGGGACTGAGCTCGGGAGATTTGCAGTCAAGAACAAGTGAGCGATGGATCACATCTTTTTCTAACCACCAGACGACCACACACTTTCTGACTAACATGATAGCAGTGAAAAAGACCGCACACCTGGTGTATCCGGAGAAAACAAAATCCTGTGTCAACATCCTTTGCTCTCTGGTCAGAAAACATTAGTCATAGTTTTTGCCTTGGTGACAGGCAAAAGGAACAAGAGAGGAAACAAAAGACTTGGTCAACTGGGACAATAAAAAAAGAAGCATCTGATCAATTGTAACTTGATAAAGTGGCTGGAAAAGTACAGAGTAGATACATTTATCAACCACAGACAAAAGATAATTTGTCTTGAGGCAAATTTCACCCAAGAGAATACAGCGGCAACAGAGGACGTTTTTCATGTTTGAGCATGGTTGGGTCCTGTTCCTCATGGTTCCTCTGCATGTGATTAAGAGCACTGTGTAACCACAAGTAAGGAAATTACCTGGTCAAAGGTTAGGGTGTAGAGCCACGACCTGGTGCCTTGCTCACAGAGACCTGAGCAGGGAAGAAAAACGTTATTGCTACTCTTAACCCTTTATGCAGAAATTTGTGGACTGTGCTAATTAAAGTGTCACTGATTTTCACTTGAAAAAAAAAAAAAAAAAATTAAATAAACAACAATAACCCATTTTGTAGCAAGTGGCAAACCTGCAACGCACAAAGAAATAGGTTTTCTCAATGCAAGCAACATTTCTACAGACAGTGGCTGAAATTTGAAAGACAAACCTGCATGTTATTTCAAATGGGAGAAAAGCTGAAACTGTGTCAACATAATTCAGCCTGAAAAGGTGTATATATATATAGCATTTCTGTTTATATGATATATCCAAAAGAAACTGGCAGAGTAACATTACAATGCCTAATAGAAAGTTAGTGAACAAGTTGACAGAAAAAAGGATGCCTTTTGTCCTCAAATTCCTGGCTTTGTCTGGTTCCTCTAGCCTGAAATGGGTAGCAGGAAGAGACAGAACCAATGCTACATGAACCACTTTTTTTGGAGCTACTAAAAAAGTACTGTTAGCTAAAGACTCACCAGCAACATCCAAAGGACCAAAGCAGGGTGTAAAGCTGTTTGCTCTACCTGCCAAAGTGGAAGGTAAACAGACAAACCTACCAGTCGCTATTGATTTTTAGAAGCCAAAACTGCCTGGATACACGTTACACAGGCTTTAACCACCTGCCAAGCAGCTCAAAGGTAACTGGTATTTTTAGCTGCATGTGGTTGCTGGCTTCAGCCTGAACTGTGTTCTGCTCATGGACCTTCTAGACCTTGACAAACTGAAAGTTATATGGTCCAGATCTGGCATAAAGAAAACATTTTTACAACTAAATGCAGGCCAGTTTAGAGTCTTGGTGGACGTCACAGAGTTGTAGAAGGTGGTGGGTTTGTGAGAAAACAAGGCAAGCACGACGACAAGGACAGCAATAACTTAATAATTATTGTTTTTGTATATTCTTTTGCAGCTTTTAAGGTTGTGCGTGCATATAAATACTCACACTGTATATATATGCATGTGCGTTCAAGAAAGAGAGGAAAAGGCCTTGAAAAATTGATGAACTACATAAAATAGGTCGTTTTTCGATGCAGTCAAGTGCATTGCATTTACCTCGCTGTATTGATGCAATATATGAGTCCAACTGTGTTAAGTGCAAAAACACGTCACCTCATTTATCATTAACAAGCTGGACTTCCGATATAAGGGGTGGTGGAGGGTCAGGAGATTGGCATAACACCTGAAGGCTGTCAATAACATCCTTCACAGCAGGGCCTGAATCTAAAGAGTATTTATTTCTTTACATACACCAAGTGTGCTTGTTAAGGGCTCACCCCACACACCAGATGGTTGAGCCTTTCACTTTTTTTTTTTTTTTTTTTTTAAATCACACCAAACAAGCTGAACTCAGCATGTCTGAAGCAAGTGAAAGAAAACAAATACCATTTACATCCAAGTCTGCTTCAAAGAGCCAGTGCTGTGCAAGTCGACAAAATATGGCGATTTAAGTGACAAGAAGGGCATATTAGCTGCCCCTTTTCGAATGTATACTCTTCTTTTAAAAAAAATATGCTCTTTTTTTACTTTTCAATAGCTGGGCGGTATTAAGTTACATTACATTTCATTAATGGTTACACAAATATGGACAAACCTTTAAGGAAAAGGTAGGAGGAAGCTGACGTGGCAACACTGGTATGATATTTTTTTCATTCATCATTAATGGCAATCGACTTCATAACATCTGATCTCTTATGGCTTGGGTGGAGAGGCGTCGTCAGAGGTGGTGCTCGGGGGAGGAGAGGAGGCCTCTTCGGGGCTAGGGGAGGGTGAGGCGGGACCGGAGGCAGGGGAGGGGAACTCTTTTATGGTGACAGTGACGAGGTTAGTGGTGACGTCAGTGACCACCACATCCTTGCAGCTTGGAGCCATTTCAGGGTGCCAGTCGGGGTCTCCCTCGGCGGGAACCCTTCGGGGTTCGGCGGGGGCAGAGCTCTGGTCCCCAGGGGTGACAGAGGAAGGGGCGGCGGGCAGCTGGTGTTTAGCCCTGCGTTGGCGAGGAGTTTTCCTACCTCCCTCTGGGGGGACCGAGAGGTCCTCCTCCTCCTCATCTTCCAAAGAAGAACAGGGTGAGGAGGGGAGGAAGGGAGACGCGGACGCTGCATCTGAGGATGTGGGAGGAGCAGGCAGCTTGGCGCCCTCACCCTTCTTGGTCTCTGTCTGAGGTTTACTGGACTTGGGACCCTCACTGGAAGATGAAGCTCCGGTGGTTGGCTGGGACTGAGTAGCTGAAGCATTGGCAGGAGATTTTCCTTCAGAGCCGCTGGAGCTGGAAGGAGAAGGAGGTGACTGGTACTGGGAGGAAGTGGAGTGGGTGTCTCTGGCCCCTGTGCTGGAGCATGACCCCGGGTGGGAGGGAAAGGGCAAAGGGCCTCCACATTGCAGCCCAAACGGCTTCCCGTACATCGGGAAGCCCAGCATCTTCAGAGGGGGCTGGAAAGGTCTATAGGGTGCCTCTCCTTTCTTCCCAATGATGCGATTGCGGGAAGGGATGTTTTGGCGTCCTGCTGTAATATTCCTGCTGCCTGCGGCTGCACCACCCCTACCTGGCTTGTCAATGACCTTCAGGTTGAGGATGATCCGACCCCTCTTGACCTCCCGGGGTTTGACTCTACGGTTGAGGATGCGGACAGTCTCAGAGAAAGGAGAAACATGCGGGCGCGAGGGGAAGCCACCGGGGTTGGAGAAGGCAGCCGCCATGGGGTCTGAACGGGGCAGAGGGCGCCTGGACATCCGGTGGCAACGGTGAATGTCTTTCTTCAGCTTGTGGGTGGCTGCAAGCGAATTGAGTTTAGGAGTGGGTGCCAAGGTTGAGGAAGAGGAGGACGAAGATGCTAAATGATGAGGCGAAGCGGAGGAGGAAGGAGTTGCTTGGCTGGAAGTGGATGTAGAGGAGTGTGATGGAGTCTGGCGGGCATTTGAGGCTCGGCTGCTGGTCCCTCCTTTCTGAGCACGAGCCTGAGGGAGATGATTAAGAATTAAGAAACCATTTTTGCAAGAGTATGAGCTTTTTTATTGTAGTTTTTTTTAACTTGCAAATCACCAAATCAATGCTTAGTGGGAATATTAAGCAGTATTTACGGGCCCTTAATCAGTAACTTTCTGAATAGGTGTTAACTATTTGTGAATAAATTATGAACAACAATGTATGTAATAAAGAGAGATCTATTTTGTTACTGTGGTCATTACCATCCAAGTAAAATGATTAAAACTTCAAGACTTCAAACAAGTAAGAAAACCTGCTTCCAGTAGGGTGAACGTATTCATACAGCAGAAATCACAAACAGAACTTTCCACTGTGCTGCTTCCAGAGCAATAGTATGTGCAAGAAGATCACATTGAAACAGATCAATAAATTATGGTTGTAAAAACTATAAACTGTCACTAGAAAGCTTGTTTTCAGCTTTGCACAACTGACTTTTCAATCACAGCTGATGTGTTTTGTGTATTCATAAAATACCATTTGAGTCTCATCTTCATACCTTACATACAAAAATAATAAAGTCATAAAAAAAAACTTTTACCTTCATGACAAAGTTTTTGGGTTTTGGCCCCCGTTTCTTCGGCCCATGCAATTCCCTTTCCCGTTCCCTATAAAGACGGAAATGACAGTTGCAACAATACACATTTCAAAAGTAAAAACAGTCTAAAAAAAAAAAAAGAACACCACAATGAGAGCAAAAATAACAAATCATAACAGAAGATAGACATGAAAGCTGTGGGTGTGTGAAAGTAGAGCAGTCGGGCACAGACAACATTTGAAGCTGAAGTTTCCATTTGATGTGTCTCTCTCTGTGTCCCGTTTTTAATGGCGTCCGTTTTCATTTACTGTAACCATCTACTCTGTTAGCAGCACAAGGCTTTCAAGTTGCTTGGCAGCAGATATAAAGAACATCAGCTCAGATGGATGTTTTACAATCAAGAAGAGAAGGAGGAATGTAAAAACACAAGCAGATGGGGTAAAAGCGGAAGCAAGGAAACAGTACTACTTAAAGTAAGATACACGGGAGTTTATGTAAATTAAGGACATAAAACAAAGTTTAAAATTAAGAAAAAGAACAGAAACAAATAAATTGGACAAGCTTTAAAAATTTGAAGTTATGAGTTTCACACAGAGTATGACCTGTCATTAAAAACTGTCTTTACTCACTTTTGCTCAAAGCCCATTATCAGTCTGTCATCCAGAATATTCTCCTCTGGCTCCCAAGTGCTGTGCCTAAACAAAGATGGAGCAACATGAAGAAAACACACAAGAACACTTTTTTTTTTAAACCAGGAAGGGTTTAATCCACATTTGCAGTTCAATGTGAGATTAAATAACATTAAAAACAGCACAACACAAATCCTCACTTTTAAAAATACAGAGATGTCAATTTTCATTTAAGTCAAAGTTAAGAAGCACTTACTTCATTGCCCATCCTTTCCATTTTACCAGGTATTCAAGTCGTCCCTGCAAGAAAGGGCAGATGGTGGATTACAAAAACAGGGCCAAGAGTTTTGCAGCAGCATCCTTTTCGCTGCTCAGTTGTTGGCTAATCTACATTTGGGAGTTACTGGGATTTTGCGGTGCGTCCTTTACACAAAACAAAATCTTGCATGCTTCTCATGCAACACACCACCACTTCATTAAATTTAACCCTGTTTCAGTCCTGCAGACTCCTTGACAGGGTCTATATTAGTCTGGCAAATGTCATATTTGAACTTGATTATGTTTCAATGAAGAAATTGTACTTGTAGTAGGGGACTTCTTCGCATTTGTTCTCATCTTGATGTGAGCTCATCCTGGCTTTCAAAGTTATAAATAAATTCTTAATAACATCAAATATATTTAACACTGGGCATCAAACATTTTTACGTTTCATTTGCACAGAAGTCACATCACATAAGGGCATATCCCCCCCCCCCCCCAAGATGACAACCTCTACAACATCTTTGAGGAGTTCGTCTTAAGCCTAAATATGGTATGCCTGATTTTGTGCAAGTGCTTGTTTTACATCTCACAAGAGTGGTTATGAGGTTCTAGCAGGCAATTTAGAAACAACTGAAGGCCTGGTAGGCCCGCTGGTTAATACCAGCCATTTAAGATTACGTTACCCTACCATGATTTATAGGGTCTTTTCCAGTATACAGACCTTACCAGACTGATAAACACTAACAAACTATAAGAAGGCCGTCATCAACTGTGGCTGATAAAACTCCTTTCTCTCATAAACAGTAGATGAGTGCAAGTACTAATGTTTTGGAAACCATCCTTCACAAGCTGCAGAAGAATGCAGTAACGTTAGTCTCCAACAACCTTTCATGTGGGTGCCACAAACACCTCTCCCACAGGCTGTAAAATGCAGACTGTGGCCGTATAGCTTTTAGCTACCATTAGCTGGCAGAGAAATCGGGCCCCTCCATTTCATAGCACTGCCCTCATCCCATCGGCTGGGCTGCCGTGTTCTGCAGCTAGCCCCTTCTTTGTGTCGCTGTTTTTATTGCCCCGCTAACGCCTGAATATACGAGCCATGACTGATAGCCTCGTTATTTAGCTTCTAGCTAGCAAAGTAGAGGCATTCAGCAACCACAAGGCCCCCATAGCATTGCACAGGCTCACGAAGACAGCCCTGAGCCTATGGACCCGGAGCGCTGCCGTGCTGACCGCGGCCAACATCTGCTTGAAGTCAAAACACGCGGGACTGTAACTCACCTTACGAACGCGGCGTTTCAGTATGGCTTCCGCGGCGAAAACGCGATCTCCCACCGCAGAGAGCTCCATCTTTCACGCCCGAACTAAGCTACCTGTCTCTGTTTTCCTCTCTCCAGACGCCAAGCTCCGCTGTGTGCTCGGGGCCGAACACAGCCAAACTGTGCGAGAGGTAACGTAACGTTAGCAGACACACATGCACACACACACCACTACTACTGCAGCAACGGCCAGCCTGCTATATGTCACGTGGCCGGGGCCAGCCCCTTCGGTCGTCCTGGCAACGATGAAGACACTCACGAGGATGCAAAGATCCGCGCGCTTCACAGAGCTCTCATCATCTTTGTTTGATGACAGGCGGCGCTATAACACACGATATTATTAACGCTAATGGTATTATTCAATTCACACATTTTATTCCAGACTCACCTCTGTCCTGGGGGCCTTGTAGGGGTTTTAAAAACACCGACGGCATAAGTTGCCTTAAATGTCATTTACACTGGGGACGCTGTTTCCCCACCACTTTTTGAAATGGCTGATTTTGTCCCCATCATTTTATAAAGCATCATTTGTTAAAATAATATTCTGAAATATAACTTGCAATAATAAATGTTAAATAACAAATGAAAATGCACTGAGAAAGGTTTATTTGCACAATAAGAAAATATGCAATGCAATTAAAATAGGCTACAGAAGAAAAAAATGTGCATCATCCTAAAAAAAGTATGGTAGGCCTAAGCTAAAAAACAAAAACAAGCTACTGATTATAAAATGACCCAAAAAACGTGCATGCCCCCCATCAGCCCCAACTTTAACAACTTCTTGACACAGTTTCGTTTTGGCCAAGTTTTCCTTTCTCTCCCTGTGAACATGTCAAAAGAAGCGGTAAGACTAAATCATGCCTACCACTGTTGCCTCAGCAGGGATGATATTAAAAGAGAAATGTTGATCTACAGTAGGCCTACATCTAAAAGCATTACACAACGCATGAGAGCCTTACTGCATTATATTCCATTATATTTGTATATCTTGAATTGTCACCTGCCCACCTGAATTTTTTGTTCCCTTTTACATAAATAAAAACATTTCCACCATAAACTGGTGCAGAAACTTTTACCAGAATGCAGGAAATGAAGTGTTTAATGCTCAAAATTTCCCCCAGACCCACCGCTCATATACAGTCTCTCAACATTAATGATATCTTCAGATCACTGTTTAAAGATCTTCTCGTCTCATTCCCAATATCGTGAAGTCTCTTCACACCCATAATCTCTGTCCCTCTGTCCTCACCACTTTTTAATGCAAAGTGACGCCCTTGGTCCCCCCACCCCAGGTGTTTGATGTTTAAATTTGCATTTATCTTATTCAGTTAACTGTCAATAAAGAGTGTTTATTTCTATTACTATTATTATTACTAAGTGGATATAGACCTACATAATGGATTGATATTTCTATTTACTTGTAATTCTTTAATAGGTGTCAGTGTGAGTGGTTGTTTATTTCTGTCGGCTCTGTCATGATGTTAGGCCGACTGTACATTAACCACCAACTGTAGGCCTATATAAAATATAATATAATATATTCACATACGCTATATGCTACTGTATAATATCTGTATATTGTAACTCCTCTGTACATACTGTAAGAGACAGCATAACTGCACTCATCTGGAAAAACTCTAGGCTATATTTCCAGAAGCTAATTGCATTTCATTAGTTCCGTGCATTCTCCGCATAATGACAATAAAGTTGACTCTAATCTAATCAGAAGTAGCTGTAATTCCCATCACTACTGTTCAGGGTCACCCCTCCGTGATCCATAAGCAGTTATAGATAGGCCTGATGGATGGAAGGACAGATGGATTATTTAAAATGAGTGACAGCCTATAGGCTAAATAGTCAATTTAGTTGTTGCCCAGTCTCGTTAGATAAAGTTAAAATAAAATAATAAAATAGGCCTATATTGAGTAAACGATGGAACCTGAAGATGAAAACATCCATACCATCTTTTAATGTAGAATGTACACTCTCGTCTGGTTACTGAAACCTGTGGCTAAAACTCATAAATTTTCATAAAACAGAGGACATGACCTCCATGTAACCACACCCCTGCCTCTGTCGTAACATGTGCGTTCAGACAAGTTGCTTAATCTAACTGAGACAGCATTTTACTGGAAGTTCGGAACTCCAAATGAGTAAGGTATTTCCAAATAGAAAAGGCAAGGCCCAAGTTTAGTGTTGACACTGCCCCCTGAAAAATGTCTTAAACTTCTGGATGTGTTGCCTTGGGGTTTTCAAAGTCTGAGACCATGGGCCTCCGCTCAGACAAAGCTTAGTTAAAAGGCACCCACTCACCCCCAATGGTCGCTGTTTACATTCCACCTCAGGCCTGTGTTAGTGAGGCATTTCTACACCTGGCCGACCAGATAACTAACGTGGAGAAAAAACATCCAGACTCCCTGCTCATTGTTCTTGGGGACTTTAACAAAGCAAATCTCAGTCATGAACTTCCAAAGTACAGACAGCATATTAAGTGTCCCACCAGGGACACTAACACACCACTGCTACACTACATGAAAGGATGCCAATCGCTCTGTTCCCCGTGCAGCCTTGGGACTCTCTGATCACTTTCTGGTTCATCTTGTCCCGACACACAGGCAAAAACTGAAATCTGCTAAACCTGTTGTAAAGACTGTGAAAAGATGGACCAACGAGTCAAAGCTGGAGTTACAGTCCTGCTTTGACTGCACTGACTGGAGTGTTTTTGAGGCTGCAGCCACTGACCTGGACGAACTAACTGACACTGTGACATCTTACATCAGTTTTTGTGAGGACGTGTGTGTGCTGACTAAAACCTTCCGCACATACAACAACCAAAAACCCTGGTTCACAGTGAAACTCAGGCAGCTTCATCGGACCAAAGAGGAGGCCTTCAGAAGTGGGAGTCTTGTACAACCAGGCCAGGAACACAATGACTAGAACGCAATTTATAGTTCTGCGTGAAATCAACGTAGCCTCTGAATCTCAACCTGCCTAAGGACCTGCTGATCCAGTTCTACACAGCCATCATCCAGTCTGTTCTCTGCACCTCCATCACTGTCTGGTTTGGATCTGCCACCAAAAAGGACAGGAGCAGACTACAACAGACAGTCAGGACTGCAGAAACAATAATCGGTGCCATCCTGCCCTCCATTCAGGACTTATACATTTCCAGAGTCAGGAAACGGGCAGGAAACATCACTGCAGATCCCCCCCCACACACACACACACAACCTGTTCAAACTTCTCCCCTCTGGTAGGCGCTACAGAGCACAGTACGCCAAAACCAACAGACTCAGGAACAGTTTCTTCCCACAAGCCATCACTCTGATGAACAGCTTTATATAGCTTTTGATAACTACCTTGTAATACCTAATATCAATATTATTTATAATATAAATACTAAAATTTTTCACTTACATTCTCTGAGCCTCCTCTGGACTTTGGAGCCCCCCACTTTGAAGACCTCTGCTGTAGCATATATATGTTCCAACAAACATTTATATAGCATAGATAGCAGCTTTATGATCCATGTCAAACCAAGCTGTGAATTATGGCAAAATCTCAGAATAGATAGTGACATTAACAGACCGCTCAATGATAAAGTTAAAATAACCTAAATCATTGCATGAATGCACCAGCCATAAAAATGCAAGAATATTATTACATCACACAGTGCTTTGAAAGGGCCCACTCTGCATCACAAGTACTTTGATATTTGCAGATAACACTTGTGCATTAAAAGCAAAGAAACAAAGTAAAGTAAAAGTTTAATTTTGAATCAAGAATCTTTACTTTGTGGTAGGCTATTGCTGCTTTCACATAAGGAAGTGAATCTAAACTGAATTTGTATTACTGTCAAGTGTGTTATTGGTGTTTTACAATGGCTTAAGAACCAACAACTGGTTCATAACTAAAAACTCTAATGCTTATAATCGAAACACAAATGTACATGTATTTTGAATAATTTATAATGTATAAGAGCTGTTTACTGTTTTAAAGTCCCATATATTATTAAGTATGTTGAAAATTGCCCTATGATGTGGTTTCTCTTAGTATGTGCCTATTAGGCCTATAGTCTTGTCCCAGTAAAAAATACCGGTATCATTGAAATATGTATTATATATATTCATTATATTTATGTTTATTCATATGTATTTATTTCATATGATCAGGAACAGTCAACTCTTCTTAACTTGCTCAATTGACGATGTTTGATGATGTTTGAAGGTTTATATATACACCTTTATATAACATTTTGACTAACCATTGTAGCTTCTTTAAAGTATGGTGCTCACTGGACAGTCAAAGGACTTGTCTTTGGTGGTGGGACTTTCCAGTGTGAAGAAAACCCGAGCATCGTGGATGTGTCCTGACCCACCCCTTTTTAACCTAGCAGTCTCCTAATTCTTGAGCTCTGATTGGATGAACTCACGCCAGTCAAGACTCAGCATGTTCGGTTGCAGTCTCGCGGTTGTTGATGTAGCTGTCAGAAGTCAGCAGAGGCAGAGGAGAGCTAGCAGGTAAGCACCGACAGACATGCTGCGTTTGTACCAGTTAATGCGATTAGCTAACTTACGCTATATAGGCAGCTAACAGCAGCATAGATGCTCAGAATATTTGGGATCTTTATATTAAAAACATAAAATAAATGGATTTTCGCTGACAGCGTCGGTATCATGTCAAATTGATTCTGACTAATTTGGAACTCGTGAGCAGCATGAATGGAGCCACTTGTTCAACATTTAAATGAGGACTAGCCTCATTTTTCATACTCACCACAAGGTCTTGGAGTGTAATAGAAAGTGGAGAGTTGAGAGATAGCCCACGTTGTTAACTAATGTGGAAGCCCAGCTGGTTAAAAGGGGAGTATAATTAGCTAAACCTAACAGGAAGTTGTTTTTGATTGTGTATAGTTCGTTACTTAACTGATCTAACCACAAATTAGAGACTCAGCAACCATAATATGTAATATCTGGGATATTACACCTGTTGCAATTCTTGAGCGGTTACATGCTGTCCTAGGGGCTAAAATAAATCATTCATTATTGTTGAAAACAATCCTACAGGCTGCCAAACAGAGCTGCCAAAAAAGGCAGAGCCACAGTAAACATTTCTGCATGTGCTGCCAAACCTCTTGTCTTATATCAGTTAGAGATGTGTTTACAGATTGTGCTGTAGATTGTCTGAATCTTCTCTACTCTCTTTGTCTCAAGGTAACAATGCAGTTCCTGGGACGGCTGTTGGACACAGTGTCCTCTGTGTCAACCCTCTTCACCAACCCCTACCGGGTCAGGGATGTGCCGCTCTCCGACTACGGTGGAGGAGGCAAAGTCATGCTGAAAGAGGAGGGACGCATAGTCCTGTACAAAAACAGCCAGTGCCAGTCATGGGACTGTCTTCTCATGTGTCCTGAGATATCTACTATGACGCTGAGGTCAGTATTGATCACATCAAAGGTGGGGAGAGGGGAGTGATATGTGTCATTTGTAGCATATTACAGCCACTGAACTAGGTTTAAATATGCTAATGTCAGCTGAAATGACCACATAAGATACGATGCAGGTTTTTGGTTTATGATTCCATGACTCCCTGCAGATTTCAGCACTACTTTCAGTCTATAACATCTTAAGTATTTATTTTAGATCACTCTTGACCTACAACCCAATGAAGCAGCTTAACAAAATCAGAGCCCTTTATCTTAAATCAATCACTGCCGGGTCATTCAGCCATAGTTCTGAAAAGCAGTGTTAAACAATGAAGAAAGTTTTATGGTTTGTCAGAACATGTTTAATGCGTCATAGGGTGTGTGCTTGATGTAAATTTGGAGCTTTCCTCTGTAAACTTAACATCAGAGGTCCAGAAGCAAAAGCTTTTTAAGAACTTAATAGCATTTTAAAATAACATCGAATATTGACCACTGTTGGTTTGCAGGGAAATGTCAAAGCTACTTTTAAAACTTGAATGTTCTTGGAAGTGCCTCAATATCACAGATTCTGCAAACTGTTTTTATTGTTGATTCTTTCAGCCCCTTGACGCTTGAATTTATTTACAATTATATATGAATATGAATTTATCATTTTTGTTTTCTTTTGCTTTCAAGCTGATGCCTAATTAAGTGGAGATTGTTAATTTGTCTATGGAGCATAGAAAAGAGTTAAATTCAGGTATGATGATAAACAATAAACAGGTGCTTGCAAAAGGTTCCTAGGTATGTATCGAAAATGCACAAACTGGCATTGGGGGAATACATGTTCTATCTGGGCTGCAGTCTGAATGGCTGCGGTGTGATGCGAATTCGCGACAATCCACAGCCGTTAAGGGGTTAAAGGTTACGGAAATAATTAGCAGTGGGAAACAAGAGAGAAAACTGGTTGTTAAGTAAAAAGTAATTGGAAATTCAACGAACAGTGGTGCTTGTTGAAGCCAAGGGCCACAACAAATACAAACAGACTACTGAAAAAGTTCTGTAGTTGCTAAAGTTGTTCTTATTCATCTTATCTTTCATTTGAACAAATATTACCACATTCCCGTTTTGAAATGTTTGGCTCTCGTTCAGATTATCCTTCATGGTTCTTGCAAATTATGAGTATGTAATCCTTCCTGTGAACTAGGCTGTTTCAGGTGGCGTCAGAGGAAGACGCCATGAACTGGTTCCCCCAATATGCCCTCAAGCTCCGCCCCTTCTATGAGACACTTCCTCTGAAGGCTGAGACCACCCAGCCAATCGTGGACTGCATCCGCAGCCACCCGGACTGGAGCTCTGCCCACATTGCTGTTGAGACAGGCCTGAGAGAGTGTCTCAAACATAACTACGTTCAGAGGTAAGTGCAGATTTTGATTTGGTTGACTGTTGCTGCTGGAGAAAAGTACTTCTGCTTATGACAGTCCAATGATGAGTCCAAAATTAATTAACATTCCTGTGCCATCAGTCCAAAAGATATTCATTTAACAAGAATATAAACTAGAGAAAAGCATTGAGTCTTATCATTTGAGAAGCTTTGACCAGCAAATGTTTGACATTTTTGCCTGATAAATGATGAAAATGTTATTGATTCATTTCTGGCTCAGGCAGTTAACCTGGAGATAAATGCTTCTAGATAAAGCTGAATGAAGAGAGGATTATAATGTGTGAGGTTATTCTAGTGAGGCAATAATTGTGCGTCAGTATGAGACTGCCAGCTAAATACATATAATGCACAATGTAACAAATACTTTACTAACTATTTATAATTAGTTAATAACAGCTTGTCAGGATTGGCGGAGTGAAGGCGGAGGTGTGGACCCAAATGCAGACGTAGGCGAGGAAGATGCAGTTTAAACAAAGATTTATTTACAAAAAGACAAACAGGCTAACGCTGGGAGCTCAGCGGCTAAAGTTCAAACAGAAAGTGGCTCCAAAGCAAAAACATAAATCCAAAGAAATCCAAAAACAAGAACAAAAGGGAATCCAAGGCACAAATCCACAAAACTTAGGGAATAATCCAGAATCCAGGAAACAAGGTACAAGGCAGGACACTCAACTTCGACGCAGACACTACAAGGACGTGACAAAGACTGAGGAAAACTGGGGACAATATGTACACAGGTAAACAAGCAGGGAGGGAAACACAGCTGAGATACATCAGGTAATCAGACAGAGCTAGACAAGGACACCAGGTACAGAAGATTACCATAATAAACAGGAAGTAAAGTTCACAGGAACACACAAGGACAGATCTACCAAAGTAAAACACAAAAACATGGAAAGACAGCAAAATCAGGACACAGACAGAGACGGGACCAAACAGGAGACAAGACTACCCTAAAACATGGAGATAAAAGACTAAGGACTAAGACAGACCATAATGAGAAAATACAGAAGTACACCGATAAGGAAAACACTAAACATGAACTAAAGCACAGGACCAAGAACTAAGATGAGAGATAAGACAGTTACAAAGAAAACTTAAAGCGAATGAACCAAAATAATAAACTAGACTACAAAACTCCAAACCATGACAATATCAAGTAACCACAGGAAGGAACAACAGCACAAAACCAAATCCTTTACAGACACTTCCTGGTTTTGCAGATTTAAGCTTGCTAACTGCAAATAACTTCACAATACTCAATATCAATTTGCCACGCAGCAGTTGGTTTCCATCCATTTCAGTGCAGTATGATAATCAATTTGCATTTACTCAAAAGCTACTTTAGATAGTCAGTATATCACAATGGAAACGTTTAGTTGCTCTAAAGTCAACCATTACATATGACCCTCCACCAAATGTACGTGGTAGTGCCTTATATAGTGTCATCTGTGATTGTAATGTTATGTTAAATGTATGTATCTGTGTTTCTTGTCTTTTCTTTGATGTTCTGTGATGCAAGAAAAATGTCAGATTTGATCCGACAATAAGGTATCATCATCATATCATCGTCATCATCATCATGTGGGAGTCCGCATTGTTGGTGGAAAATTTTATTTCAAAGACACAATAAGAAAACATGAATATCAAAAAACATTTAAATTAAACTTATCTTCACTGAAAAGTTTGCAGTTTGCGGCCAAGTGTCTAGGATGTTACTTTAATGAAAAATGATCAAAAATTCTAAACTGTGCGCGCTTGGACTGCATTGCCACACGATGATAAAATAAATTGAAATGTATTATTTTTTATCATTAATTTTATTTGCCAATTAAGTGGAGTGAAGTGTTCGCTCGTGGTTTACCTATGCATCTCAAGCAGCTCTAAGCATTCTGCAAGCTCATTTTCATACTGTCGTGATATGATTGGAAAACAATGGCTGTCTGGAAGGAGGGAAATCAGTCAAAACCATTTGTAAAGAAAGTATTAATTTACTGGCTAAACCGTCAACTTTCTGTCACCAGTCAGATCAATGCTCGGGATGCATCAGGTCAGACGCCGCTGCACCTGGCATGTGAGCGTGGCGACTCGCAGTGTGTGAAGGAGCTGTTGGATGAAAGCCAGGCGCGCACAGACATCAAAGACCGCAATGGAGAGACGCCCATGCACTGTGCTGCCAAGCAGGATTCTCCTGCCATCATCCAGGTGAGACTAAGCAGGAGTGAAATCACAGTTACATTTCCATCTGATCAAATTCTGACTTGGATTTTGATCACTTATGGAATGATCTTATCACATTGTTTCAGTGTTCCTAAAATTCAACTGATTGACCCAAACAGGGTGCTACTCTTTCAGTTAAAATATTAAATGTTATTAAGCAGTCACGTCCTCCAAACTGCGCAATAACACGATTTTCTCTCCTTCCCTTTCCCCCAACCCACTGTCGTCCATCACGCCATCCTTTCCTCATTCAGGTCCTGTGCTCGCGGTTGTGCTCGGGGGTGAATGAGCTGAACAACAACGGGGAGACACCGCTCCACGTGTCCTGCCGTCTGGGACGCATGGAGTCTGTCAAAGCTCTGTTGGGGGGCGGAGCCAAGTGTGGTGTCATTGGTGGCGCTGGCTACCCCATCCACAGTGCCATGAAATACAGTGAGAAGGGGTGAGTGGGGTTAAGATAAGGATGTGGATTAGCAACAGAGTCTCTTTTCTGCTGTGTGTGTTCTAACTGTTGGTAGATTGTAATCAGTCCAGGATGTCTCTTAAGCTTGCCTTGCAGTGAATTTCTGAATGGGCAAGTAGAGGCTACTGGCTTTAACTGGAGAATGTCGGCTGTTTTTCTACGACTGCTCCTCTCTTTTCCACTGTTGTATGCAAACCAGTAAATCACAATCAACAGTCAAGCCACACAAGTCTCGCCGATGTCCGCCTGAGATCGTATGTCGGCATTAAATTTATAGCTGGAAAACAGCGACCGCTGCAGCAGTGTGTTTACAGCTGATGGAGTTACGCTAAATGCTGGGTCCGAAGTTGTTGTTTTAAGTTTTTATCAGCTGGGAAGTTTCTAAATGGAGCCGAAGTGGGTCTCCTCTCCGAAACGTGCGGAACAGCTGATTACAGCAGGTAATTAAAGTTAAACATCCCGTTCCTCCGATGCAGGCGGACACAGACGTGAGTGCAGCTGATCTGCAGCTTTTGTCTGCTGGAAATGTTGTAAAAACCTTCCCAACCGTCGCAATTTTATTTTTGTTATTTTAAGAACTTTATGGTTTTATCGAGTTTGTTATTAAATGTGTAACGTACTTTATTACATGTCTCCTCATTATAGGCCTACTCCCACACAAAAAAGCAGCTTTAATGGTCAAGCTAAGCCTATAGTTTAATCTGATGTTAATTTATAAATGTTGCTCATGGATCGTGGTTACAAATAATGATGCCTGTGCATCGCTTTGTATGGCGTACAGGCCTACAGCCTACGTCAGCTGGTTAATTTGCCTAATCTTCGCAGGTCTTTAGACCACAGTGGAAACACTCACAACAGTGGGCTGAAGGAACCTTTTAGTTCCTTGAAAAGAGATCTGGGGATATAAAAGTGCCTATAGTGTACAAAGTGTCCAAATTAATGTTTCTTGACCCTCATGCCGTGTCCAAAGTTACTCTTACAGAACAGCATCTCTGGAGCTGGAAGGGTTTCTGTATTTTCCTCAATGACACCAAAGATGGTTTTGAAGTTTTGGTTTCCCTGGTTACCATGCTGCCCTGCCTCCATCTTGAATAGCATTGTGCCTGTAGATAAAAGCTCGTACTTTTTGCAATATGCCATCAGAACCTGGGTTCAGTGACTTGGAATAAGACATAGAAGTAAAATGTATTAATAATTCTGGAGAGTACCTCTCATACACGATTATTTTAAGGAAACTCATTAAAGTAATATTGGGCCTCTGGATTTCCTAGAGTATCTGTGTATGATAGAGAGGTGCTGAGGTTGTTAAGTGGTATTGTTAATAGGTTACTAAAATTGTCAGCATACAAAATACAGTGGCGTTGATTCTATGCAGTTTGTTTAAGAGATAGTGAATAATATTCTTCAGTTAATATTTAGTAAATTATAAATGGTGTTTTTTTCTGTTTGACTGTCAGCTGTGTGGAGGAGATCCTCAAAGCAGATCCAGACCAGCTCCATGCTGAGGACTCTTTGTACGGAGGGACGCCTCTCCACTGGGCCAAAACTGCTGAGGTGAGAAATATTACATTGTGTGTTTTGTGAGTTAGAAATTCACAATGAGCTGTTTGAATTACTGTACATGTTTTCATCCTAATAGTATACATCCAGTTAAATGAATGTGTTGAAGCTTTGATGCTACAATGGATTTATGACCTTTGTTGACCTTTGTGGACAACCAGCTCAAGCAGTTCAACACTTACAAAACTTATCACTTACCTCCAGGGATAGTGGCCTGTAATTGGGTTGTTCTGGTTGCTCTGGGATACCAAACCAAGACATTCATGTTAGGAGTTAGAAATATGTCAAGGGGACTAATTTAACTTTTCAGGGAAAAAAATCAAGCAGATGTTTACATATTTAAATCTTCCTTTCTTTTTGCTAGATGTGTCGTATGCTGCTGGAACAGGGCTGTGCAGTGAACTACCTTAGTAAGACCGGAGAAAGCGCCCTCCATATTCTGACCAAGAAGGGCCGCTTTGAGGCGGCCATGGTGCTGCTCACCCATGGAGCGAATGCCAACCTGAAGGGCCAGGATGGAAACACAGCCCTGCATCTAGCTATGAAGGTGTGTGAAGATATCATCTCTGGCTTGTTCTAATTTTACAGATCAAAGGAATACTCTCTTAATCATAATCAAAATGTTTATGAAAGGGAAGAGATGTGTGAAGAAAGGAGTTTGCAAAGCGGTTGCAACACAGCATTATCAAGAGGGGAGCAAAACTAAAAGTTTGTAGAAGTTTTAAAATCCCGGCTAATTTGGAAATCAGGTTGCATCACACGTACAGTATAAGAATAAACGCCACAGATCTGCTTCTGTGTAATTCTCACACTACAAGATGACATCTCTCTTTCTTCCGTGGTGACTTCTAGCTGACATTTCTTGAATAGCAAATGTGTTTGATCAAAGGTGCAAAACCCTGGAAACACTGGAAAACTCTTCTCTGTAACTACATCAAAATTGAAATAGATGCACCAAAAAGCTAAATCACAACACTTTGTTAAATATTTTGAATGTCACCAAGACATTGTTGTGTTTTTACTTGATTGTCAATTTGCTGTAGAAATTGGTCTGTTTTAAATATATATGACTGCGGCATTTTTATGCCTCTCTGTTCACTAGATGGACCACATAGACTTGATCAAAGCTCTGATTGTGTTCGGGGCTGATGTGGAGATCCACAACGACCTGGGAGAAACACCTGGACTCATCGCTGCTCGAACCAGCAAAGGTATGGGTGGAAAAGAGGGCTTTGAACTGTGAGGAGATGAGGTGAGAGGGGACAAGGAGGTATAGGGAGGATGAATTAAAAGAAGAGTGAGAGAGAGGAGCCAATTAAGGATTAGTGATGAGTTTAATATGCTTAACCCAACAGGCCAGTTTGAACTTTAATATAACATTTTAACACGTAGTCTCATTTAAATGCATGTGTTCTGCTGTGGACGCTTAGACTACTGCATGATAATGCTATGGTATGAAATAATTTAGTTTCACAGCTCTTGCAAGTAATACGTTGTTTTGCGACTGTTTAGAAGCAGCATGGTTAGAAAGCTTTTGCTGTCTTTTGAATGTTGCAATAAGCAAGACTTTACCTCCATATATTTTAAGATAAAAAAGAAGAAAGCATCTAAAGAGGTAGGAAAATAAACTCACTACCTGGTCAGTGAATTGTTGTTATTCAAATCTCTTTCACCAACTATTCCCATTATTCACCTTCTCGACAGGAGAGGGCAGCGCTACAAGTGAGTGGCATTTCAAACTATTTCAGTTTCCAAAGCTAAAAATCATGCTTCTCAACTTTGTCAGTATGGTATTTGCATTGCGTCCTTCATTTCATAAATTACCAGTTGAATCAATCAATCTCCATGTCCATGATTGAAAATTGCAGTCACATGTAGGATTTATAGCTTTTATTTGCATGAAGGTGCCGAGGTGTCTCTATTTTTCTGGTCACTCAGTGTAATATGCATAAAGAAACGTATAATGTGTTGGCCTAGTGAAATTCAGAAGCAGTTGAGTTGCTGACACAGTAACTCTCTGTAGTCTGTAGTGCTCTGACAGATTCACTTTCAGTGCATTTTGGCCTGAGACTGTGCCAGAGATAATTTATATTTTTGCAGCTGATAGAAATCACTCACTATTTATTGCAAACTTTTTGGAAATTTCACTTTGATTTATTTAAACTTTGTTACTTATGAATTTGTGTTTCTATTCAGAAACAAGATCATTGCCTGCACATATGTGTTGTTTGCACGAGATGATTGTGTATGTAACCGCTCACTTGATGCTCTGAAGCAGAAATGGTGGTAATGGAGTAGTTTGCTGTCAGTTATTGATTTTGAAAATGCATGCTAAATGCTTGCTCTCAGTTCAATTCAATACAAATGGGCTTCATTGGCATGTGAAACGGATGTTTACATTGCCAAGTCAAGTGTGAAATAAAAACAGTAACAACAACACATTTACATAAACACCCCCCCCCCCCCTTCTTCGTCTTCTCTCTATCTTCTTTCTCTGCCTTTTGTGGTGTGTGTGCATGTGTAACATGGCTTTCTTGTTCGTGTGTTTGTATTAACATGAAAGGTCCTAATAGAAAGATATTGCTGGACATGCTGTGTAGTGTAGGGGTCCAGCGGTGCCTCCCGCCCTCCCCCAGCTGTCCTCCCCCCATCTCCAACAAGGCCAAGCCTCCAGGCATAGGTAACACAATCATCCCTCCTTCTGCCCTCCCTTCTCTGTACTCTTGATCTCTGCAGCCTTTCTTTCTCAAATGTCTCCCTTTGATTCGTCAACGTATCATGTATACTGGGGAGTTTATTTTCTCATTTTCCATAACTCTGTTTTTTTTCATACATTTACTGAAACCTTTACGGTTTGGACAGTTAATACTGTCAATACTGTTGTTAATTACAACGCAACTTGTATTTTCTGATAATTTAGAATCGTTATCAATACTTACAATAACAAAACCAAACATAAATGATGGATTTAAATTAATTTTCATTTGCCAAAGAAAAAGGTACAAATACTAGAACAAAAATATAGACTGAATATTACCATAATAAGTGCAGTGGTAAAAACTTGGATTATGACTTATTTTTTTCTGTAAAACCTGAGATATGATCATGTTATTTAGACAAAAAAAAATGCGATGAGGCAGCATTGCCCTGCTGCAACATACTGTGGCAGAGACTGGCTATTAAAGCTCCCATGAACAAAGCAGCTGTCATTAATTGAAACTAAATATTAATTCCAGATAGTGAAACCATACCTAGACTCTCCTTTAAAACTCCCATGTGGCTTGTAGAAAACCCAGTGACCCCTGTACTTTTTCATCCTTTGTGCATGAATTTGGTGCCGTGTGTTGCTCCTGTATCAACAGCTGTTGTAATTGGCTGACAGGGTTTGAGGACATCATGTATGTTGGGGCTGCAGTCAGTGCAATGAGCAGAGACACGTCTGAAGTTGACGGCCCCGAGAAAAATAAGTAAGGAAACTTAATTTTATTTTTATTTATGAATATTGCGCTTCAAGAGACAAGAAAACACTCACAAATGTGATTATGTGGTCTGAACTTTTTTTAAAACCTCTCCTCTGCAGGAGGGACAGACTGCTGTGTTTGGATGGTGGAGGTATAAAAGGCTTGGTGTTGATCCAGATGTTGATCGCTCTGGAGAGAGAGGCGGGTCGGCCCACCAGTGAGCTCTTCGACTGGGTGGCCGGCACCAGCACTGGGGGCATCCTGGCCCTCGCTATAACTCATGGTGTGTGTGTGTGTGTGTGTGTGTGTGTGTGTGTGTGTGTGTGTTTCACTCTTATTTTTGACATGTTTTTTTCATAACATAACATTATAACAATTAAAATGTTTCCTCAATTTGTAGGTAAGTCCATGGAATACCTGCGCTGCCTGTACTTTAGGATGAAGGAGCAGGTGTTTAGGGGGTCGCGACCTTATGAATCAGCACCACTGGAAGACTTCCTGAAGAAAGAGTTTGGAGAGAACACCAAGATGACAGATGTCCGATACCCCAGGTAATGTTAGACGTGTCCACTAGGCAACAGTCAGAAAAGTGTACGGAGGCATTTGGAAAAAATGTCATCAGACATACTCACCAGCAAATGGTACTATGCTCTAATGTTAGCTAACTCATATCACTATGTTACCGTAGGGCTGGGCAATAAAACAATAATGATAATTATCGTAATATAATTTTCCTCAAAAACAATATCATAAATGTTCAATATATATCGTCGATAAGTGTTTGATTTAATTAATTTGAATCACAAACGAATCAGAACTTAATTTTTCTATTAAGACTGAAAACAGATTTTTCTTGATTTTATTGATGCATATTTGTTGAAAAAAGATGAAAAAAATAGTTTTGAATGTTCTGTCTCAGATTTGTGAAGTGATCCATTGTTTGGCATCAAGTGTTTGATGTTGTCTATAAACAAAAGTTTAAAACCACAATTAACCATCTGGTTTCTTCAACTTTTACTCAGGAGCAAAAATCAGCCTTTAAATTTGAAAGATGAAAAAAGAAGAGATGATTTGACATTTATTGTGATAATTATCGATATCGAATGGTATGATTTTTTTATTGTGATAACATTTTTGGCCATATCGCCAACTTTAAACACGCTACTCCGTTGCTGTGATTGGTGAGTTTGAGAAAAATGACATTGTCCTTTGAAAATTCAAGCTGATTTCACCCTGGAGTGCTCTAATGGGCTGCTCCAAAAAGCTTCAGTGCTCTGTAGAAACTATGCAGCTGCTTAGAAACGTGTGAAAGTGCTCTAAAAACACTGAAAGAATTTGAATTAGGAACAACACTCTGAAAATTAACACATTTTTGTGTCATTTGGTGCAAATGCTGGTTTTTGGGTTTTAAAGACAGTGCCCAGTCAAAGCTGTTTTTTATGAGCACAAATGCTGCAGTATGTACCTACATTCAAGCTCTCTGCTCTCTAACAATTACTCTTTTCTCTTTCCACTTGTTTCTGTACAGGGTGATGGTGACCAGTGTTCTAGCAGACAGACATCCAGGCGAGCTGCACATCTTCAGGAACTATGACTCTCCCTCCGGCCAGAGAGAGCCCCCATATGCCACCAATGCCACTTTCAAGCCCCTCACCATCCCACAAGGTACTTCAACAAATGGAACCTATTATGTTTGTTGCCCTACTTCACTAGTGCTCAAATGTTGTTGTGGATGGGTAGTGCAGTGTATTGATAATACCACTGGGTGGCGCCAAAGTGAGCAGTTTTCAAACCCTAAAGGTTGCGGCTTTAATTCTGAGATTGGGTAATCTGAACAGTAAAAGAACAGTACATTCTCATTTCATTCAGGAAATGAAAGCGAGGCTCTGGGTGTCTGTAAAAAGTACATCTGAATGCGTATGTCATTGTCCCGATCTGCTGTGTTGTCTGAGTGCCAGCCGTGTTGTTGTTACAGGATGGGAGGATGAGGATGTGTTGATATTAGGATACACAGAGGAGCCAACCAGAAAGCGTAGGAAGGTGACAGATGAAGGTGTGTGTCTGTGTGAATAAGACTATAAAAATTTATTTTGTCACTCACAGGCTTTGGGTATTTTGGGCAGCACCCCACAAATTTGGGAAACACGCTTACTTGCTTTCTTATTGAGAGTTTGACGAGGGGATTGATACCGCATTCGTGTCTGTAACGAGATAACGATATGCAACTTCAGAGGTGCTGGTATGTGGAATTCGTTCCTTCAGTCTTTATGCTAAGCTAAGTTAGCCTGCTGCTAATTGCAGACTGCTTGCTGGTAGCTACATACTTAGCATGCAGACTTGAGAGTGGTATCAATTTTCTCATTTAATCTGAGAAATAATGCGAATAATCATATTTCCCAAAATATCAAAAACTTCCTTCTAATTAGATTCCATACTAAACACACTTCCTTGTAATAGCACAGCAGTAAAATAGCCCTTTCCAGCACGGATGAATGTGAATGTTGTGTGCTAACAATCTTTCTCTGTAAAGTGGAGTCTGAAAGCCTGCAACCAAAATCAATAATTGTTTGCTGCCTTTTTCAAATCTTGATATCCCTTTCTTTATACTAGAACAACTTGTGTGGCGAGCTGCCCGCTCCAGCGGAGCTGCCCCAACCTACTTTCGACCAATGGGGCGGTTTCTAGATGGAGGACTGTTGGCCAATAACCCGACGCTAGACGCCATGTCAGAAATCCATCTGTACAATAAAGCTTTGAAAGCAGAGGTATGCCACCTGACAGCTGCATTCTGTTCTTAGTCTTCCCTTGGTCTTCCTTTAAGTTCATACTCAATCGCTAACCAATATGAATTTTAAAGCATTTATTTTTTTATTAGATAAGTTATTTATCTGTTTCCTTCCTCTTCCCTCTCAGGGCCATGGGAAGGAAATTAAGAAGCTGGGTATCGTGGTCTCCCTTGGTACAGGTATGAACTCAATTCAAAACGCAGGGCCCCTTTGTGAACCTGAAGATGTATCAGTTTATACTCTGTTGGTATATTACTTTTCATTGTGTCTATGTGCATACTGTACATGTCTATAAATGCGTATGTCCTAACTGGAAAATACAGGAAATTTGATGATCAAATCAGCTAAATTAATGTAATGTAATGTTATCAGTATTTTGCAAACAAATATTCTGTTGTCTGCGATGGACTGGCGACCTGTCCAGGGTGTACCCCGCCTTTCGCCGATGTCAGCCGGGATTGGCTCCAGCCTCCTCGCGACCCTGTACGCAGGATAAGCGGTTGACGATGGATGGATATTCTGTTGTTACACTATCACATTGAAATAAACCTCCAGCCAACTGGGGCCTATCTGAAAGTTTAGTCATGACTAGTCCAGGCAACATGAATGTCTGCTTCACAATAAACCTGTGGCTTTGAAAATTACTTTTGTGTTTTTAACTACCTATATGGCACTGAATTCACACACTGTGCTCCTGTGTATCCACAGGCAAACCTCCTCAGGTGGTGGTGAGCTCTGTGGATGTTTTCCGACCTTCCAACCCTCTGGAGCTGGCCAAGAGCTTCGTAGGAGCCAGGGAGCTGGGCAAGATGCTGGTAGACTGCGTGAGTACAGCTACAGCACCTGCTTCAATCTCTTTTGTGATCACAGCACTTTCTCCCTTGGTTAAATCAAATACTGTAAGATACTGAGCATCTCATTCTAAAGCTGAAACTATACACCACACCATACAACCACTCTTCTCTTTTACACTTTTTGTGGAGCCTTGTAATATTCCTGATATTTTTGACCTAAGCAGTAACAATAGCATTTGTATTTCTAAAAATCTCACTTTACTCTGTCTCTCTAACTGGACAGTGTACAGACTCTGATGGCTGTGCAGTCGACAGAGCCAGAGCCTGGTGTGAAATGATCGACACCATCTACCACAGGTCAGCTGACTATGAAACTGTTGCGTTTTGGTTCTCATTTACTGCTGCCTATGCTCTTTATCTTAGCTGTGACTCAACCTACCCTCATCCATTTTATTTATCACTCCATCTCCTCTTTAGCCCACTTCTCTGTGTCTCTCACACACTTCCTTTGTGTGTGTTTTAAACCATTGCTTTGTCTTTAATGAGACACATGCTGCAATGTGCAGGGTGAAACGACAGATCAGACAGATGTATTTGGCAAAGAGTAAGTGATTTGGTGTTGACCTTATGTTTGACTATGAGAAGGCGCCTAGGCCAAAACTGAATACTTTGCATGCAAATGCATACATACATACTGTAATGCGTATACATACATACATACATACATACACGCTTGCACAAAGATACATAGTGTTATGCTTAAGTATGTATGTATGAAGTTACGTATTTATCCGCAGGCTGAGCATGTAAGTATGCACGAGTTTGAGTATGTATGGACCTTGCGCATACATGCTTACGCATGGCAGTATGTATGTATGTGCAAGCTAAGTATTCAGTTGTGGCCTAGGCGGCTCCTCATACGTATTTGTGTAGATATGGAGATATGGCTACACCATTGACAGCTTTAGAGTCTACTGGAAAACAACAAAGAAGTGTTTAAAAATAGTGTGATAATTCTTAGCCCAGTTTAATCAGTTAATGAAACTGCTCAGCCCATAAGGCTATGCAGAAAACTATAGTCAAACATTCATATGTATCCTGCATTATTACTGTTTTTCATATTTGCGTTCATCTAATAGTACTTTAATATTTTTAAGGTACTTAAAATCTTCACAAATCACTGTGTTTATTATGCAGATTGAGTCCCCAGTTGTCTCAGGAGGTGATGCTGGATGAAGTGAGTGACGCAGTCCTGGTGGACATGCTCTGGGAAACCCAGATGTACCTGTACGAGAAGAGGGAAACCCTCCAGTCCCTGGCAAAGCTGCTACTGGACAACTAAATGCACAAGAAAATCACAAGGAGAAACTGCGAAGTTGGAACTGTGAGAGCAGAACCGATGTAGATACTGTTTATGAGAGCAAAGACGGGTCCCATCAGTGAAGTCAAAAACAAGAGTGACTGGGCGTGAGACAAAAATTTGTGAACAGCGTGTCTGATTCAAGACGTCTGTGTTGGTGTGCTCTTTCTTTAAGACAAACTTTCTTGAAACTACGTGACCAATGACACACAGTAGCAAATATGTGAAACAAGGCAGACTAACTAAAATTAACAGAAAAATGAGACTTTACGTAGCCTATTGAAAGGCAAGTTATGTAGCATCATGTGACCTTATCACTGACCATATCGCTATCATGGCTTATTAAGTTTACTGTTTGTATATAAACCAGTGAAAGTGAATGTGGAGTGTTCCCTTCTTTGGTATGTGAATATGGCGGAAATGTAGGAAGATCAACCAAATCAAACTCTGTCAGCTAACTGTCGCCCTCACCTTCTTCATAGTGTTGGGTAAAAAATAGTCAGAGCATGTTTGAATCCAGTTTTGAGTGGTTGTGATAAAACTATCGTTTAACGTTAAAACTTCTCATTTCTACTTCTCTTTTTTTCCTACTTCATGTTAGTAGCCAAAAAGGCACTCAATATGCAGGAATATTCCCTAAGGCCAAATGATCAAAGGTACCCTGCAGTACTACTACACATTCTGCAGTGTAGTACAGCTTGGATGATGGTGATGATGAAGCAGTTCTGCCTTATGTGCCTGGGATCCAAATATGTACCGTTTCCTTTTTTTCTCCACAACACATTTTCATGCCTCGGCCTCACATCTACGGATAACTTCCTTACACTGTTACAACCTCTCAACCTACTGTGAATGTGTCTTGAGCACATATTTAACATGTACCATGTAATGTGTCACAACTGGACTTGAAACTAGACTTCGATTTTTAACTTACTTGAAAGACAAAGAAAATGAAAACCCACTGCTACTTGCACAACATTAACTAGGGGTTACAAATTATGTCCTGTTTTTTGTATTTGAAATAATTTGTGAAGTGTATACTGGTAAGGTAATAAAATATATTAATATGGACTAAACTTGACTTGTTTTTTCCTTTGTTGTAGTCACTTGTAATTTAATTAATTAATTACTGTGGCCATTAAACAATTCAGAGCACAAACATAAGACAACAAAGTCAACTTTATTAAAACATAATCCAAATATTTACCCAGGGTTTAACTCACCACTGCCTACTTGTTTGTTTGACAACAACTGTTAGATGTTGATGCTGTGTTTGCAGAATAAATGATGTAAAATGGAATATATTTTCAGTTGTAGTCAGATAGGAAACACATTGAAATATTGTATTATGTCGCATAAACATGTAATTTGTACGGTCAAAAAATATTCACTAGGCTTCACATATTGTGGATGTGCCTTCAAAAATAATTACAGTGTAGCATCAAAAGTATTATAAGAAGCATTATAAAGACTCCTAGTGACCATTTTAGGAGACCAGCCCTAGCAGTAATAATTTCAAGCTTTCTGCTGACAGCAGTGTGACTACTTGTCTAATAGTTAACAACAAAAAAAGTGGAACTAAACAAGACAATTAAAAATACCAGATGAAAGACCACCATTAGTTAAAGCTAGTATGGTTAGCATTCAATGTCATAATGGCATGATGTTGGGTGAGTTTTTCTTAATGAGCTTTTTGTTAACTTTCTGTAACTTTAGGCATGTCCAATAGGCCAATTATGTTCTCACTTACCCAAGTAAGTGAGATTTGAGAGCCAGTTTGTGTTGTCAGACAGGTGTTTTTTCTCTTCTTACATTTGTTTTACAATAAATTCCCCCAGAAATATGATTCATGTGTGAAGGAGTCTAGTAGGAATTGTAAAGGTACTCGGCAGGATAATCAATATTCCCTGCAGTACCTTTTTGTTGCAACAAGAATGTTAATTTTCTTAAGTTTCACAAACAGTATTTGTTTAAGTGTTGCTGCATATTAGAAAGTAGTAGCATCTAGTGTTTGCATTTTGACACAGTCTGCTCAACAAGTTATGGCTATATGGTTTAACAGACAGAAGTCTTGGTTTCACTTCCTAAAACAGGCAGTGGATGTCTGTCTTTTCATTCACAGGAAACTCCATAAATGGAAATGCAATGCAGGGATAATGTACAGAACATATCCAAGTTACATACATAACACAGACAGGTGTGTTGTTACATCCAGTCTGTTTAAGTTTTTGTTTGCTGTGCTGTACAAATTCTAGGGTTCTGCTGCCTGGCCATCGTGCCTCAAAAGTAAAAGAAAAGGAAGCGTCAATCTACTGTGGGTTAAATGTGGCAAAATACTCAAAGAACATTTCAGTAGAGGCAGTTTCATTTTAAGGCTCATAATCCTTAACTACATTTACAATATACGGTATGCAGTCTGTAACCAAGTCACCTTTTCATGAGAATCAGGTCACTGATGTGTTAAGTGACAAAGGGTGTAAGTACCCTTTCAATCATATTAACGTGTAATCAACATAAAAAAAAACAAAACATAATATCCTACACATTTTTATCAAAATAGTACTGGACTAAGACAACCCAATCTTACATTGTATCCCTCAAGTAGAGCCTGAATCAACTGTAAAAGCAAGAGATGCTCACTCAGGGGTTGCGTTGGGTCTAAAGTTCACAACAACATAGGGGATGTGCTCTTGTTCTTGCGGCTGATGTGACTGGACTGTGTTGTAGAGGGTGTCTGTGTTGTTCTGACCGAAGTGGACAGTGCTATAGTGAAGATCATCCTGCTCTGTTGGTAGAGCTGAGATTTCATCATACATGGGACCAAGGTTTATCTGATGAAGGATAATATTATATTACAATACACTGATATAGTAGAAATCTACATTGCAAAATAAATGACCCTCGGTAACTATGATACAGTGTGTTTCTGTATCACCAGAATAACAGTTGTTAAGAAATAAGAACCTTAGAAAACACATTAAACAAGGGTAGGGAGAAATACTGTGATGCTTTTAGTAACACAATTGCAACAATATTTGGAAGTTCAAGCTGCTGTTCTGACTCGGATGAAAGATATTCAGTTTATTTTTTGTTTACCTGCTCCAAGTTGTTTTCAGAGGTTTCAGTTCCAGGATATTGGCTAGAAGTCCTCTTTCTTCTGGTTAGTAAAATAATTTAATATAAAAATGAATAGGTGATGTCAGGTTAGTGTGTGAATATAATTGTTCTGAAATCAAGCACAGTGTAGCTTACCTAATCCACAAGAAGACAGCGAGAGGTATTAAAACCAGGAGAGCAGCAAAGACTCCTGCAGCTGCTGCTGGTGACCATTTCCCCGGTTTACTTTGGACAGTGAGAGTCTTTTCACGAGAGCTGCTGTTGTTGTGGGTTTTGACTGCACAGGAGTACTTTCCTGCTTGCTGACTGCTGACTGGCTCTAGAACCAGGTGTTTGTTTTGGGTCTCTGGCCCGGTCAAACGTCGACTGTTCAAGTACCAGATGTAGTTTGTGTTGTCAGTCAGAGGGCAGCTGGTACTGCAGGTCAGTGTGACTCTCTGGCCCTCTGTCACCTCTGCAGAAGGAGTAAACTTCACTCTCAGGACTGAAATATGGTTAGACCGGTCAGTAAATGGAGAAGAGATTCTATCTAACAAGTCCTCGTACTCAAACAACAAAACAGTTTGTCAGTATCTTCTAAAGCAACTCATTATGTGGTAGTTATTGTTAGAGAAAGGGTCTTAGCTTCATGCTAAAAAGTAACCAGTGTTTTCTAGACTGTATGCAGCTCTCCTAGTTTAGACAAATTTGGTAAATTGAATTAGATTGTTTGATTTATTGAATTTACTTGGCTGAATCATGCTTCATTTTTCATTGTACTGACTGCTGGTAGTCAATTTACTATACAAAAAATATATTTAATCTAAAGAATTACCTGTGACAACCAGAGTCACTCCAGGTAAATCAGACTGTGTCCAGTCTCCATTAGGCTCTTTCTGGAGTCTGAATGTGTATTCTGCTGAGTCATTCTTCTTCAGGTTTTTAATTCTCAGGATGTGGTGATTCTTCACGTCATAATACTCCACACGATGTGCAGCCTTAATCGGCTCTTCAGCTTCTTCCGTCCAACTTCTCTGTGTTTTATACCATAATTTAGACTTTGGCTGCTGCTTTTCAGGATGAGAATATTTACTAGAAATGTTCACTGAAGAACCTTCCAGTGCACAAATTCTGCTGCTGACATAATTCACACACCAGCAGTTGTTATCCTCAATACCTGAAATATAGATGAAAGACGAGAGACAGTTTCACTTGATGAATGACTTCTTAAGTTAGTTTAAAAAAAGATTTAAACTAAAATGCTTGTGTGGTAGAAGATGTCGACTTATGTTGTAGTAGACATAAATGTTAGAAATCAGGACCTTCCAGTGTCAAACCTGTAAATATTTCATCAGGACCTATCACAAGTCACAAATGTGTCTGTTCAAAGTCATTGCTGTAGTCCAAAAATTATATAACATTGATCGGAGCGATATTACATTTGTGTTTATGATCTAACAGGTGATTCCTTATTTATTTTCACAATAAGATGAAATTCTCACATTTTGTTACTGTGTAATTATATGATGATTGTATTGTCATAATGCAGGGTGTATAGGGAAATACCAGTTAGTATATCTGTGAACTTTATAAGGAGAAGTAATCAGCAACAGGTATCCAGTAACAGAGACTGAAGGATGCTATTGATATTTGAATCATAACACAACTGCAGTCTAAAAATTTAAATTAGGCTGAATCAACACGTCTGACTGTTTCAACAAAATCAAACAAATTATAAATTCTCACAGCTGGTGTTTAATACTTTATAGCAACTGCATTATGCTGTAATGTGTTAATCTGTTACTTTGTCCACATCCTGTCATTTTTAAACATAAAATCATCATATTTCTCTTTGCCTTTTGCTGACCATTAACATAAATGTCCCATTTTACAAGTTATAACAGACTCACAGACTTCAGCAGAGTGCAGGTCCTCACGTCCTTTCACAGCACAGGAGGAGCTGTCAGCAGAGGTGCTGACCACTGTTTGCTGTGGTTTCTCAAGATTTCCATCTAAGTGTCTATTCTTATACCATTTAAAGGAAGTCAGAGGGCAGCTGGTGTTACAGGTCAATATGACATGGCCCGGTGTGGCTGCAGGAGTCCTTTGAACATGTACTTCTGTTGTGAGACAACAAATACATTTTTGCATCAGTTGTTTAATTAAATAATGGTAAAAATTGATACATAAATAATTAAATATAAAGTCAAAGCAGCAAAGTTAATCCAGAATGAGAGAATGTGTAAAACTACAGTGTCTATGTTTGCATCAAAAACTAGAAAAGAAAAATAGATCTCTTGTGCATAAAACTTCATTTTGAAAATGTGAGTTTAAAGGGAATTGTGGTGTGTGCGTGGGAGGTGTTTGTTTTTTGTGGATGTGTGATAAACTTAACCTTTTGGATATGTGATGGAGCAGGGCTCATCCACTGATGTCTGCTTGTAAGAACACATTCTCCCTTTAGCGTAGGTCACACTAAAGCAGCTTGGTGTGACAGAATCTGGACAAAAAGAAATGGTGTCACTTTTTCAGTGAAATTAGTCATCATGTTTCATAAGCTTTACAATTTAAGGTTCCATTGCATGAATAATAAAATCATTCTTATAGGTGTAACATATTTAGCCAGAGGTTTTGTAACATGATGAGGAGCTAAACGTTGTCACTCACCCACGGAGACTTCAGGGGCTCTGAGACCCTCGTAGCCTTTGATAGCACAGGAGTATCTGACTGCTTTGTCACTGCTGACCAGCTGTTGGTACCAGGGAGACCAGTCCTGATAGAGAAACTCTCTGTTCCTGTACCAGATGTAGGCTGCAGGGTTTTCAGTCAGAGGGCAGCTGGTGCTACACATCAGTTTTACTGTCTGTCCCTCTGTGGCAGGAATCACCTTTACCTGCAGGTCTGGGACGATGATGAATAAAATAAGAATTTATATATGGATGTTAAAGTAATAAATAAGTGGCAGCCACTGTACCTGCAACGTGGAGCTCAGTTCTGTGGTGCCAGCAGTTTTCTGGTTTGTCAGTACTTTCTTTGCAGCAGTAAAACTTTTCATCACTCTCTCTCAGATCATTGATTGTTAGAGTAAAATAAGTCTTTTCTGACATGTTGGATGTTACACGATTTGTTTCTGCAGAGAGCTCAATCTGAACAGGCTTAGAGATATTCAAGTGTGCAGTGAACCATTTCATGTTTGAAGTGGGATGTTGAGCTGAGCAGGGCAGATCCACTGATGAACCTTTTAAGGCACAGATGCGGTTTGCTCGTCCCTGAACCCCTTTAACAGATGACATTATTAGCAAACATCAGGACAGATTTATACATTTTATAATGTTCTTGTCTTTACTAATTTCCGAATGATAATAGTATGATATTACGGATCATACTGATATACTGTAATACATCTAAAGAACTCATAAGAGCAGAATATGTGAACATCCTGGCAGCCAGGTAGTGTCCAATAATCTTTTCTTTTTTGTAAAGCAATCTGTGATTTACTACAATTAACTAAAGACTTTATTTTACAATTAACAGTTAATTAGTAAATATATAAGAAATTATAAACATTAGTTATTCATACCTGAGAGGTACAGGATAAAACCCACAAACACACATCCAGCTTCTGCCAACAACATGGCTGTTGTCTCCAGCTTCTAATCAGAAAGTTGATCGTTTCATTTAAATACCTTTTTACAACTGCTTTGTGATGAAAACATAAAGAATATAATTGAATGGTAAAAATCTACAGCAGTCTTCTTACAGAGACCGAATGAACTGTAGTTCAGTGTGGGGATGTCTGGCAGACAAACTGTATGCAGCTCTCACACCAAAAGACTTCCTTCCTGATCTTCATTGTTATTACTATCAGTAAGAAGAGACCTCTAGTGAAGAATATATATAGTGCAGTAGTTATTTGATCTCATATTTGATACGGAAACCATTTGCCATTGACATTTTTTTCTTCAGTTTTTACATGTTGACATTGAGTCTTCATGCAACTAACTTGCAGCTTTATATTTTCATTAAAAATATGTCAAATTTACCAAAGTTATAGAAGAAAATTTGGAAGATATTTATGGTTGTTTTGTGGTGAAAAAAAACTTAATTTAAGAGGAAGCTGCAGATATAATGTCTGTCACCTTTTAGTTGACATTACATGCAGGGCACTTCAGTGCTTTGTGCTTTCTCGTCTCTCTCCTTCTGTCACTTTTAAAAGGTGTTTCTGCCTGTGGAGCTGCAGAGTCTGGATCAGTGATTTTAAGCCAGCAACTGCCCCAGGTTCTGTTTGAGGTTTCTGCCTGTTAAAAGAGAGTTTTCCTTGTCGCCAGGTCCTTGCTCAGGGTGAGAATTGTTGGGTCACTGTAGATAAAATTACAAAGTGTATGGTCTACACTCACCTAAAGGATTATTAGGAACACCATACTAATACTGTGTTTGACCCCCTTTCGCCTTCAGAACTGCCTTAATTCTACGTGGCATTGATTCAACAAGGTGCTGAAAGCATTCTTTAGAAATGTTGGCCCATATTGATAGGATAGCATCTTGCAGTTGATGGAGATTTGTGGGATGCACATCCAGGGCACGAAGCTCCCGTTCCACCACATCCCAAAGATGCTCTATTGGGTTGAGATCTGGTGACTGCGGGGGCCATTTTAGTACAGTGAACTCATTGTCATGTTCAAGAAACCAATTTGAAATGATTCTGTCACGCTCTGCCGGTTGGCCATCCTTTGTGTTTACTTTTGAGTTTGGTATCTGCCTTGGTATGTTGAGTTTTGGGTTCTGTCCTGTCTAGTGTCCAGTATCTGTTATATAGTCTGCTTGTCATGTCAAGTCTCTGTTTTCCTCTGCTCTCTCTCTGCCTCGTTAGTCTCATGTCTGTCACCTGTGTTGCTCCCGCCCTGCTCGTTAGTCCCTGTGTATATATACCTGGTGTTTCTGTCTTGTCCTTGTCCGGTCATTGTTCATGTTACCCCCCAGTCTGTCGTGTGTGTACTCTCTGCCTGTAACCAGCCTTGCTTGTCTCGTCTCCTCTCCCTGTACTTTTGGATTTCTGTTATTCAGCCACTCACCTGTAAGTGTGCTCGCTTTTGTTTGTTTATTAAAACCCTTCGTTATACCATACCTGCTCCGCTCTGTGTCCTGCGTTTGGGTTCTCCAACCTGCCTCCACACCACGATCGTGACAGATTCGAGCTTTGTGACATGGTGCATTATCCTGCTGGAAGTAGCCATCAGAGGATGGGTACATGGTGGCCATAAAGGGATGGACATGGTCAGAAACAATGCTCAGGTAGGCTGTGGCATTTAAACGATGCCCAATTGGCACTAAGGGGCCTAAAGTGTGCCAAGAAAACATCCCCCACACCATTACACCACCACCACCAGCCTGCACAGTGGTAACAAGGCATGATGGATCCATGTTCTCATTCTGTTTATGCCAAATTCTGACTCTACCATCTAAATGTCTCAACAGAAATCGAGACTCATCAGACCAGGCAACATTTTTCCAGTCTTCAACTGTCCAATTTTGGTGAGCTCTTGCAAATTGTAGCTTCTTTTTCCTATTTGTAGTGGAGATGAGTGGTACCCAGTGGGGTCTTCTGCTGTTGTAGCCCATCCGCCTCAAGGTTGTGCGTGTTGTGGCTTCACAAATGCTTTGCTGCATACCTCGGTTGTAACGAGTGGTTATTTCAGTCAAAGTTGCTCTTCTATCAGCTTGAATCAGTCGGCCCATTCTCCTCTGACCTCTAGCATCAACAAGGCATTTTTTCGCCCACAGGACTGCCGCATACTGGATGTTTTTCCCTTTTCACACCATTCTTTGTAAACCCTAGAAATGGTTGTGCGTGAAAATCCCAGTAACTGAGCAGATTGTGAAATACTCAGACCGGCCCGTCTGGCACCAACAACCGTGCCACACTCAAAATTGCTTAAATCACCTTTCTTTCCCATTCTGACATTCAGTTTGGAGTTCGGGAGATTGTCTTGACCAGGACCACACCCCTAAATGCATTGAAGCAACTGCCATGTGATTGGTTGATTAGATAATTGCATTAATGAGAAATTGAACAGGTGTTCCTAATAATCCTTTAAGTGAGTGTAGACCTGCTCTAGATGAAAAGTGCAATGAGATAACTTCTGTTATGAATTGGCGCTATGTACACCTATTTACTTTAGGTGTAGCATCCAGTCAGACAAAGAGAGCCAAAACAAATCTGTATAGATTCAGTTTTATTCTCTTGCATTAAGCTACAACAGCTTGTTTTTTTTAATTCTGGCTTGTGTTCTGATACAACCAGACAGGTTAGGAAAGACAGATCCATGAAATTATACTTCATTTACAGAGTCTAATGAAATTTTAAGATTTACATATTTAAAATGGTTCATTTATTCCAACAATGATTCACCTGCCTCTAATGGGGCTTTCCAAAAAACCTGATCTGTGGCCTTTTTGCTTGTAAAACATGGAATCTGTTCTCATAACATTATTGCGAGTTTTCACGCAGTGCTGTACACTGCACTCTACTTACTTTAAGCTCCTAAATTGCTTTTTCCACTTTCATTCTAGACACAGACAAAATTATCTTATTAATTATCTCTTCCAGTCTGTGGATGTTTTGTGTATTGGCAAAAACTTCTTTGAAGACCAAGCTGCAAATAAATGTCTATGATCTTTTAATACACTAAAGAACATGTAGGATAAAACATTTGTTCAAGGGCAAACTCAGATTTACAGAAACATTCATACAGTTGCAGCTGCAAATAACACAGAGTAATGAGCAACATGAAACACACCAGAAAGGAAAACAAAGGCAACCCACATTTGTTGAATTGCATTATGGTCTGGTAATGCCACTGAACCATCTGCTTTATCAAGCTATCTGTACAGTAAGTCATCAGACATGGTCAGTCTGTTCAGTCATCCCTTGAGAAGCTGCGTAACCTGCCACTGTTTGATTAGGCAGTGGCAGGATCAATAAGCAACATAACCTGTTGCCTTTTCTCCTGTAGATCATGAAATCTGTTCATTAAACCTTCTTAGGGATTTTCAAGCAGTGTTGCATGCTGCGCTGCACAAGCTTTTAGCTCTTGAGCTGCTTAAATCTTACACATAAGGAAACACGCAATATCTGTTTTTTGAAGATAAAAACCCTCAGAGCTGGACTTCCAAATCCAGTGGGAGTTATGGAACACAGGATTGTCCTCTTGTTTCACGCTGCATTTAAAAGTTTGCACAAAGTGAGAATTCATGTTATACTCTAATGTGGTCTGAAGACAGCTTTTCAGACACCAGGTGCTCTCAGTGGACAATGCAGTGGAAAACTAACTTCCGGCACAACTGCACCTACTTCCAAGGTGCATGAAGAAAAGAAAACAGTCTAAAGAGATCAAAACTCCAGCTTCTTTTATGACACAGAGTTCAACTTTATTGTGAGACCAGCATATTTTACCTGGTATCACTCACTTATCAGTCATTAGTAACACCTCATTGGTTGATATGTCTTTGTATATGATTGGCTGTCTTGCATGGAGTGAAGTGAAATGGTGGTGCAGAAGACTTGTAATGTTAAAAGTACTTCATATTTGGCAGAAATCTTGCCCACAACACACCTCTGTGTATTGTGGGATTGTTGGAAATACTGGAATGGAAAGTACCAATGATCAAGATGAGTAAGGCCACGTTATAGATCCTAAATAAGTTGTAATGAAATGTTCACTCAGAAGTCGTTTTGGATCTGAAGTTGACGGCAGCATAAGCGACATGCTCCTGTTCTTGAGGCTGATGTGGTTGGACGGTGGAGTAAAGAGGAACAGTCTGGGTCTTAGAGAAGTGGACTCTGCTATAGTGAAGTTCTTCCGGCTCTGCAGGTTGAGCTGAGATGTTTTCATACACAGGACCAGGGATCAGCTGATGGGGAGACAAGATTATAATCTGATTTTACATCGTGGTACACAAACCCTCTACACTGAAAACTGGAATGTAGCAGGAGTAACTCTTAGATAGCCTTCGGAAGAATAATTATTCTGCATATCCGACAAATGGCTGATTGTCCTAATAGTGTTTTGGGAAAGTAATGTAGCTGTCTGATGTGGACTGCAGTAGAAGACATTTTGACATGAAAATTGGATCCATATAATAAATAGAAAAATGTACTTCTATGTCAGAACAATGATGTTTTGTTTCATTTTAATAATCACTCCCTCTAAAGGGAAGCAGGATAGATGAGAGTGATGTTTTCTAATGCAGCAAAATTTCTAAATGTCTGTTCTTTGCCAAAAATCAAATTAATTGTGCATGTTTTACTGTGCTCACCATATTAACAATCATAAATTATCATGAGTTTTAAATCCTACAGCCCTGTTAACGCTTACATATTGCGCAAGAACATTGTTAAAATGTCTGATCTTTACCTGCTCAATGTTGGCCGTTGCTTCAGTTTTAGTAGATTTACATGAAGTCCTCTTTCTTCTGGTAAATGAAATGAATGAATATTTACATAAACAAGTGATTTTAGATTTAGAAATTGAATGTCATTGATTTGCAGCAGAGCACAGTGTTACTCACCTAACCCATAAGAAGACAACCAGAAGTAAGATCAACAGGAGAGCAGCACAGACTGCTGCAGCTGCTGCTGCTGCTGTATGTTTCCCTTTAATATTTATAACAGTCAGAGATCTTTCAATGGAGTTAATGTATTTTCTGCCAGTTTCGACTGCACAGCAGTAGTTTCCTGCTTGCTGACTGCTGACTGGGTCTAGAACCAGGTGTTTGTTTTGGTTCTCTGGCAGGGTCAAAGGTCGACTGTTCAAGTACCAGATGTAGGTTGTGTTGTCAGCCAGAGGGCAGCTGGTACTGCAGGTCAGTGTGACTCTCTGGCCCTCTGTCACCACTGCAGGATGGATCTTCACTTTCAGGCCTGAAACATGAATTAATGTGTCAGTAAATTTACTCAATGATAAATAAGTCCTTAAAGTGACTGTTCTGCCAGGCGGCTAAATTTAGTCAGCGAAAGCTACAATATTGAGGCAAAGATAACCTTTAAGGTAAAAAGAGTCTAATGCTGAAGGTATCTAAGATAGGACACCCTGATCTCTGGTAATGAAATCACATTCTTTGTACGCCAAATCATTTACATGTAAGGCTTTTTAATGTAATATAACAACAAATAGCTGCAATGATTATTTTTTATTGTCACTTGTTTTCATTGTCGAGTACTTTCATTAATGATTAATCATAAGATTATTTTCGATTTTTTTCTTCCGATTAATCGATTGGTTGTTTGGTATATAAAATGTCCTCAAATGGTGAAAAATGTTGATCAGTCAAAGCCCAAGATGACATCCTCAAAAGTCTTTTTTGTCTGTTTTCTGTTTTGTCCACAACCCATATATATAATTAGTTTACTGTCATAGAGGACTAAAGAAACCAGAAAAAAAAAATCACATTTAATAAGCTTTTCTTATGAAATTACTCAAACTGAACTGTTAACAACTAATTGATTAATCATAACAGCTTCATTATGACATCTCACTTGTTCTCTTCTACATTTGCTGCTGTGAGAAGACAGTCAAGGAACAAGCAAACAAAAAAAATAACAAACACTGAAACACTGATTGGCTGTGCATATTTTGATGAAACCTGTAGGAACAAGGATTTAAAAATTGCCCTTAAAAGGGTATTACATAGACAGCAGCTCTTGGCCTCCTGCACTTTAGTCCATGAAACATCAACCAGCCTTAAAATTCTGAAAACATGCTCCTGAAAACCCAGCAGTGGTGAGCAAAAGACTTTGGGCTACACAAAATGTCAGCTGTGTTATTCACATTCCAACAAAACGTCAGCTGTGTTATTCACATTCCAACAAGACATCATCAAAGAAAAACAAACAAAACACTGTAATCAATCACTCATCTGCATTGTTTCTATTCTACAGACTTACCTGTGACAACCAAAGTCACTCCAGAAAAGTCAGACTGTTTCCATGTTCCATCTTGTTGCTCCAGTCTGAATGTGTATTCTGCTGAGTCACTCTTTCTCAGGTTGTTGATTCTCAGGATGTGATGATTCTTCATGTCATCATGATACTCCACACAATCTGAAGCCCTCATCAGCTCTTCAACTTCTTTCTTCCCACTTCTTTTCACTTTATACCACAATTTAGACTTTGGCTTCTTTGAGGCGGGATGAGAGTATTTACTTGAAATGTTCACTGAAGAACCTTTCAGAACACAGATCCTCCTGCTGACATAATTCACACTCCAGCAGTTCTCATCCTCAGAACCTGAAACAGTAGTGTTTAACATAAATGTTAAGGCTTGAATGGCATTACTCATTGGAAGAATTAAGAACAAATGTGTCCTGGTCTCAGTGTTTTTGATTTTCATTCAATTATCTCATTCAGTTTGGAAAATGGAAAACAAAAAAAAAGTTAACATTTTTCTGTTTTTATCTTGAGCTGCAATCTCATAAACTAGAAAGTCTTATTTCTTTTGTGGATTTCATCATTTCTTCACTGTGAGCTTTAGAGCTGCAACGATTGATCGATTAGTTGTTCCAATCATCCATCCATTCATCCTGCGTACAGGGTCGGGGGGGGCTGGAGCCAATCCCAGCTGACATCGGGCGAAAGGTGGGGTACACCCTGGATAGGTCGCCAGTCCATCGCAGGGCCACACATAGACAAACAACCAGTCACACTCACACCTTTAGGGTCACCAATCAACCTAGTCTGCATGTTTTTGGACTGTGGGACGAGGCCGGAGCACCCGGAAAGAACCCACGCAGACGAGGGGAGAACATGCAAACTCCACACAGAAAGGCCAGGGTTTGAACCTGCGATCTTCTTGCTGTGAGGCCACAGTACTATCCACTGGACCGCCCCGATTAGTTGTTAACTAATCATTTTTTTGCGAAATATTTTGATAATCAATTTTCTAAATTCTCTGATTCCAGCTTCATTTTCTAGTTTCTGTCATCCTTGGGTTGTGGACAAAACAAGTTATTTGAAACGTCATCTTGGGCTTTGGGAAACACTGATCGACATATTTCACAATTTGACCGCATTTTATTGACCAAACAACTAATAATAATAATAATTGGCAGATTAATTGACTAGGAAAATAGTTGATAGTTGCAGTACTAGGACTTCGGCACTAGTGAGCATACGCAGTCATGCTCCTCACATGCAAGGACTTGCATTCAGAGTCAAAGGAAAGTGTTTAATGGCAATTTTTTGAAATTATAAAAGATACATATTCTGTATACTCTACAATGCAGACTGTCTTAGAACTGTTTACTCAACAGATTAGTTTTATGAGGAGACAATGCTCCTGTTTTTCCTGGCTGACTTGAAGTGCTGTCATTCTACAAGGACATCTAGTGGCCACAAGATGGCAACACAATTTCATTAGTGATTTCATGTCCAGGAAAAAAGAAAAACACACTAATTTTAGATAGAGATAGATAGATTAATTCAAATAATTTAATCAAAGAGTGATTCACAGAACTTGGGCTACTTGATCATACTGTATGCAGTTTCTGTTATCTACCTCTGTGATGCTGCAACATTATCCAGATCATCACATATCTCACTGACTTTCTTGTATTTAGATTTGTGGCACCAGTGTGGTAGTTAAAACCACACAGTAGGTCAATAGGCTCATACTCACAGACTTCATCAGATAGCAGATCCTCGAAACCTTTTACAGCACAGGAGAAGCTTCCAGTACCGTGGGAAACTGAAAACTGTTGACTCTCAGTTTGTCTGTTTAACTGTCTGTTCTGGTACCACCTATAGGCAGGTTTGAGGTCAGTCAGAGGACAGCTGGTCGTGCAGGTCAGTGAAACCGGTGACTCAGAAGTCCTTTGAACACGCACTTCTGTTTGGAAATGATAACTAAACTTTTCATATATGTGATTTTAAATTAGATGAATTAATAAGTACATACATGACATCAAGTGTTAAATATCAGAGCTTCATTGCTACAGAAAGACAGAATATGTAGTAAAAATGAGGAAAAAAAACATGAAGATAAAATAAATGACACATTGTCAAATAGATCTGTATTGTGAAAAAATGAACTAAAGATCTGAGTGTGAGAGGTGTGTAAATATTTGTGGTGAGTTGAACCTGTTGGATATGTGATGGAGCAGGGCTCATCCACTGATGTCTGCTTGTAAGAACACATTCTCCCTTTAGCATAGGTCACATTAAAGCATGTTGGTGTGACAAAATCTGGGGGGAAAAAAATACAGTCAGTATTTATACTAGTGATAGTTTCTTATAAGTTCCTCAATGATTCAGTATTTCTTGAAGGTGTAGCATGTTAGACCAAAGGTTGTGTAACATGATGAGGAGCTAGATGTTGTCACTCACCCACTGAGACTTCAGGGGCTCTGAGACCCTCGTAGCCTTTGATAGCACAGGAGTATCTGACTGCTTTGTCACTGCTGACCAGCTGTTGGTACCAGGGAGACCAGTCCTGATAGCGAAACTCTCTGTTCCTGTACCAGATGTAGGCTGCAGGGTTTTCAGTCAGAGGACAGCTGGTGTTACACATCAGTGTTACTGTCTGTCCCTCTGTGGCAGGAATCACCTTTACCTGCAGGTCTGGGAAAATGGTGTATGAAATTATATATATATTGTTAAAAGAAGTAATTATTACTGACAAGTTGACAACCATTGTACCTGAAACATAGAGCCGGATTGCATTTTTCCTGCAGTGATATGTTTTTTCAGTAGTTTCTCCGCAGCAGTACAAGTTTGCATCACTGTCTGTCAGATTATTGATTGTTAGAGTGGGGTGACTGTCTTCAGACTTGTTGTATGATACACGATTTCCATCTGCAGAGAGCTCATTCAGGACAGTCTCAGTTTCATCCCAGAGTACAGTGTACCATTTCATGCTTGAAGTAGGATGTCGAGCTGAGCAGGGCAGCTCCACTGATGAGCCTTTTAAGGCACAGATGTGGTTTGCTCGTGCCAGAACCCCTTTAACAAATTCTTTCATTAGTAAACATCTGGACAGATTATACCATTTGAAGAGTTGCTAAATACTAATATCTTGTTTGACTCATACCCAGTAAAAATGTTTTAAAAAGTTTAAAGTTAATAATCATTTTATAAAAGGGGATAAACAAGCATCCATACCTGAGATGTACAGAATGAGACCCATGAACACACATCCAGCTTGTGCCAACAACATGGCTGTGGCAGTCCTTCAGTTTCCTTCAGAAAGTCAATTGTATGACAGTATTTGTATTGGCCTTATCACAACTGCTGCATTCATGAAAACCCATCCAGAAAGAAATCCAATATGTAACCCAGTGGTTAAAATCAACAGCAGTTTGCTTACAACCTAAATCCTGGAGTCAACTGTTGGTCATTGTGAAGGCTGTTAGTACATTGCTTGCAGCTCTGACATCAAAACTACTCTTCCTTCCTGTGATTAATATTCTTAGTGAAAGGAAACAAGTGAAAACTGTGTTCCATAGTAGGTAATGGTGCAAAGAAAAGCTTTTTCAATAACAAAATCATCTCTTCACTCATTATTTTCTCTTTAGTTATTTTTTCTTTTGAAAAAATGTATTAGCTCTTTATGCAACATGCAAAAATATATTTCACTATTAAGTTGACAGTGTGAGAGCTACAGGAGGTGAGGCAATCAAAAGACACTGTTATCAGGTTGGTTAACTTTGATGACCTTTTAATACACTACAGAACATTCACATGCTCCTAACTATTCATTCTGTACAAAATTGTTGATTAGTTGATGTAGCCAGTGAAAAACTTCCTTTACCTGATTAGATAAAAATATCACTTGCTGCCATGTCAGTTACTAAAAACAGTGAATGTTTTCCACTGAAGTTATTTACTATATAATTATATAACTGTATAGATATTTATCTATAAAGTCTAGTTATTACGATTTTAGTGTTTTGGGAGGCACTGAGTGGGCCCACGATGTGGGCTTTGTAGATCATTGGCAGACTTTCTGGGGAAGACCTGGTCTGATCCGGAGAGACGCATCCATCCCACTTGGGAAGGAGCAGCTCTCATTTCTAGAAATCTGGCCAAGTTTATTAGTGGACCAAATCCATGACAACCCAGAGTTGAGACCGGGAGGCAGAGTCGCAGTCTAACACACTTCTCTGCTCCTCCATTTCAGGAGTTACTTAGTGAAAAACCTATAGTGACGGTGTCTACCCCCCGACCATTGAAATTATTTAAAAAGGTAAACAGAAGAGGAGCTGTGCATAAAAACCTCATAAAAATGAAAACCACAAGAGCAATAGTGCAAACGAAAGGAGAGTTAAATGTAGACTCTTAAACATCAGATCTCTCTCTTCTAAAGGTGTACTAGTAAATGAACTAATATCAGATTATGATATTGATTTATTTGGTCTTACTGAAACCTGGCTGGGTGATGGAGAATATGTTAGCCTAAATGAATCCACCCCTCCCAGTCATATTAATACTCACATTCCTCGAGGCACAGGCCGAGGAGGTGGAGTTGCAGCTATCTTCGACTCTAGCCTATGAATCAGCTCTAAACCTAAACCAAACTATAACTCATTTGAAAGCCTTGTTCTTAGTCTTTCGCACCCAAGTTGGAAATCACTGCAACCAATTCTCTTCGTTATAGTGTACCGAGCACCTGGCCCGTATTCTGAATTCTTATCTGAATTTGCAGAGTTTTTGTCAACTTTAGTCCTTAAAACGGACAAAGTTATTATTGTAGGGGATTTTAATATTCATGTGGACGTTGAGAATGACAGCTTTAGTACTGTGTTTATCTCTCTGTTAGATTCCATTGGCTTCTCTCAGAGTGTTCATGAACCGACTCACTGTTTTAACCACACCCTCGACCTTGTTTTGGTGTATGGTATTGAAATTGAACATTTAGTGGTGTTCCCACAGAATCCCTCTTTATCCGACCACTGTTTGATAACTTTTGAGTTTGTATTGCTGGACTACACGCCATTGGGCAAAAATGTCTATACAAGATGTCTGTCTGATAGTGCTGTAGCTAAATTTAAGGATGCGATTCCATCAGCTCTAAATACATTATCTAGTCACAAAGTAACGGAGGACTCCTATGCTAATTTCAGTCCCTCCCAAATCAATCATCTTGTTGATAGTGCTGCAGGCTCGCTGCGAATGACACTGGACTCTGTAGCCCCTCTAAAAAAGAAAATACTAAAACAAAGACGGTTAGCTCCATGGTATAATACTGAAACTCGCAAATTAAAGCAAATATCGCGGAAACTTGAGAGGAATTGGCGTTCCACCAAAGTGGAAAATTCTCGTTTAATTTGGCAAGATAGTCTTAAAACTTATAGGAAGGCCCTCCGTAATGCTAGAGCAGCGTACTACTCGTCATTAATAGAGGAAAATAGGAACAACCCCAAGTTTCTTTTCAGCACTGTAGCCAGGCTGACAGAGAGTCGCAGCTCTATTGAACCAAGTATTCCCATAGCTCTCAGTAGTTACGACTTCATGAGCTTCTTTAATGATAAAATTCTAGCTATTAGAGACAAAATTCACCAAGACCTGCCCTCAATTGGCACCGACTTATCTCTTAACTCAGGAACCTTAGAAACAGCTGTAGAACCAGATATATGTTTAGACTGTTTTGCTTCCCTCAATCTTTACCAACTAACTTCAATAATTTCTTCTTCTAAACCATCAACCTGCCTCTTAGACCCCATCCCGACTAGGTTGCTTAAAGATGTTTTACCCTTAGTCAGCACTTCTATACTAGATATGATCAATCTATCTTTATCAACAGGCTATGTACAACAGTACTTTAAAGTAGCTTTAATTAAACCTCTTCTGAAAAAGCCCAAACTTGATCCGGATGTTTTAGCCAACTATAGACCTATATCTAACCTTCCATTTCTCTCTAAGGTTCTGGAGAAAGCAGTTGCTAAACAGCTGTGTGACTTTCTACAGAGCAATAGTTTATTTGAGGATTTTCAGTCAGGATTTAGAGCTCATCATAGCACAGAGACAGCACTGGTGAAAATTACTAACGACCTCCTTATTGCATCAGACAAAGGACTTGTCTCTGTACTGGTTTTATTAGATCTTAGTGCTGCATTTGATACCATTGACCATCAGATCCTATTGCAGAGACTGGAACATTTCATTGGCATTAAAGGAACCTCTCTAAGCTGGTTTAAGTCTTATTTATCAGATCGATTTCAGTTTGTACATGTTAACGATGAGTCCTCCGTGCATGCCAAAGTTAGTCATGGAGTTCCTCAAGGATCTGTCCTCGGACCAATCCTCTTCACTTTATATATGCTTCCTTTAGGCAATATTGTCAGGAAATATTCCATAAGCTTTCATTGTTATGCAGATGATACTCAGTTATATCTTTCGATCAAACCAGATGAAACTCATCAGTTAGCTAAACTTCAAATGTGCCTTCAGGATGTTAAAACCTGGATGACCTGTAATTTTCTAATGTTAAACTCAGATAAAACTGAAGTTATTGTTCTGGGGCCTAAGCACCTCCGTGACGCATTATCTAAAGATATAGTTTCCCTGGATGGCATCGCCCTGGCCTCCAGCACCACCGTGAGGAATCTTGGAGTTATCTTTGATCAGGACATGTCGTTTAAGTCTCACATTAAGCAAATTTCAAGGACCGCCTTTTTTCACCTACGTAATATTGCGAAAATCTGGAACATCCTGTCTAAAAATGATGCAGAAAAACTAGTCCATGCATTTGTTACTTCTAGGCTGGATTACTGCAATTCCTTATTATCAGGCTGCTCGAAAAAGTCCATTAAGACTCTTCAGCTGATCCAGAATGCTTCAGCACGTATTCTGACAGGAACCAGGAAAATAGATCATATTTCTCCTGTTTTAGCTTCTCTGCATTGGCTTCCAGTAAAATCCAGAATAGAATTTAAAATCATTCTTCTTACCTACAAAGCTCTTAATGGTCAGGCACCATCTTATCTTAAAGAGCTCATAGTACCTTACTACCCCACCAGAGCACTGCGCTCCCAGAATGCAGGGTTACTTGTGGTTCCTAGAGTCTCCAAAAGTAGACTAGGAGCCAGAGCGTTCAGCTATCAAGCTCCTCTCCTGTGGAACCAGGTTCCAGTTTGAGTTCAGGAGGCAGACACCATCTCCACATTTAAGAGTAGGCTTAAGACTTTCCTCTTTGATAAAGCTTATAGTTAGGGCTGGCTCAGGTTAGTCCTGAACCATCCCTTAGTTATGCTGCTATAGGCCTAGACTGCCGGGGGATTTCCTATGATGCACTGAACTCCTCTCTCCTCTACTTTCTCTCCCTCTGTATGTAACCTCATCCCATTATTGCATGTTACTAACACAACTTCTCCCCTTTCCGGTAGTCTTGTGCTTTCTCGTCCCTCTCCTCTCTCCTCCTATCACTTCCTGCAGGTTTTCTGGCTCTGGAGCTGTGGAGTCTGGATCTGTGGTTGCGGGTCACCTGCTGCCCCCGTGTTCCTGCTCGACACCCTCTGCTGCAACGACTATTGTTACTAGTCCTATCGTTATTATTGTTATTAATCATTAACATTACGACTGTTACCATTAACACTTCTATAAATATCTGTACCATTTTTCATTTAGTCTATAGCAACATCACCTTTACTGTCTGTACCTCTGTGTGTATATTGTGTAGGCTGCCTCCTTCCCCTCTCTCTCTCCTTCCATCCCTCTCTTTTTCTCCCTGTTCTTCTCCTGCCCTCTCTCTCTCTCTCTCTCTCTCTCTCCCGCTCTCTCTCTCCCTCTCTAACCTTCACTCCCAACCGGTCGAGGCAGATGGCCGCCCACCCTGAGCCATGGTTCTGCTCGAGGTTTCTGCCTCTTAAAAGGAAGTTTTTCCTTGCCTCTGTCGCCTAGTGCTTGCTCTTTGTGGGAACTGTTGGGCTTCTGTAAATAGCATCATAGAGTACGGTTTAGACCTGCTCTTTTATGAAAAGCGCTGTGAGATAACTGTTGTGATTTGGCGCTATATAAATAAAATTGAATTCACATTATGTCACATTATCTAAACACTTGCTTAATGTTATTATGTATCTGACTGAACTCAGTCCTCAGGTGGTTGTTTCACAACTTCCAGATGGGACAAAATAAGTCTACGGTTGTGGGTAAAATCCCTTCCTATTTACTGTAAAGTGCACTGCATTTACCATCCACCATTTTTCAGAGTGAAATGTACGGACAAAAGTATGCAATACATTTTATAGATGCAAAGTGTCCCAAATCTCAAATTAGTGCTTCTCTATAGAGAGTGTCCATTTTGCAGGCAGCAGTGTACAGGACAACAAGGGAGTGATGAGAGAGGACACCATCTTGTCAAACATCTCATAAGGGAAAATATCTAAATTGCCTAGCTATCACCCTAATAATATCTAGCTTATACTGCATCATACTGATGTTAATGGCTGAAGTTGATTGTAGTTGATAACTGTTACTTATATTATTTAATTTAATTTTTCACTCTTGCAGTTGGCTCTCTCAACCACTTTACACATAATATTTAAAGTAGAAAGTCAGAAAATCTATCAAATCACAAGACACTGTATTGATGCACAAAACCTGCAACATTTATTCAGTACAGATTCAGCAAAGGTTTTTCTCCCTCTCTCTCTGTCTCTCTCACACACAAAACACACTCACACTTGGTATCAGGCCTCATCTCATG